GTTGCCTGCCATTCTGGTTTTTTACAGAGTTGCTTCTGACCAACAGAATAACACGATGCTTATCGCAAAGCACGCGGGCCGCCCCAGATCGATGCCCTGGTACTGATCTGGGGGTCATAGATTCATACCAGGTGTGGAAGGATCACCAAAGGTCTGTACGGTGTGGTAATTGAGCCAGATCTCCTTGAGAAGATGTCACAAATGAATGAGTTCCACCCGGAATTTCAACATTTAGTGCAGACGGTAGAGGGCAACCTTGCTTGAAGGCTTTACCAAGAAACAAGCCAAGGGTGCATTCCTAGCCAGGAATCTGTACCACAACCTTCAGCGTCCGCCTTTGGAAGGCTACTGGAACATGATCTGTACTGGGCAAATTCGAGACTGTCCTGTCAAGCTGGAGGACATTGATCGTGCCGAATTAATTTTGGCAGCGACATGGGCAAGGCCAAGGGCTCTACTACAAGAAAACACCCACCACCAGTGACCGACAGTGTTCATACTGTTCCGGATGAGCTGGTGGCAACACACAGGTTCTTGACAGGATGCATGGATGTGTTTTATGTCTGTGAAATTGCTTTTCTTGCATTCACTGACTTGCAGATCCGTCTACCTGGTCAATCGGAAAGGCAAATCCTTTTATGCTGCCATTGACAAGATCTTTGACAGGTATGGTAACAATGTGCACTACGCTAAAAGCTAGTGTAAAGATCTTTCGAGTGTTTTGAGTTTGAGAGAATGAAAGTTATAAGAGAGATTAGAAAGCTATGAAAACTAATCAACGAGAGAGATCATCATCAAGGGATCGTAGATCTGGCCTCCCGCGGGAGACTATAAAGTGTGATAGAGTAGGTTGCGGTAGTAATCCTTAGTATCTCCACGATCCTAAAACGGAACTCGTGGAAGGTTTGTCTAGCATGGATCTAGTAGCGTGGAAGTACTCCACGCTGGCTAAATATCTAGAGCGATGTTTCATCATCAACCTAGTATGACCAGAGCGGTCATTGAGAACCCTGTCTAAAATAACTATTCACGAGAAACTCAATCATGAGTCGAAACCAAACCCATCTAGAATCGAACGCGAATAAGGCAAAGCCAGTACATTCTCCGCACCCGTCCACTGACAAGGGGCACAGAAAGCGCGACAGCAGTCGGACAAAGAGAACATATGATAAAAGTGCTGGGCAATCTCATGAGATTTGAATGTAGACATGTGCATCGAACGATGGCAATCCTACAAGGGATCAGGCCTTGTATGTTTGTATATACCTTATGTTCTTAGTCTGGTAGACTGTGCTGCTGTTGGCGGTAGCATGTCGAACCGTACAGGCCATTTCGATATACGTCACCAAAAGCACAAAGGTCCTAACCACACAGACAGAGTCAATAACAATGCACTGTACGTCTCTGACATGCTACCGCCAGTATCGGCACAGTCTACCATACTTGAAACATAAAACCTCTCTCCTTTTCCCTCCTCCCCGTTGTTGTAGAGAATTTATTTCAAGTCGTAAGACGGCCGGCCGTTGGCGCTAGCATGTTTGAGCCGTACAGTGCCGTTTTTATTGACTCGGTCTATGTTTTAAGGACCTTTGTACTTTGCTGACCGTACTTGCGGTTCTGATACTGTTGAATCATCTCGGTTTCGTTGACATTGTTTTGATGATGGACACGCGTCGAGTTTTCCCTATCATTGTTCTGTTGGATATCGTTGGCGATGTTTCTTAATGTATTTCCAGTTGTCTTCGAAACGGACGTTGTAAATCGCGTCACGATTCAACACGAGCTGCGCGGGCGTGTCTCAACGCAAGCGACCTTGATCGTTGTCAACTCAAGTGCCAGACGACCTCGTGAATGATCCTGGGATGGAGTCCCACGGCGGTTCGCTTTGCAATGATGCCACGATTCATACCCCTTGCGTGCAACGCCCGCAGCTCGTTTTCAATCGTGACGGATTCACAAACGTCCGGTTCAAGCCAACTGGAATACATTAAGGAACGTCCCAACACTAATCCAACAAAAAAGAAGGGAAAACGCACGCGTGTCCCTCATCAATACAATGTCAACGATACCGTGATGATTCAACAGTATCAGCACCGCAAGTACGGTCAGCCAAAGTACAAAGTCCTTACACTATAGACCGAGTCAATGACATTGGCACTGTACGGCTCAACATGCTACCGCCAACGGCGGCACAGTCTACCAGACTTGGAACATAAGTATATACACCCATACAAGGCCTGATCCCCTTGTAGATTGCCATCTGCGACGCACATGTCACATCCAAATCTCATGAGAGTGCCCCGCACTTTAAATCATATGTTCTCCTTGTCCGACTGCGTCGCGCCTTCTGTGACCCTTGTCAGGGGGCGAATGAAATACATGGCTCTTAGCCTTATTCGGATTCGATCCTAGATAGGGTTTGAGTTCGACTCATACTGAGTCTCTCGAATATTCATTTGAGACAGGGTTCTCAATGACCGCGCTTCATACTAGGTTATGATGAAAAATCGCTCTAGATATTTAGCCAGCTGGTACTTCCACGCTACTAGATCCAGGCTAGACAAACCTTCCACGCGTTCCGTTTTAGGATCTGAGAGACGTAGGATTACTACCGCAACCTACTCTATCAACTTTAAGTCTCCCGCGGGAAGCCAGATCTACGATCCCTTGATGATGACTCTCTCGTGATTAGTTTCATAGCTTTCTAATCTCTCTCATAAACTCATTCTCTCAAACTCAAAACACTCAAAAGATCTTTACACTAGCTTTTAGCGTAGTGCATTGATGCTGTGGCATCAAAGAAGTCGCGAACAGTATCACTCAAAGGTGGGTATTGTCGGATGTACACACCATCCTTGTCAATGTACCGGCATACGGTGAAATCGTCTGATGACTGGCTCTTCTTTTCTTTTGCATAAGAATAGTAGGATGTAATCCAGCTAAGATATTTTTTGTTGATACTGTCGAAGAGCCTTCTGCTGCATAGTTCTCCGTTGCCATAAGTGATCATAATAGAGCTGAAAACCTCCGTGGCTGTCTTGGATAGGTGACAAGATTTGTTTGGAAGGGCATATTTTGGTTCCACCGGATAGCAGTACGCAGCGTAGGCAGGAATGTTGACTAAGACGTCTCCACAATTGGCATCAAACCTTCTCTTACAGTCACGGCATACCATCGACATGACCATACACCAGGTCGGGGCACCGTCCAATCCAAAAATGGGAAAGAGGACCTGATTTTTGGAGAAGTTGGTTCGATCGTTGCACAAGCGTCCAAGACAAGCCGGCTGAGGACAGGGAAGATCGACAAGACCAAACCTGGTCCAGTCACCAAGGAGTAGCTTTTGTCCAACAATGGAGTGGTAGGGTAGAGTTAGCGTTTCTTCCACCGGTGGAACAACAGTGGTAAGTCCGTGGAAATGACGCTTGAACAGATTCTCGTCCTTTGGTCTTATCACTTTTTCTGCCATTGCCGTCGCAAAGGCAAGCATGGCAATTGGAGCACCCTTGTTCTGTTCTTATGCTTCTCGCAAAAAGAACTGTCACTGACCATTGTGGTGACAGCCTGACACAGACTCTCCGGTGTAACCTCACCGGTGGTCTTTGCATTGGTCATTTTTTTGGTGGTGGACGTTTTCCTTCTGGCAAAGAATTTCTCTCCAGCTTCCTTGGTGGAATGGCGCCAGCTACCTTTCTCAGCCGGAATAAGTGGTTTGTTGAAGAGTTGTTGAAGTCACTTTTCCTCCTATCTTGTGGCGAGGGTTTGTTCGGATAATCCGACTTCACCTTTTGTTGTTGTATTCTTGATGCACCGAGGATGGTGTTTTCGCTTGGGAACGCGAACACCCAGACCGTCCCTCTCTGGCTCTGCAAACCTGGCAATCCTTCTCTGCGTCAAAAGGGACCAGAATGGCTTCCTCAATGATGCGTCGACTCTTGTGTTTGGGTGTCCTCTTCGAAGCAAGTTGGTGGCCTCTCCTTTGCTGTGAATTCTGCTGCTGACTTTGGCGCCCCATTACTTCATTGTGAGGCAAAGGATTGGTCCTCCTCCTTGCATAGGGGTTCACTAAGGTTGCTGCAGTCATCTAGGATGCTTTGGTGAGTGGATAGAAGATATTTCCTTTGACCAATGACCGTCGATATGGCCATGGTCGGCTTTACGATGGAATCCTATTATCTTCCTTTTTCAAATCGAAATTGGGCAACATGGTAGCACAGTGGTACGTAAACATATTGCACTTGGAGGAACTGCGACGCTATGTATAATTGTGTCTTACTTGTGTCTTACCAATCTTCCCGGTACTCCTCCACCAATGGTATCACTGCCTTCTTACCCCGAAAATCTGGAGCGGTAGTACTGGTAGCTACGAGCTGGCTAGTAGCCGCACTGGTTCGGGTATTGATACACGGAGAGAGTTGTATCCTCAGTATGGATTTAATAACCCAACAAATACTATCTCTCCAGGTGGTGGTCGATGCAGTGGTACGAGCTTTCTCCACGTCATCCTCACACTCCAATTATTGGATTCCTTTGGCTTGGATTCCCGCACGTGGAAAGGAAGTTGTAGACTTCCAAGCTCTGACTACGCATTCACCATGGCGATTATCCAATGAGAACAAATCAGAATCCCGCTAAGAGTTGTTCTGCGAATTCTTTTTCCAGCTTTTCCGATCCTCCAACTCCGTCACCACATTTTGCTTGAGAATCTTGTTATTGGCTTGCTTTGTTGCCATGTCGATTGTATGTGGTGGGACCGTAGCATCGGCACCCATCACATTCGCCAACAGCTATTAGTCTACACACTTCCGGATACGTTGCTGCTCGGCTCTTCTCTGATCTTCTTGGGTAGATCATTTCTCGTGAGCAAAGTATCATTCAAGAAAGTAACGGACTCTAGCTAGAGCTATTGGGCTAGTATCTTTCATACTTTCATCTATCATACTTTCTGGTCCACAATCCATTGCATGGACAACCAACAATTTTAAGAATAATACAACACCATGAGAGCTTACATACCTAGAAAACGAAAGACTACCAAAAAGTCCCCTGTGATGGGTCCTCTGATACCCCCTGCAGCGGCCAAGCTACCGCCTCCTCCAGTCTTGGAAGAGGAAGAGTCCGATTTCTATATCCCTGACGGCGACGATGCATTCCTCACCTTCGATGAAAAGACTCCGGAACCAGATCACTATCATAGCCATACCAACAATCATCATCATCACCATCATCATGCAGTGACCCATTCCACTTCCACCTCCTCCTTATTATTAGCTCCCATTGACGAACAACAACCCGACTCGGCCGATCGGGCCGTGGCCATTCTGGAAAATTTCTTTTTTGGCGGTTGCACCATGCCCAAACCAACCTTGAAAGCCGTCTCTAGTACAGCCGCCGTTGCAAGCTGGGAGGGTGACTCTAGCAGTATCAATAGCTGTCCAGTAGAATCCTCTCCCAGCTGTGTATCCCAGCTGCCCGTATGCTCTTGTGAACAAAAGTACCTCTTTACGGGTCTCCACAATGTCACACAGTCACAACAAGATGTGGAACAACAATCTCCCAACAGTCTCCGTCGAAGCTCTTCCTGCAGTCCCAAACCCAAAAAGGCCTCGTTGAAAAAACTCAACAGCGCCAACAGTCTCAACAGTAGCAAACGCAACGTTTCCTTTACCGAGATCTCCGTCCGAGAGTACGATGTCGAGTTGTCGGATCATCCCTCCTGCTCCTTTGGACCGCCCATTCAGTTGGGTTGGGACTATCAAGAAAAGGAAACGGTACCGGTGGAAGATTACGAAGTCACACGGTCTCCGCAACGACGCGAAGTCCACGAACTGGTATTGAGCTACAATGCACGTCGACGACGACTGAAACAAAGTGGCTACAAGAAAAAGGAGATCAAGACCATGGAGAAGGAAGTCGATCGAATCAAGCGAGAGCGACTCGTCACGGAATTCTTCTTGCCCGCATCGGCCATTGATGAGACCTTTGAACGAGTCTTTGTCGGGATCCGCGAGTTGTGGAGGCCCAAGAAACGAAGAGACTCCTCCTGCGAGGTGCATCATGGGTTGTATTGATTGAGAATGACTTTGGTATAGTGCACATGGGATAAGAAATAGATAGATAGACTATTAATACATCCATACAGTATCAACGCGACTCCTGTGCAGTGTAGTACGGTGCAAGTGTTCTTGTACACTTCTTACCATTGCCTGGCAAGCCAGCTAGCTGTCTTGGCCTGGGGGGTCCTCCTGCTGAAAGTCTCATCACAGCATTCTTTTGTTTCATCTCGCCGTCCTCACTCGATCTTGCCTTAAGGCCTGCTGTGTCAGATAATTGCCTCCCCTTCGCCACAGAAGCTGTTTGTTCCTGTTTGTTTGCTTTACTTGCAACAGCCTGGTGGCAATGAAAGGCACAGGATGCCCGAGGGCAGCACCTCCCAGAGCCCCATGCAACCTTGAAACGACCATGCTGATGCTTACATTCTATACAAAAGTTTAATCCCCAGAACGAATCTTGTCCTCGACGACCTCAATTGATTGAAGACAGCCCTTGGTATAAGGATAACCCTTGCCAAACACCACTTCAAGAATGGACAAAGCCTTCTTGAACATTGACAAAGCACCATCAAAGTCACCCTTCCGATACATCACACCCGCAATGTTGTTGCAGCTGACAGCAATATCAGGATGATTCTCACCATGCATAGATTCTCGAATGGCCAGAGCTTTTTCATACATTGCCAAGGCCTGATCATAGTCACCCTTGCCCTTCAGCACAAACGCAATGTTGTTGTAGGTTGTGGCAGTTGATGGATGGTCCTTGCCATACACCCTCTCCCAAATGGCTAGAGCCTTCTCATGCATTGCCAAGGACCGATCATTATCACCTTTGTTTCCCAGCACAAATGCAATGTTATTGTAGGTGGTTGCTGTGCCAGGATGACCCTTCCCCAGCACAGATTCACGGATTGTCAGAGCCCTCTCATACATTTCCAGGGCTTGATCACAGTCACCCATGTTCTCCAGCACACCGGCAATGTTGTTGTAGGCAGTGGCGGTACTAGGATGATTTTGGCCATGCACAGTCTCATCTACTTCCAGAGCCTTCTTGAAAACTACCAAAGCTTGGTCATAGCCACCCTTGGTATCTAGCAAGTTCCCAATGTTGTTGTAGCTTTGAGCAACATCAGGATGATCCTTGCCCAACACTGATTCTCTGATTTCTAGAGCCTTCTGATACAAGACCAGTGCTTCGTCATAGTTGCCTTTGCTATTCAGCACTGAGCCCATGTTGTTGTAGGTATCAGCTGTGTCAATATGATTCTTGCCCAAAATGGCTTCTCTGATGGTCAGAGCCTGCTCATACATTGCCATGGCTCCATCATAGTCTCCCTTGGCATCCAGCACACCTCCCATGTTGTGATAGGTGGTAGCAGGTAGAGGATGATCCTTACCATGCACAGCTTCTTGAATAGCTAGAGCCTTCTGGTGCATCCCCATGGCTTTGTCATGGACTCCGTTGTAATTGAATATGACGCCAATCTCATTGCAAAACAGTGCATAACCTTCGCCATTGGTTTTGTCTCTTGCTTCGACAAGTTCACTGAGAACATTTTGAATCCAACCACGCAAAACTTCATTGACTCGGTTGTTCAGAACCGCACATCCAACTGTCGACTCAACATGGTTGAGAATCATTGTTCGGTCACTCTGCACTGTTGCTTGGGCATTCTGCACCCTTGTGTCTCCAAGTGCCTTGTAGAGGGCATTGATTCCCTCCCTATTGCTGATGACACTAGCTTCAAAACGTGCCTGTTCTTCCGGGTGGATGACCAACGAAAGCTCGGCCCCACCTTCTACTGTTGAGAAAATCTCCCATATCACCCATATTTGCTTCAGTGCAGCAAGTTCATCCCATTTTGGGAGCAGCAGTGCGGTGGCTTGGATGTTGCACACCTGTTGCTTCAGTTCTTCCATGAAACCCCTTTTGAAAGCCTTCATTTTGTCATCCTTTCGCTGTGTCCAGGCAAACTGATTGACACAGAAAGTGTCAATCCACAAGTAGCTACTGCTTTCAGCCAACTCGGGTGAGGAGTTGATGAGGGAAGTAAACTGCTCAATGGTGTATGAGCCAGTGAAGGAGATGAACGTGGTAGCATTCTTGGTAGGTTGTTGCCTTGCGGTCTCACCATCCGATGGCGATGGTAAAAACAGGAGATCCTCTAGACTTGCTGTTGCAGGAGCCCCTCCTTTTGGTAGACCCCCATTGGTGCGTCCATAGAGAATGACTAGAATACCAGCACATCGCAAGAACCACATGGGACAACCAAAGGACATCAACTGCTTGACTTCCGGTAAGGCGAGGAAGACATTGGCAAACCAATCTTGATGTATACCTTGCCAAGTCACAAACTGATCACTGCATTGATTGTTCGTCTCATCATCATTCGTGTTACCACCGTTCTGAGAAGATGACGCCACACTCAGAATCAGTCTTGAGTGCAGATTGGCATACAAGAAAACAGAACCGCCTGTAATGTTGGAGATACCACCGTCATCTGATGCTCGCTCGGATTGCAGGCAAAGTTGAATGGCAAGAGACAAAAGATCCTCGAGTGGTGGGCCGTGGGGATGCTTGTCGTTTGAATATTGCTGCATCCAGGTTTGGAAGTTGCCCAAATCAGAAACAGTAGTAGCGCTGCCGGTGGCACTCATCTTCCCCGGTTGGTTTGTTGACTCGATTCTATTCTGGATATACTAGTAAGATCCTCACGTGAACTGCTTTCTCGTCACTTTTACCTGAAGAATTCTTGTAGATGTGCGTCGACTTTCATCAAAGTCCTTCTTCGATTGTCTTGTAGTATCTTCTGGGTCAGGTGGATCCACGAGGGTGGAGAAGATCCAGTCTTGCTTGTCGCTTCAAAGGATAGCAATAATAATAGCATTGCCATTTATGCCACCAGGCTAGCTAGTACTAGTAGAAGGCGGCCACGCTTTCCAGCAACAATTGAGTGACAAGTCAACTCTAGCAAACAAACTGCCTCGAACAAGCTACTGGTAGCTAATAGTAGGGAAGGCGCAGGGAGATACCGTACTGTAGTAGTGGAAAGGTACCGGTACAGACCTTTAGAAAAGGACTGCTTGGGGAGTCAGATTGTGTGGCAGTGGATTCAGGGATCTACTGAAGTGGTTTAAAAGCGTTTGTCAGCCATACGTATCGTATTAGTCTAACATAAGAGACTTGGGAACATCCTGAACCTGCTTGTAAGCGGATGAGACAAGGTCTGGAAGCTGATCAATAATGGTGTGCAGAGTTGACAACTTCTAGCTAGCTGGAGCAGTGGGTCAATAGGGACGGCGCCATTTCAAGCTGTTTTGCAAGCCCTTCCGGGCACTCTGCAGAGAGAAGCACCCTTGAGATGATAAGTCAGTGTCATCCCAGCCTGCATGACTTGCGTGAAGTGAAAAACGAAACTTCTCTTTCGGAACGAGCCTCGCCTTCACGAATGGTACTTAGAGGAATCGGATGGCGCCAACCGAGATACGTTATTATTGGCACCTGTGCTATGAGAATCGCGTTTGGGTATCGGATATCACAACGACAAAGAAGCTAAACGATCGGGTCCTTCAACCATGAACATTGCTACGATTGGTCTGCTACAGAAACGTCAATGCAAACCGAAATAGTGAGAAGAAGAAACCTCCTTTAATGCATGGAGTGGACAGTGTCCTTCCTCTCTCAGATCGCTATCCTTCCTCTCCAAGATTGGTGTCTGCGTCTGTGCTACCTCTGCGGATACCCCAAAGTGAATGAAGAAGAGGCATGACGACTCGATCCTCCCGACGACGACGACCATCGCTCACATCTGATAATGGTGTGAATGAGAGCAGTGACAGTCTTGCATCCATGATTGCTGCAGATTGGGAAGACGCCATGCTGCAAACCTGCATGAGCACAGAGGAAAAAGAGGGGGAAGTTAAGAAGAAAGGAGTGAAGGGGGGTATCCGACAAAGACCAAACAAGCGTCAACCGAGTGATGAAGAGTGTGGCAGTGGTGAGGACAATGATAAGCTGCAACAAATGCTACGATATCCAACCGTAGATCACGATGACGATGAAAGCACTGTATTTGACGACGACTGCTCCATCTTCTCGTCCGACAGTGACGACATTTCCCTCTGTCGAACATCCCCTCGTCGCGTCAAAGGCAACAACAATACCGGGATCATCAAACGGCCAAAACCACCACGACAAGGACCCAACAGCAACGACGAAAACGAATCTCCCAGATATTCCCCTGCTGACAGTGGGTATCAGGATCCCTTGGATGGAGACTGTTCCGCCGTGTCCTCCTTGGCCAGTCTGTTTCTGGGTCAAGACCCCTGCAACTTTGACGAAGAGGAAGGTCAGCAGCATCATCGTCATCACAGCGGGACCCTGGGTGTCTACACCCATAACACCCGTAGAAACAACACACCATTTGCTCCATCCCATCCTCTCTTGAAGAAATCCTCTTTGAAACAAGTGTCTTCCATTGGCTACACAAACAACAACAGCAGCAGCAGCAACAGCCTCAACAACAGCAAACGCCATAACAATGTCCGGTTTGATACTGTCAATTTTCGGGAATACGCCATTTCTCTCTCCCAGAATCCATCTTGTTCCGAAGGCCCGCCCATTGAATTGGGTTGGGAATTTGAAGAACAGGAATCCGTTCCCGTGGAGCAGTACGAGGACTACAAATCCAAACACTTTCCCCGTCGTCGACGACTGCAAGAATTGGTCTTGAGCGACAGCGTCCGACGCCGCATGCTGTCGCAACGGTACACTCCCGATGAACTCGCCGAAGCGGTCCGCGAAGTGGAACAATTGAAACGACAACGTGTCATGACTTATCTCATGCTACCCGCCAGTACATTGGATGAAGCGGCGGAAGAAGTCTACCGGTACATGATGCGAGTGTTTCAGCCCAACTAACTAGCTGGCTGGCTACTAGCTGGATAGTAGTGGCGAGGGGAGAAAAGCGGATGGCACCCAAAAAGTCCGAACTGAACTGTATAACATCGAAACGTACGAAAGAAGATCTATAGCTAGCTCAACGATCTGTAATGTACTAGTAGTGCATTTGAAACAATGACTTCACGTTTTTGGAATGCAATGACGGTATGGTACCGGTACTACATGTAACCGACAACAAATAAGTATACCGCAACTTTTGTCAAAATAGATCAAGCAAGTATCATCCAATCCAAGAAGAAAGAAAGACAATGACTCAATCTTTCTTTTACTTTTGGCTCAGGAGAGCCCCAAGAGGGACACCATCCTTGGAAGGATCGGTGTAGTACTGGGTGCGAACACTACTACTACTGCTGCTCTCAAAAGACGGTGCATCCTGACAGTTCGCTCCATCTTCATTGCATGGAAAGTTTTGCACCGTAAAGGCCGCTGGAGTGGCCCAGGCAATGGTGGACTCAATGCCCAATGCATTATGTCCCATGACAATGCGAAAGTAGCCAAGCTCGCCTAAAAGATAGATAGTACAGAAGCAACATCAAAATGAGTGATACCGTACTGCGAGGGAGAGACGACAGAGCTGGCAAGCAAACTGGTTTTTAAACTCACCCCAGTACTCTCCCCAACTATAAGGATTGGATGTAAGATATTCAAGATAGAAAGGAAACAGCAGCCATGCCATACCAGCAGTTAGTAGACAAATCCATCAATCACTCAATCAATTACTTTCCTCTTTGTGTCTCTCGCCCTTTCTTGTTCGTCGTTGTGAACTCACCTATTTCTGACAATCCAATACTGTTTGCCCGTTGCCTTATCAGTTCCCCATCCGACAATGGCGACGATATGGTTGACCATCATGTTCCAAAAATGCGTATTGTTCACAATCCCTCCTTCGTATTTGACAATGGGTTCAGCATTGACTCCCGCCGCAACGGGACCTCTGGCATAGACTTCGGCCTTGATTTTGTGCGAGACACTGGTCATATCTTTCAAGACCGAGTAGGTTCCATATTCGGCCAAGGACGCATTGGGAAATACGTTAATGGCAGCACATCCCGCCGCTCCATGGGTACACGTGCGACACGTATTAATGGCCGTGCAAGTGGTATCGACGTGTCCGCAAAATCCATCCGTCGATTCGGAACTGCAGGCAATGTAGGGCGCACAGGTATCGTACGAGACGTGACCATTTTGTTTGATGAATTGATAGACACCCGTATGGGAACCTCCGTGACAACTTCCAGCGACGCGTCCAGCACAATTGAGAATGTGTTGAATAGAGAGATTAATTTCATCACCGGTAGCGTTTCTTGCAATCTTGATGCGATCGGACAAACTGCTCATGGCCCCGTGAGCCCAACAGGAACCACAGTATTGGGGAATGTGTTGATTGAGACTCTTGGTCAAGTAGGATTTGCCATGGACGTTGCCCCAGGTAAAGTCATCGGGTAAATCGTCTTCGGCAATGTACGTGTAGGGGAGTGGGGATGTGTAGGACTCGACTTGATCGTGGCCTTCCAGCATGACAAATTCCGAGTGGCGGGCGTTCACCACCGCACTGGTGGAGAGTAAGACAACCGACGTTGTCAGGAGGAAGCTCTGGAGATGGAACATCATGGTGATACTACTACTATACTACTTCTTTACTTCTTCTATTGATCGCAGAGAAGAAAAAGAAACTATGACAGGATGAAAGCACCCGCTTTTGACCGTTGTTCTGCGCGTGGTGGATGCTTTCAATGACGCAAATTGGGTCCCGCGTGTCAGGATCCAAAGATCCAACGCCTCCAAATCAGAACAAAACCATGGCACCAGCTCAAAGAGATAGATGAGCACCATGACGACTATGCGTGTAGCAAGACCTCTGCTATTCCAAATCACCCTCCTGCTATTCAGCACAAGGCTTCCCCTGGTGGTATGTGGTAATGGCCACTTGGAAACTCCAGGTCGAAACGAAATTGTGCACTTGCCAGGCCACACTATTGAAAACTCCCATCAACTGCCTCTTCCTCATACCTACATTACTCCCGAACAGTTACCCAAGGCATTTGACTGGGGGAATGTCAATGGAGTTTCCTATCTCACGGGATCTCGCAATCAGCATCTTCCTCAGTGAGTTACTGCTATTGGGTATTGTTGTTGACTTTGTTGATTGCTACCTTTGCTCACACTACATGGGATGGATATACCCACGCTTTTCATTTCGTTTCCTCACACTTCTATCTATACGAGTATAGATACTGTGGAAGCTGCTGGGCCCATGGATCACTCTCGGCTTTGGCAGATCGCATCAAAATTGCAAGAAACTCATCCATACCAAAAAGTGACATTCATTTGTCCGTTCAGCACGTCCTCAACTGTGGAGGGAAAGTTGCGGGAAGGTGAGAAGAAGCAAATCGCAGGCAGACGAGACATACAGTACCATCTCAATGTGCCAACCAGAATGGTTTACCTTTGATATGATGATCTCTTGGTTATCCTGACCTTTTTGTTTTCTTCTATCATTGCTTTCCTATCTGCCTATCCTTGAAGTTGTCACGGAGGATCGTAAGTACCGGTACAGTCTTTTGGTCCGTTTGGTGCAGTTTTCTCCAGATGTCAACGATCAACCCGCCAATCTAACAACCCATGACTTTGATTTGGATTCGATTGAATCGCTATATCATTCATTTCCATACGTAGAGCCACTGGAACCTACGAATTCATCCAACAGAATGGATACGTTGCCTACGAAACCTGTCAGCCCTACATGGCATGCAGCAACGAGTCACAATGGGGATTCTGTCCTCATGTGGATACCACCTGCCAACCACAAAACATTTGTCGAAACTGCGGCATGAAGTATGTACTCTTTGACAATCAATGCACGGCCATTCCAAGTGACCGCATCCCCAATGCATCCATTGCCGAATTTGGAACCATTTCACTCAGTGACAACAACAATATTCATGCAATCAAGGCCGAAATCTATGCGCGAGGTCCCGTCGCGGCGGGAGTCAATGGAAAACCACTGCACGTCTATCATGGTGGTGTCTACAAGAATCAAACCGCCGACAAACACAACACGCACATTGTCAGTATTGTGGGGTGGGGTGTTAACGACGAAAACGACAACGTTAGTGTGGAATACTGGATTGTCCGCAATAGTTGGGGAGAATATTGGGGCGAAAAAGGATTTTGTCGCATCCAATTGGGACACAACATTTGTGGGATTGAACACAAGATTGTGTGGGCCACTCCGGGACGCTTCACGGTGGGTGCCAGAGGTGCTTCCCAACGATATGTGGATCCTTCCAGTAACAACAACAACGACAGGATGGCTCTCCAAAAAGGAAGGTAGAATCGTGAATTCAAGCAAAATTGCCGTATAAAAACTTGCAGCCAGGATGCAACCGTTTGCATTCTCGATCATCCCAGCTAAGCGGGTAGCACAGCCATGGGACGGGCCAACGAGGTCAAATCTCCGCATTCCATGGAAGTGGGTTCATTGAACCATAGCTGCAGTAGCTAGCCTGCTTTTGAAACCGAAGCTGACAAGCCGCCTAATAACTGAGAACGAGCGGAGAACGCAATTGCATGCAGAGATTGTAGCAATACCTTTCTACTCTCTGTACTGGCACTGGCGTAATACCGGTATCAAGACTATTCTGGACTCTACCCTCCTGCCACCGGACGCACAGTATGCAGCCCTCAGCACGCTATCAAAGCTACGGTACCGCCTGGCGAAAGCAATCCAAGTTGATTCTGATTCGATACTACATGTACCGATATCCTTCCTGGCTACGGTAGGAAGCAGCAAGTGCAGCAAGCAAAAGAAGCATCCGTATCGTAGCCAACGACTTGCACTATAAGGAACAATCATTTCTAGCTAGCTAACCCCATCACGTTACTACTCGTCGTCTTTTGGTTCTTCTTGATTTTCCGCACTTGCATCGTTCCCGGGCGTAGGGCTTTTCTCCTCGAGGGTACCTTCTTCTGCAGCGTTTGTTGCAGCTAACTCCTTGCCCCCTTCGCTTTCATCACTGACTGGTGCACCAAACTTATCTAGTAAAGTGACTCGCTGCTCTGACTCACTGTCAATTTTGCGCGCCACCAAGTGTTGCAGGAGGATTGTTCGTTGTGACAGCGGCAACTGGTTTCGAATGGCCATGCGCCTTACAAAGGCACACGACCGCTCCAGCCCACACCCAAACTCAATCATGGAGTGCGCCAACGCACCCAGCTGGGCAAAGACAACGGCATGCACCTGGGACGCCGCTTCGGTGCGTTCTGCTGGAGTCAAGTCGTACCACTGGATCTTCCGCCCCTCGCGCCATTCTGTAGTACGATTATCAGTGTTGGTAGAATGCCGTTCAAAGTTTGACATGACGCCAGAATTGGTTAATGACTCCGATAGACATTGGAATAGCACTTGATCCCTGTCGAGAAGGAAAACGAACGCGATGCATGAGTACAAGTAGGAAACGAAGCAGAATCATGCATATTTCTACGTGAGCGTTCTTACCAGAACTCCTCTTCCAACCACAGCGGATGACCAATCAGCCTGTTCTTAACATATACCCGCTTGCTTCGTTGCTCCTTGTCGTTGCCATCGGTTGTGACCTTTTCGGCAAAGTAAAATGTCTGGGAGAGCATCATGCACATTTTTGCATTCGACACCCCACCTGTCTCACAGTCACATCCACTCAGAATGGAGGAGAAGACTTTGCACATGGCATCGAATTGAATGGGCGTTTTGATTTCGGCATGTGAGCTCCGTTTGGCATTAAACGCATAGCACATTCGTGACCGCTTGGGCCTGGCCGCCTTGGACTTTTCAATGGCCACATCGCAGAGCAACTGAACGGCCTTTTGGAAATCGTCTCGCGCTTGCTGCCGGTCGGGTGATTCGGGTGCATCGGGGTTGAGATAATCGTCCTGAATAAATAGCTTTTCCAGTGCTTCTTCCAATTCTTCCGCTGATACATTCTTGGCAATGCTGTCTTGCGGTTCAGTGTGGTTACTATTGTTGTACATTGTCCTGGGGGTGTCGTTTCCCATATCACCCTCGACATGCGACGAGAGCACGGCCAATGCACTGGCAATTCCCCCGTCATCGTCCTGTCCCAAAGGCGCTGATCCACCGGGTCGTTTGCGATCCTCCTTAATGTACGTGTTGAGGTCTCGCCGTACATCAATCTTGTCAACGATCCGTTCCATTTCTTCGATTCGCTGCATTCGTTCTTCCACGGCAGCTCGTTCCAAGCGAATAATGGATTTAATGCAGTCGGCTTGTGCATTGCAAGCACTGAGCAGATTGGTTTCGGCCGATATTCGTGCCGATCGTCGAATTTGATCGAGACTGGACAATACATTGAGAAGTGATCCGGCCGCATCTTGGACAAGACGATCGGCGGCAAATGCGGCCGAGCGCAATTCAGGCAATCCCACTTCCTCTTCAATATCCATGCGCGTTGGCAAATCATCGGGTTCTTCCATTATTGTTGTTGTGGTTGTCATGGGCGGTGGCGTAATGGGTGTCACAGCACCCTCTGTCGCAGATTGTGGAAAATCCAATGGTTCAAAAGATCCATTTTCCATGGACGCTGCCACTTGCGACACGATATCCCAAATTTCGGCCTGATTGTTGTGGTTGTTGTTACCATTACTCCCACCATCTGCTTCTCCCTGTTTTTGGAATTCCTTCAATCGCTGATCTTCCATTTTTTTATTGCGCTCCATCATGCGTTCGGCAACCACTTTGGTGACTGTCTCTTCGGCTTGTTCGACTTCCATCCACCGTTTTTGTGCGGCCGCCTTGCATTCGGCCAAATGGTCTTCAATTTTCTTGACGCGCCCATATGTTTCCCGCAAGGTTTCGAGTCGATTGGTGGATCGTTCTTCGGTTCTTGTGGCAGCTTTGCGCAAGGGCGGCAAAGCTCCCTTGCGTTGCAGCGATGCCAATCTCCATCGTTCGCATTCGGATTCTGCCATGGTATTGTAATACTCCTCGAGTGCGACATGTGCCTTGTGCAGCGTGCCTCCATTAAAGAGCATGGGTCCAGACCGAAATTGGGTCAATTCGAATTTGGAAGTGGCGGTATCGTCTTGGCGCAAGGCGTCCTGCCGCAAATCATCCGGTAGAACCGGCCCTCGTTCGTACGAGACGGCTCGTAATTTATCACACGCCAGATTATTGCGAGACGCGGCTTCCTTTTTGGAAAGGACAATTTCTTCGCAAAAATCGGCAAAATCGTGGAGGGATTGTTCGGTTTGTCGCAGTGCCAACGAGACGGCCGGAATGCTCCATCCATTGGCGGAAAATCCATTCCATGCGGCATCTCCCCGCGCATCCAAATCGTTTCCCACGTAAATTGCCGATTCGTAATCGTCTCCCAATTCTGTCAAGGGGGATTTGAAATGAATAGAAGACGACGATCCATCCATATCATCCATGCTGCTGCTGGACTGCAAGGGAGCGGGTTGTTGCTGCGATGGCAAGAGGAGCAAATCGCCATCGGGAGATACCAAGACGGAACAATCCACCAAATTGGATACAGGGTCGCGTCGACTCGATGCCGAAGCGGATGCCGCTAAAGCATCGCATGCTTCAATGCAGGCATCAAAATTGGACAAGTGTTCCACTTTTTGTGACAGCAACGTCTCGTCCAAATATCGTTGCTGATCCGCCAACGACGCGTTTTTCCGGGGTTTGCCTTTCTTGGTAGTTGGAGCTGGAGCAGACGTAGTTGTACTACTACTAGTCGTAGTGGTGGTGGTACTAGTTGTAGTGGTGAGTTCTTGGGAGAGACTTTGGTGAATGTTGGAAATTGGATCGGCCGTGGAATCTCCTCCTCCACCGGCATCACTACTGCCACTGTCGCCCCGATTCGCTCGCTTCTTGATATAGCGCAACATATTGATACTATGCAGTACAGTAAACAACCTCAGCAGACGGTAACAAGCCTTATACGGTGGAGACAGCAAAGAATGATCAATCCAACAACAGCACCCAGCTTGGATCAAGGGCGGGAGGCTCTTGCAATGTGTGTCATTGCCTTCACCATCTTTGTCAGTTTTGCGGGATTGAATTGTTGAATGAAATTCAATTATTTAACCCCAGCAGGCGGACGCGCTGCGAGGAAAGATGAATGCCGAGCACAAAATTGTCGTGGACCACTGACACCGACGGTTCCAGCGACGGCGAGTTGTTTGCCTTCCAACAGAAAAAGGGGCTGAACAATGATAGCAAGGCAATTGCAACATATAGTGCATCTCTCTTGTGCTTCCGTCAAACAGGCATACTTGGCAACGATTGAATTCCTCAGAAAGGAACTCTTGTACAAAATAACCGGGTTGACCTTCGTACGCCTTGGCGCAGGCTCTCTGCGTTATGTTACAGCTAATAGTCTAGCTGATCCCGAGAACTGCGATCCGCAAAAACCCAGTGGTGCCGTTCTGTACCGTCCCGACCAAGACGAGCGGAACACTCGCTTGCTTTGGCTCTCTCCATTCGATGTCTTGCTTGTTTGGTAAGACGACAACGACCAGGCCCTTTCTGTGTCCCGGTATCCTTATCATCACGCCGTTCTTGAATCTCGGAGCCGTCGATGTCTTGACACCAACTTCCGGCATGATGGGCGAATCAAATCTCCTCCTTTTGATGAACTCAGAGAAAGGGGAGAAACACTCTGGAGGGACACAAACCCAAGTCGGCCTGTTGCATTTTCTTCAGTGACAAGATTTCATCTCATCGGACTGCTGGCAGTAATCTATCGGATTGATGTTGGCTGTCGTGCAAGAGCATCGTTGTGATTCGATCCGTCGTTTCTGCCCCGCACACCAAACCTCTCGGCAACGTTTTGATCGATGGATCAGTGGCCCAATGTGGGCGGCTTCACCGATACCGGTACAACGGAACCGATGAGACGAAACACGTCATGCAACTCCACATGGAGCTGTTTTCGGTTTTGGTGCATGACAGGTTTTCCGTGGTTGCTTGGTCCCAGTAGCCAGATAGCTGGTACAAGAGTTCTGTGCTTTGTTTGTTTGTTTGATCCCTGGATAGCTACCGGTGAGGCTACCGTACCGTATAGGTCCCATCTAGTCGCCACCCGCTGTCAAAGCGTGAATGTCGCAAACATGGAGAGTGGAGCAAACGCAGCTGCTCATGAACTCGCAGCTTTTGGCGGCTTGGATGGCTAAATTGGCCAAGTACGGTGGTACTGTATCAGTACTGGTATGACGTCACTCATCATTGTCCTCACTCAACACACCTCTTGGATGGAAGTGCCAACAAAAACAACCTGCGGCTACTCCATACTATCGAATGAATGAATGAATCATGAAACCACCTGCAGCATCATCGCTCCCTCGCCTGGGCCTAGGAATGGCGGCCTTGGGAAGACCAGGCTACATCAATCTAAACCGAGAAACGATATTGGGCAATGATCGTCCCGTGGAACTGATGCAAAAGCAGGCCGATGTGGTCATGGACAAGTTGTTTGCCATAAGCGACGAACCGTGGTTGGATTGTGCTAGATCCTATGGACTGAGCGAAAAGTTTGTGGGAGAATACTTGAGACGCCACAAAATTGCACCCGAGAAGGTCTATGTGAGCTCCAAGTGGGGGTACAGTAAGTCTGTCTAGTCAGGTATCGAAGTATTGGGCAGTGGTTCGATCATTGGCACTCACCAGTCCTCCATCGAATCATTATCTTCTTCCACGTGTTTCCTCTACCAGCATACGTCGCCGACTGGAATGTAAAGCTGGCAGAGGGAGAACCTCACGAGGTCAAAGACCACTCAACCGATGTAAGTCTGCCACAGGCTCGTTTTCGTTGGATGACATGGGTCTCCTGCCTCACAGACTAGATTCATTCAAAATCCGTCATCTGTGCCACAAAAAGAACTTTTTGAAGCAAGTCCAAGAGACTTCCGAATATCTCGGTGAATACATCAACCTGTATCAGATTCATTCGGCAACGTTTGAATCGGGTATACTGACGGACGCAAAGACTCACGAGGCACTCTCCAAATGCAAGGTCGAACGAGGCTGGGCCATTGGCTTGTCGGTCTCCAGTCCTCAACAAAATGCCGTCTTGCAAAAGGCCATGACCATCCAATCCACCACAACTCCCAACCAGCCACTCTTTGATTCCGTGCAATGTACCTACAATCTACTCGAACAACGACCAGGCGAAGCCTTACTGGAAGCGCACCACAAGGGAATGGACATTATCATCAAGGAGGGCCTCGCCAATGGACGGGTTCTACGTCATCCAGATGTCCTGCAATATGCCAAGCAGCTTGCCTGCGAACCAGATCAATTAGCTTTGGGGTTCATTCTGGCACAACCGTTTCAACCCCGGGTCTTGTCGGGAGCCGTGACGCCGGAACAACTCGAATCCAATCTCAAGGCCATGGCAATATCGGAAACGTTGAGAGAGAATCCATCTCTGCTGGAAGAAATTGCCAACAAGTGTGTCATGGACAGTGACGAGTATTGGAAAGAGCGGTCGGCATTGGCATGGAACTAGCTAGCTAGAACGCAGGATGAGAACTTGCTATTAACTTGCTATTGCTACTAACAAGACTCTTGCTATCATCAACATGTGACACCCCGGTACTGTATAATGGTTCGTTTCTAGGCATACTCTATGTCGCTATCTATGGTATCAACAGTCACCAAGGGCAAGGACCCTACCTGGTGCACAAAGAAAACCAAAAGATCTTGTGGGTCATCATCACAATAACTTAGTTATCGTAAGAACTCATCGTCGCTTTGACCGCTTCTTTCTAGATAAAGACGTCTTCGGCAGTGCATTTTTGTTGTTCACCAACGGAACCGTCTTGTTCTTGCGCTTCTTGAGCGGCTCATTTGAACTGCTACTTTGGTCGTCCAAGACAACCACCTTTCGTTCCACGGCATTTGTCGCCAATCCGTGAAGAGTGCTCGTCGGGGCCAACGACTTGACAATCGCCTGAGCATTGCCAACACAAATGAGTTGGTACTTTGCTCTCGTCAGTGCCACATTCACTCTCCTGTCATCGCTCAAGAAGCCTTCGGATATTCGGTTATTGCTGCCTTTGGACCGCACAAACGAGACAATCACCAAGTCCGCTTCACATCCTTGGCTCGAATCCACGGTTGCCACCAGTACTCTCGGAAGACCCCGTTTGCTCAAAAGGGATTGAACAAGCTGCACTTGAGCCCGATAAAACGTAATCACCCTGATTCTATCCACCGAATGCCACTTGGCGTTGGTCCCGTCGTTGCCTTGCCGCAGATTGTGTATCAAGTCGACCACTCGAAGAGCCTCGGCGTGGTTTCGATAAGAGCCACAGACAGCCCGCTCTTCTGTCCCACTTACTTGCACAAAGGAGTAGGGCTCACCCGCCAGTAGTGGCACCGGTGCGCGGTATCGTGGACAAGTGACATTGTCTCCGTTTTGGATTTTTCCCTTGTAAAACTGGAGAGACGGAAAGGAGCTAATTTCTGGCTTCATACGATACTGCGTGTCCAGCATCGTGTAGGGACAATGACAATCATTCATGAGTCGTTCCTGCAAACTCTTGTCATGCCCCAACGCCACCGCTCGTTGGCTTTTTACGGTCGCTGGGAGTTGCTGCGGATCTCCGACCACCAGCAACCGCCTGGGTTGTAGGTAAAAGGGGATGCAGAGTTCGGGTTCCGTGGCGGCAGATGCTTCATCCACAATTAAATCGTTGATTTTGTGCGTCCACTTGAAGAGCATGGATCCCGCCGATGCCAATGTACAGAATATGACGTTGCCAGTGTTGAGCAACTCGCGACAGACATCGTCATTGGAAAGTTCCGATAGCTTTCCGAGCAACTCGTCAATGATTGTCAAAAGGCTCGATGATGACGACGATGATGATTTTGTGCTGTCCAACTTGGAGACCTCTTTACAAACTTTTCGTGCCAGGTTAGCAATGTCTCCCTTGGTGGCCACTGGCAGTTGTCGAACCAGTCTTTGATGCAGCCGACAGGCATTCGAATGAATGCTACTGTCGTTGGCGGACTTTCCAACAACCAAAATTTGTTCACGAAGCTGCTTGTAGTCTTGAAGGATGTTGGACAACCACGTGTAGATAAAGATGGAACGCAGTGGATTGTCGTCAATATTGTTGTTTGGTTGTTGTTTCGACGACGATGCCTCATCAGTTTCGAGTAGCTTATCCATATCCCCCACCAAGACAATATTACATGTATTGCCGCTTCCCATCATTATTATGGCTCGCAAGAATCGAGTGGCCACCACAGTGACGGCCTTGTTCGTGGGAGCACATACCATGATTCGTGGAGGACACGTATCGGGTGCCTTGAGAATGTACCGACATAGGATTGCCACCAGCAGTGTGGATTTCCCCGTTCCCGGTGGTCCTTGACAGAGTGTGACACTTCCCGGACTGGACCCAAGAAAGTTGGACGCTGCCTCTTCTTGAGATGGATTGAGCGTGGGGATTCTCACGGGAGGCGTTGTTGTTGTGTGAGGAGGTGGTGGTTCAGTCACAAGATCTTTGTCGATTGGTTGCTCTATTTCTTCTGCCGATCCATCTTTTGAAGCAGTCTCTTTGTTCTCATTGTTATCACTCTCATCGTCACTACAATTTGTACTGGTGTCATCATCATCATCATCATCATCATCGTAGTGAAATCGTGTGTGTTTCGGGAAATGTCCCAGCAATGCATTGATAAAAGGAACCTTTTTTGTTTTCTTGTTGGTACATGCTTCAAATTGTCTCAATTCCGAAATGAGACCCGCAATGGGTGAGACTTGCAACAAACTACTGTCATCATCATTGTTGTCGTCTTTATCATCATCTTCCTTGTTGATTGTTCGATCCAGTATCATGTTGTGAGCTGATGTTGTTGTTGTTGTTTGTTGAAAGATCATGACCCCAAAAGATGCATTCTCTTGCTCCAAGTTTTCTCGATTGGCATAGAGGACACATCCCAACAGAACATCCTCGACACTGTTTTTGTTATTGCTGGCAGGAATGATTTCCATGACGGTCCCTGGTCTCAACTGAAACAGTTGCTCCTTGGTCAAGCGCTTGTTTTGTTGTGCCAACTTGAGAATCAAGGTGGTATGACCCGTCTCCTTATTGCGCGATGCCGATGCACACTGGACGGAGATGGACGACTTGGTAGCACGACGTCCATTATTGTGTCGCTGTCCCCATCGTGCCATTAAGGAATCGGCAATTTGAGATCGACATTCTTCCAATACCAGTGCGGCTCGTGGTGCAAAGTGACGATTGGCATCCTCGTACTTGGGTTGCAATGGAGCCATGGGTGGACACAAGTGGACGCGACGGCAAATGGTAGTCCAGAGAGTGCTACTGTCATTGTCATTGTCAATATTATTGGAACAAGAATTCAAATAATCCGTGGCAGATGATCGAAGCAGAGCTGCAAAGAAACGCTCATATGGTTTCAACTTTCGTGACAATGGGGGATCATCTTGATTCATCTCATTCTTTATTCTTTCCTTTCTCATCATCTCATTCAATTCAACAAAAAGTGAAAGTTGTTTTTCTTCAGTGGGACGATTGAGTGGCTGATGAGTGCTCCCCTCGCTTCAGGCCCGAACCATTACATAGGCAGCTCTAATGGCGTTTAAAAGAAACAACCAGATGGCCGCTGACGTACTTACTTCCAACCAATCCCCAAGCAAACTGCCGTTGACCTCTTGGATCTTTTGATGGTGGTACCGAAAGATCTAGCTAGCTAGAGCTAGCTAGTAGAGTAATCCTCCCCATGCATCGAAGCTGAATCATTTTGGTACATCCATCGCACTTGGAAGAACGTTTTCTGCAACATCAGCAGCACCACAGATCGTCCAAGGCCAAAACTCTCTTTGGGTTGGATACACCACAAAAAGGTCAAAAGAGCTTTCGATTCGTCAAGTTGGTTTCTTCAGATCTTTCCTTGGAACTCTAGCTACTAGTGTGTGTAAATATCGAGTATCTTCCATCATGATAGTTCCAAGAATTGCACTCTTGGCGGCGGCTCTTACCAGTACATGTAGTGTGGTTGCCTTTGCACCACACACTTCTACTACATGTACTATTGGAAGAAGCCAATCGAGACTGAGCACTACAAGAGCCTCCGTGTCTCTGGATACCCCACAAAATTCAGAAGATGTCAATACGTCGTCATCGTCTACCTCCACAAATGATAATAATAATGGCGCAGCCAACAACAACAATGGCCCCGATATGGAAGCGTATAGCAACGGCTATGCCACTGTCTTTGAAGAACTTCCGTACAAAGAATGCAAACCTATTGACGGAAAAATTCCAGACGATCTAATTGGAACCTACTTTCGCTCGGGTCCCGCCATGTTCACGGCAGGATCCATTGTGCCGCCCAAACAATCCCTGGTACAACCCAAAACACAACCCGTACCCGATGGAGCCGATATGGATCGCATGGTATCGCATCCGTTTGAGGGCGATGGAGCCATTTTAGGAGTTACCTTTTCTGCTGGCGCTACCAATACGGCGTCCACTCGATTTCGGTTTGTCCGAACGGCCGGATTCACCAATGAACGAAAAAAGGGCAAACGCCTCTATGCGGCCATGGATTCGACCCGAGAATTGGGACCTCAGGCAGCCATGGGACTCGGCAATGATCTCGCACTGCCGCTCTACCGTCATCACTTGCAACCAGGATTGAATAAGCAACGAAAGAATACATCCAACTCGAGAGCCTTTTATTGGGGAAAACGACTCATTACCATGTGGGAGGGGGGACTCCCGTACAAACTAGATGGTCTCGCACTATCCACCGAAGGACGATCCCAACTAGGTGGAGTCTTGCAGGAAACGGATCCCTTTGGAGGAAAGGGTGTCATTGACTCCAAGGCCCAGAGGGCGCTCTTTTACAGTGTCAACCAAAATCCAAAATCATCCGATGTCACTCTCTACGAATTCAACGAAAACTTTCGACCCGTCCAAGAAAAGGGTGGCAAGGTACAAACCAGCTTTTCCGGATTTGCCATGATTTCCGATTTTGGTGTCACGGAAAATTATGCCGTCTTTGTTCAGCCCAATACTGTCGCCAATGGGATGCAATACATGTTCAACAAAGAACCAGGCAAGGTGGTGGCGTTGGAAAAGGGACCTTCCACACTGCATCTGGTAGCTCGAGTAACGAGTTCCAAACCATCCAAGAGCTTTCCCATTCCCACGGATGGAGCTGCCGCCGATGCCGAGCTGCAGTTTTGCAATGCCTACGAAGATGACACTGGCCGTGTCGTGTTGGACGCGATTCGGTCCGATGGATCCAACCTATCGGGGTCGTCCACGGCACCCAAGTGGCCCTGGGCCAGCTCCTTGGCACAATACACTGCAACAACACCCAAGAAATCCCTATGGCGCTATGTGGTCGACCCCAAGTCGGGCGTTGTCGAGAAGGAACTCCTTTCCAACCTGCAATGCTCGTTTGGTGTGGTCAATCCGGCCGTCAGTGCTCAAAAACATCGGTACATTTACACGACAATTGGTGCCATGGGCAGTGAAGTGGCACCACCACAGGGGATTGCCAAGTTTGACTGCGAAACAAAAGAAACACAAACATGGATGCCAAACGACAATGAATTCTGTGGAGAACCCATGTTTGCCACCCGGCAAGGGGCCAGCCAAGACGAAGAAGACGATGGGTACATATTAAGTGTCATGTACAATGGCAGCGCCAAAGAGAGTGAACTGATAATACTGGCAGCCAAAGACATTGCGGCGGGGCCTATCGCACGAATCCCACTGGGTGTCGCGGTACCACATGGTCTGTTTGGATGTTTCACGGACGCCGAAGAAGCCAGGTGGGACGGTGATACCATTGACCGAAGAGCGAAACTAGCTGACAAAATGGAAAGCAAAGGAAACATGTGGAATGAAGTCAAGAGTGACTTTTCTGGATTGGGATTGCGGTTGGATGACATTGAAGAGATATTCCCGGATCTGATGTAGCTAGCTAGCTAGCTGGATTGGCTTTCATTCAAGCACCAAGAGCCTTGGGCAGTTCGATGTCAAGACTACTAGAACATACATGCACATAAAACGGTAAGGACCAACAGTCGCTCTGGTCTGATCATGCGGATATATAGTTACAGCACCGGTTGCTGGTGTTCGAAACTGGTCCAGACGTTTGTCGCAACACGATCGATGCAATGGCTATTGATACTATCTTTTCTAAACTAGACTACGCAGCCGCCACACGCTTTTCCACAAAGTTGATCATAATGTCCATCGTTTCATCAGCCACAGGATCATTCAACAAATCATGGTAGGCCTCGGGGAACCGCTTCGATTCTCGATCAGCCTCGGGGGTTGCGGCATGTTCCAAAAGAAACTCCATACTCGAAATGGGCACGGCATAGTCCTTGACTCCGTGCAGTACACAAAATGGCACGGTCAATGTAGGAATGATATCTTCTCGTACCTGTTGCAGGGCTTCCAGCATGCCCGAGGCGGTAGCTAGTCGAAATGGCCTGCCACCACCGTCAATTCCAAATGCCCGTCGTTCCTTGGAGTCAAAGACGTCCAAGACTCTCTTGTCTCGCCAAACCAGATCCGCGGACACTGGATTGGGCATGAAAAAGGGGATCCAGGTTGGATAATATAGTGACAGCTGGAGCAGCAAAGATACCACTGGTTTGGGTGGTAAATCGGCGGGAATAACGGCCGCGCCAAGCAGAAGGATGCTGTTGAATCCTTTGGGGGTGTCCGCTGGGTTGTCCTGGAAATGTTTGGCCACATGGAGTGTCAAGCATCCCCCATACGATTCCCCGGTCAAGAAAAGGGGAGTGCCTTCTGGGTGTAGAGAAGCCACATGCTTGGTAAAGGCAATATTGTCGTCGCGGTTGGTTTCAAATCCAGGCACATAAAACCGGATACCCTCACTGTACCCGTGGCCAAGGTAATCAAGGGCATACAAGGCGTAGCCAGCTTTTAACCAGCGTTCTTTTTGCAGAGCCATACCGAACTTCTTCTCCTTGCCACCCTCCTCATCCAATACGAGCGATCTTCCACTGTGGGCTGCGATTCCATGAAACCAAATGACAATACCCTTGACGGGTCCTTTGGGCAAAAATTTGCGATAATGCAGCTTGGCACCTTGAAAGCAAGAGTCAAACCAACAATGTTCGCAGTCGTCAATGCCGCGCTCCATTTCGGCCATTGCCTTTTCTATTTTGGGAATCTGCTCTTGGGGAAGATCAATGGCACGCTCCACGCCCAAGATCTTCTTCTTGCTCACAACGGGCAAAACGGGTTTCCCATTCTTGTCCTTTTTCACAGGTGCCGGCCAGAGAAAAAACAATCCAAGCCAGGCAGCTACCTCCATTGTGGCGATCAAAAGCTTATACAGTACTTTCTATTTTACTTTTTGCCTGTTGGGGCTTACTGCATCGCACAAGTAAGTGGAATTATGAGAATGCAAGGAGAAACATCCAAAACCTGGACAGGAACGCAGTTCTCGTGGTGTCAATGACGATGAGGGAGAAAGATCCATTATTCGATTCAACAATTCGAACCAAATCGACGATTCGATTCAGTCCAACTTCGACGAGTATCCAATTCCGACATCACAAATGTGTTGATGCCAAAAGCAATCTGGAACAAGGTGCTTTCTCTCTGCAAAGTTGCTTCTCACATTCAGTTTGCTAAGGCTATACTTCCAGCCATTGAGACCACCAGCCAGCTAGCTAGAAACAAAGCGCTAGAAGGGGACCGCACAGTACCTGGTACTGGTAATAGTAATTGATCCAGTTGTAGTTTAGTGTTAGAACATCATCGTTTGTGATGGTGTGCGTCCCTACTAGTAGTTGCCATGCCCCCTACGCAGATGTTGTTTCAGCTCAGTGCTTGCAGCAATCTGCCTACCAAATCGAGCTTTCTGGTCTGTCTGTCCTTGATAGGTCCAATTAACCAGCAGTCTGATATCGCTGTACCCGTAGCATCTATTAGCATCGGTCTCGATGCAAAATCACTCGTGCCTTGGATATCCCAGGTTGGTGGCCCTACAATTTTCAGATCGAAGGATGCTGAAAATGTCTATCATTTAGGCCAGTTCATCAAACGCTTTGCAAGTTCTTGCACTTTCCAGCATGCCAAGAACCATCCAAGCAAGGACACGCAATTGTTACCCAATGGCAGAGGTAGGCAGAGTAATCCACATCAACCCACTCCAGGTGCAACGGCTCGAGTATGGTCCATCATGAATTCCATGCCTTTAGGCTTGCCACCGAACACTGCCAATCTATTTAGATACTTACGAAAAAATCAATGCCACAGAGTACCAACGACTCGTCAGCCGCTATAACGTACGTCGATGATTGCCTCTATTGGGGTTCTGATGATGCTGCGGAAGCATGGTTCGAACAAGCCCTCGGGCAACAGCTCAAAATCGACTTCATGGGTGATCTTTCCTTCTATCTTGGAGCCCATTACGACTGGCAAGTAATTCTGGACGGTCGCTTGTGCATTCACTGCTTGCAGGAAGGACACATTCACAAGATGCTCGACCAACACTCCATGCTTGATGCGAATGCAGTCGACAGCCCCTATCGCAGTGGACTTCCCATCGATCGAGTACGGCACGACGGACTCGACCCATCCGAGAAACCCCTTCTTGTGAAAGCGTACCAGTCTATTGTTGGCAGCTTGAATTGGATCAGTCTAAGTACTCGGCCAGATATCACTCCTGTTACCAGTCTGTTGGCCACGTACCTTCACAACCCATCTCCAGGGCATCTGACCAGCGCCAAACATGTGCTACGCTACCTCAAAGGTTCCTCTGGGTGGGGAATCACGTACACACAAATCTAATCTGGAAAAAGATCCTCGCTCTAGAACCTGTACTGTACAGTTTGTTGAAAACTTCCAGCCATTGAGACCGCCAAAAACATTTCGTAGAAGGGTACCCGCACAGAAATAGTAATTGATCCAGTCCTTGTCAACTTGCAATTATTGAATATCCTAGCTAGAGCGTGTTCTACTCTGATTGGACCTCGGCCATCTTCTCTCGGGCCCCTGACATTGCATCGCATGCTGTACTATAGTACTGTTGTGGCTGTACAGCCGATGCCCGTTGATGTCTGGGTGGAAACTAATTTAAGCAAAAAGACATTTCATGTCTTCTGCGGTCAACATCTTCAAGGAGCCAGCATCTCGTCCCACGGTGCCATCAAAGACCAGCCTCTTCTTCTCCTGGAGCTGGAGCACGCGCTCTTCTACGGTGCCTTCTGCAATGAATCGCACCGCTCTAATGCACCGGTGCTGCCCCAAGCGATGGGTGCGGTCTATGGCCTGCATTTCGGCAGCCGGATCTGGCGAAAGCACCACAAGTCAGAGGTTAGTCCATCCACATTTCATTCACAATCCATTCAGCAAAGCACAATTTGAAAACTTACTCCACCAATTGTCAACGAGGAAAACTTCAGAGGCAACAGTCAAGTTGAGGGCCACACCTCCCGACTTCAGAGACATCAAGAGAACGCGTACACTGCCATCTTCGCGAAAGTCTCTGAGGGCAGCATCGCGAGCTTTCACATCCATGCTGCCATGGAGAATCCTGACGCCAAGTCCCATTTCGGCCAAGCACGGATCCGTGTGCAGCCTCCACCGAATCAAGTCCAGCATGTTGACAAATTGGCTGAATACAAGAGCTTTGGAGCCCGGCCGGGCCTTTCGCATCTGAACAAGTTCTTGCACAAGGGCTTCAATTTTCGTGGATGTGGCAAACTCGGCCAAGTTGATTCGACGAAGCACCGACCCAGTGTTGACATGCCGCAAATCTTTCAGTGAGGGCCCCAACTCGGTCGTTGACGCGCTGGATTCCTTGGCTTTCTTTGTGCCTCCGCTAGGCTCCTTGCTCCTGGTGGCTGCGGCGTTTTCTTGGATATCTTGATCCGCCTGATTCAGGTCAATACTAAACCCAGCACGGCAGCTGATGGAGCAACAGAGCTTCATCAGATTGTGTGTGGCGTGAGCCCATGATTTGATTGTTCAAGAGAGTGCACTCACCTCGGGCAAGGAGTCTCGTCATCTGTGCCACCGACTGCAGTCGACACATACTCGAGAACACAACTTCTGCAGAATGCGGCACCACAGCAAGTGCTGACAACGCGACCAGTTGGGAGCTCATGACAGATGTCACAGTCGGTTGACCCGTTGGCAACGAGAGGCTGGCTGGAATCGCCACTATTGGAGGCTCTTTCACAGTTGCGCTTGGAATACACAATGAGGTAAGGGTGGTCGACGGCTTGCCTCATACGAGTCAGCAAATCAAAGATGTGCGCGTAATTGTTGAGAAGCGTGCCTTGGAGTATTCAAGAAAAGGAGTAGGATGAGACGTCAAGTAGAAGAAGCACAGTCGCTTCTGTTTTTGCTTCTTACCCTGAGCGACATAATCACTGAAGGCGCTCTTTGTCTGCGTGTACAGCGCGTCATAGAAGTCCTTTTCAATTGGATGGAGATTGATTGTCCGAATGGTCACAATTCGAGGCGGCAGATTCATATCCTCAGCCCGTGTCTCTTTGGTACGACGAAGCAAGCACTTGTCGAGCACCTCGTTCTTGAGCTGGAAGTATAGATATAAAGACTTTTGGTGAGGCTACAGTATTTGCCAACCGGCAGTGACCCGCGATTGTCAGTACTAACCTTGAACATAGCGCGTCGACCGTCACCGCTGTAACCATCCCTTTGAATCGGGTTCAGGACATGCTTGTTGAAATGAGAGTAGTGCTGGAACCCGCGATGCCCACAATCTTGACACATGCCGTCCTTGATTCGATAGTGGATGCTCTTGCAGCCACAATCCTTTGACCGGCAGAAGTAATGAGCCATTGGATCGATCCGGATGAACCGAATCAACGAGTATAGTTCCCCCACCCTGTCAAGTTGAACAGAAACGGCAGCTATGAGAAGCGGTCGGTCCAGATAGCAGTTTTCCACTCCTCGTGCGCGTGTGCTTACCTATTCTGCAACGGTGTGCCACTGTTAAAGGATGCGGGGACAGATGAGAAACAGTCCACACCAACACAATAGAACCTGCCAAAAGCTTTCTCACCTCAGTGCCCAACGATTGATACCAACAAGTGCGAAGGCTGCTGCCGCAGTCTGGGACGAACGACTCTTGATCATGTGGGCTTCGTCGAGAACGATTCGCCACCAACAAAGACTTTGGTTGATACCCAAGGAGGAACAAAGGCAGTCAGCGTCCCAAGGTGTTCTAACCCAACAATTGAAACATTCGAGAAATGATCTTACCTGTGCAGGAGACTCATCAGGGAACCTTCCATCGCTTCCTGCATCAAAGCGTCTAGGTCGATTGCTTCAAGAGGATCGCCGCGCTCCTCTTCCTCCTCTTCTGATGAATCGCTTTCTGTGCTGTATTCGTCATCAAACTTCTTTTTGCCCTTGCCCTTTGCCTTGCCTTTGGCCGACTTGCTTCCCTTGAGAGGCGGTTTCGTCATTGGTGGTTTCTTCGAGTCTTTGCCCTTTCCGCGATTTCCTTTCTTGGCTCGTTTGAGGGCCTCTGCCTGTTTCTTTCTGGCCCTGATCAGGGCAAGACTTTCTTCCTCCGATGATGATGACTCATCGTTCGAATCATCCGAACCATCGCTGTCCGACTCGACCTTCTTCTTCGGTTGTCCTTTCTTCTTCGGTTGTGCTCTGGGTTTGGTCTTTGGTGGTGCCTTTTTCTTGGCAGGTACCTTTTTGGCAGGGACCGCTTCACCTTCCGAATCTTCTTCATCGTAAGACATGGCATTGTCCTCGTCCTCATCGTCGTTGTTGTCGTCTGGTGCACTGGTCTCTTCGTCGTCTTCCTCCGCGTCAGCGGCGGTCCAATCGTTCATGGAAGCCGACATTCGCTTCGACGCATTCACCGCTGCAGATCGAGACGGACGTCCAGCAGCTGGTGTTGTTTCGGGCATGTCCTCGTCGCCTTCGCTTTCTGACTCGTTGTCGTTTGATGGACGAATGGGCTGCCCACGTTTCCCGCCCTTGAACTTTTTCTTTTGTTTCGCTCCAACCACCTCCTTGGTTCGTTTTGGCGCAGATCGAGAACGACGTCCCCCAGTTGGCGTCGGTTCGGGCATGTCCTCATCATCGTCGCTTTCGACTTTGGCGAAAGACTTCTTCTTGTCCGTGCCTTTGGTGAAGGACTTTTTCTTCTCGTTGCTTGTCTTGGAGAAGGACTTTTTCTTTTGCGATTTGGACTGTCCTCCTCCACCGGAGGCGCCCCGCCCACGGTTGCTGTGACGTTCCGCTGTGCGTTGCTGTCGCATCTGCTTTTCTGTTCGCTGCGCCCCGTCACCACAAAAATACTTGAGATGGATTCGAAGCTTGTCAATCTTGAACTTGCTCCCTTTTACGGTATCATTGAACGAAGAGAATTGGTTTAGTTGTAGTACCACGAGTAAACATGCACCCCACAAGCCGGCATGGGGAAACACAGCAAACAAAGGACAACAACGACACATACCGCAGTTCGGGCAGGTCACTTTATTGGGGCTGACCATCTTTCGGAAGTCTTGTTCGAGCACCTGATACGTGGTCAAAACAACGTCATACTTGCAGAGCTTTTGGATTGGAAAGTCCTTGGCTCTGTTCGGTCCATGATAGATCGCAATCGAAAAGGTGTCCGGCTCTGTGAACTTTTCCAGTTCCGTCTTCCACTGCAAGAGGGCAATGACGGGACAAACCACCATTGTACCGGCCCTCGCAGCCTTGAACTTTTTGGGCCACATTTTCTTGGGGACATTGTTCATTTCCATTTCATGGTGCCATTCCTGGACGGATTTGTCCCAAAGATCCGACTCTGCCTTGCGTGCTTCCAATGCTTCCCCAGTAATGGTGGGAGGGTGCTTGGCACCTGGTAGGCTATGTTGCAGCATCGGACAATTGTCCAGCATGGTGGTAATCGTCTGCAGGGTCTTTCCCATTCCTGATGAAATACCAGGGGTGTCAGAAAGCGCTGAGGCCAACGTCGACTCCAACGGCGAATCCAAACAGCACAATTACTCACCCATTTCATCCGCCAGTATTCCACCGTGTAGTTCCGGGATCTTGGTTTCTTGATGATACATCCACGAGACTCCCTCGGTTTGAAACGGAAGTAGATTGGCGGTCAATCCCTTGGGTGGTGCCCTCGTTTCACCCTGAAAGGTGACCTGAACCAGTTCATCCGGCTGGAGTTCCTTTTCTTCTTCCTCCGCCTCAATCTTGGATTCCTCAATGCGGAGCACCAACCGTTCAAAGTCCTCTCGGCTGTGTCGCCGAATGTCACGCCATCCGCCAATCTGTTCGACCCTCACAATATCTTCGGAGAAGACCATGCAGTGCAAATGACGGTAGCAGCGAAATCCCGGTTTGCCACGAAAGAGAGGAACATGCGAGAGACGCAGTTCTCCCTTGGCAATGGTTTCATCGCATCGACGGCACGTGGCCCGCCCCGACGGAGCATAGTCTGCCAAGTAGGGTCGATCTTCGTCGTCAACGTCCGAACCGGGTTTGGCGGGGTCATAGTCATCGTCTTCCGCGGAATCATAGCCATCATTGTCAATCTGGGCGAGTGACACTTCGACTTTCGTCGCAGTTTTCTTTCTCTTATGGACGGGATATACAATCTTTGCGCCATCCAATTTCGCGTCGTTCTTCTTGGCAGGAGCCTTCTTGGCAGGAGCCTTCTTGGCAGGAGCCTTCTTGGCAGGAGCCTTCTTGGCAGGGGCCTTCTTTTTGGCCGCAACCTTTTTGGTCTCGGCTGTTGGTTTTTTGGCATCCTTCAAGGAAGCCACCGGGACATCATCGTCTTCCATGTCCGATCCATCCTTGTCTTTCTTATTGTTGTTGTTGTTATCTTTGCCGTTTTCATCTAGGGATTGCTGGACAGCCGCAGCGACCATTTCTGCCTCGGTCTGATCCTGATCACTGGCTGCTGGTGAAGAGTCCTGTGGCGTGGCATGCTCCTCCTTGGTTTTGTCAAAATAGGGAGACTTGACACCAACATCTTCTTCCTCTTCCATGTCTTCCTCCTTTTTCTCCTCTTCCATATCTTCCACTTCGTCCTCTTCCTTCTTTTCTTCCTCCTTCTTAGTTTGTGGAATGTCTTTGTTTATCCACACGGTGATTTGTCGCTCTGTCATATCCTCTTGATCACCATCGTCGTAAGACAATCGATAGAGTCCCGTCTCGGCATCAAAGCTGTCCACCGTGGCCTGAAAGTTTCCGTGTTCTCCAAAACTCTTCATAAAAGTCGTCCCCTGGGGATACTTTGGAGTCTTTTGGGTCTTTGTCTTTTTGTTGGATCGGGATGAGGATCTGGCGGCACGCTTTTTATTAGTAGTTACAGCAGCAGTATCCATGGCAATGGTGGGTGGTGAGGGAGTCACCATGGACCGACTGCCACCTGCCGCAGCCGGAGATAACTTGGGAGAACGACTTCTCGTCGAGCGTCTCTTGTCGGCGTTAGTGTCAAACGGCCGCACAGCATTGGGGGGTAGCACCACTTTGGTATTGCTGACTTGGAACTTGACCATGATACCGTCGCTGAGCTCTTCTTCTTCGTCATTATTATCTGAGTAAGCACAGTCCAACTGGACGACGGATCCAGGCTCTTCTTCCTTGCTACCATCGGGTTGGGCCCACACGAGGTCTCCCACCGAAAACTTCATTCCACCACCCTTCTCTTTTAAAACTTGGTCTTTCTCTCTCTCTCTCGCGCTTGGCAGTGTCTTGACTCGACTCTTCTCTCTCTCTCTCTCTCTCTCTCTTGATTAACCCGCCGTGGTGTTTCTATCGTTGGTCAAAGTAGACACCTTTCAATCGACAGGATATCAAAAGAATGAATGAGAGCAGTTGTGGCACAAGATCTGTGTCATGCGGCATTGGAGGACGATGAACGCTTTGGAACAAGCTGCCTCCACCGTCGTCACGCTCGGTGCTACCCAAAAGGGGGTGAAACAGAGTGCAAGCAGCTCTTATTAGTCTAATCTGAGGGATTCCCAAATGCAAAGGGGGGGGAGCGTCTGACGCAGCCGAGCGCGCTTCCGCGCTTTTCGCTTCCAATAATAACCAAAAGTTGCTGCCGACAATGGCTTCCACTCATTTTTCTCTTCAACCCCATGTTGTCAACTGTTCGACAGACCTCGGTATCCAAGATACATAATATTATATAGCCTACAACAACCATGGCCAATACTACTCCAACGAAATCGTTACGACAATCGGTACGAGACCAATTGCAGTCGTTTGTGTCGACTCAAGAAGCAACGGGAGATGCCCTTGCCGTGGATGTATGGCGGATACTCCAAGAAGAATCCAAGTTGCTCTACGAGACCCAATGCATTCGCGACATGCTCGATCAAGATCCCTTTCAATGCTATGGCAATAATAATGATATCAAAAAAGTCGTCCAACGATTTCAACAATGTCTCCAAGTTACCTCCTGTCATCGACTGGAAAAAGAAGACGATTATTGTCTCTATCAAGCGACGGTACAAATCAATACTGCCAATAATACTGCAGACGCCACCATGAAGAAATCCAACAACAAACCATCCTCCCCCATGCACAAGAAACCAAAACGACTACACGCCGCCACTACCTTTCAGCAGCAACTCCATTTTCATTACGAACGACAACCTGCCACCGAAACCACCGCCACGGCGATTTGGTATTCCATTGATGTTTCCAAAAACTATGGACCCAAACAAAATTTACTCACCATTCGATGTTGGGCGGATGGAAACAAACCTTCTCGATTGCCTGCTGTGTCCATTGAAGAAGAAGCGGGAGAGGATGACGATGATGATTGGGAGGATGTATCAGAAGAAGAAGAAGATGACAACGAGACAAAATCAGAGTCAAAGCAGCCACCCAAGAATGGAACAAAATCTGCCCAGAAGACTACTGTGGAATCAAACTCCAAAACAAATGGAAACGAGGAGGAACCGAAAGAGAAAGACGATAGAGACCGATACGCCTGTTTTTTGGATCCCGATGTCTTGCAATCCTTTCAAACTTGTGCCAACCTGACTGAAATGGATGAAGCCACCGCATTCTTCACACTCATGACCTTTCAATTCTATCAACATGAATGGGATCTCGTGGGATTTGTTCTCGACTCTGTCTTTGGATACAATGATGAAGAAGAAGAAGGTGAGGGCGAAGAAGGCGAGACTTGACTAGACCAGACCAATAACCGATAATCCAGCGATTGTGAACTGCTGGAACTGTGATATCTAGGTGTAGCACCAGGTAGCAGTACGGATTTAGGGTCGCGAGTTGGGTACTTGTGCCCTCTGATACGAGAGTAGGATATCGATAGGAGTGAGCTCCTCGTTTGGCAACCAAGTCAGCTCCAAGTCAGAAAACGAGCAGGTGCCGGAGTATGCATATCTCTGTGGCCTCTTCGGTGGTTGAGAAACAAGGTTTTTCAGGGAAGAAGCCAGGTTTTTGTTCACCGAGGGGAAGATTTGCTTGATTCGAATCATAGCATGCATAGCTATTGCATTCAGCTGCATTCACTCGACCCCGGCAGCATGACAGGAGAGTGGAGGCTTCTTTTGGTTTCCAGATGGCGGTGGCATTTTTTAGATTTGGCAACTACAGTTCAACTATAGAAAGCTAGTGTTTCAGTGGGCCCTGGCAGCATAATTCTGAACTGATCGAACAGAAAGGGCTTTGTTCCAGAGCTATGCTTGAAAACCTGAAGATTTGAACACTACGAGGCTCTTCGATTCGCACCCTCCGACCCTTGTTGTGCTGAAGATTTGCACCACCGTATATGCATTCCTGATGAGAAGTCGTGCCAAGGAAAACCATGAAACTAGAGGCAGGGGAAGCCCGACGGAGCGACATTCGTTGTTCATCAAAACGGGGGCAATGTTGCAGGACGACAAACCTACTGAATGTCCACATTCAGTTCGAAGGGGCTCATGTTGCATTGGAATTAAAGGTGCCCTTGGGAACTTCTACTCTTCGGAAAGGTCGAGTTCCTTTGTCCACTACTTCTAAATGTTGGAGCTATGTCGGTTGGCAAAGCTGTTGGCATGACATGCTATTGGAGCTCTATTGGTGAAGCCCAGGGATTGACGAAGCGAGGCCCAGCAGGGCCACAAGGCTCTTCCTGCTACACTTACGTTTTCAAGGTTCCTCCGAGCACTCCTTCCTTGTTGTCTTACAGGGGAAGCATCCGCAAATTCCAAATGAGACTTTGGCCGAGACAGGATCTTTCGTCATAATTTCAAACATCACTGTCTGCAAAGTTCAAACCGCACCACAGGTTACTTGCTTGCTTCACCATGCCAATCCCAGAATATGTGTACGTGATGCATGGCGCGGACGACGACGACGACGCTTTCCTCTCCTGGTCGGACGAAGACAACAACGACCGAGGCTCTCATCAGATGAAACTTGCTCGAGATTGTCCCCGCCATTCGATGAATAGTCTTCAAACTCGATGGTCTCGTTGGGATGCATCGCATGCAGCCGTCAGTGGCAGCTCCGCTGATGCCACCAAGATCAACTTTGACTGGGGGCAGCCAAACGGCACGCGAACGAACACTGCGATGCTATCCGACACCGTTCCTTCAAGTGTCCTCGATCGTTTGAGCTCTGCCGCCAACATTCCAGTTCATAACAGGATACACGCCGCCGAGGAAAAGCTCACGATAGCCTTCCCCAAACCAGGAGTGATCACCAAAGCCAGGTCACTGCCACGCTCTGATTCCAAGATGTCGTCCAAGCTCCGAAGCAGTCCTCCCAAGCTCCGAAGCAGTCCTCCCAAACTCCCGCGGTCTAGTCGCTGCGCTTGTGCCCCCCCGAAGCCACCAGTACGAAGGCTGAGCATGGCCATTTCTGAGACCTCCGAATGTGACTGTGATGCCAAAAAGATCCACTCTTGTCCCTGCTGATCGTTGACTGATTCGATTGAATCATTCGGTACGACGTACAGCCCCGAAGGAAGTCACGACTTTTCAATTACAATAAAACCGGTACGGTACGATCAGGCTGTGTGAAACAAGAGAATATCTAATTTCTAGTTGTCCAAATCAAAACCAACAATAATGTACGTCGCAGAAACAAACAGACGGACTAAAATACAATCTCTGCCTAGACTAGTTTATCTTCTATGTTTCCGACGATGTAGATGACGCAGTTGCCACCGCTGCGACTTGCGAGGCTCGTCTCTGGAGCACTTGCACTCCTTCGCGACTCTTTTGTTGCCCGAGGGCGACAGGACAGGCCAGTTTGGTCACTTCTGCCGGTACATGGGCATCTTCCTGCTTCATAATGGCCTTTTCGTGAATACACACTTGTCGCCCCATTTCACGCACGACATGCACCTGCGCCGATATCCATTCTCGTACGGCATCTTTTTGCGTGTTTTCTTCCTCGTCCCAGACTCGATTGTGGAGTAGAAATAGCATCATGAAACTGGGCAAATACCACAGGGATGTCAAGAATACTTTGCGGGCATTGGCATTGGTTCGATCGCGTGAGAATTTGTGCGCGACATGGAGTGCATAGGCATTGAGTGCCAATCCTTCCAAAGCAAACATACTGCTCGTGACACCCGTCAGTGTAGAGACAAATGGAATGGCACTGAGATAGGCGGCATATCGTGTAATGAGACTGGCCGTGTGGGAGTAATCGGTATTGCCATTGGCTTCTCGTTGTTCTTCCACCACGGGAACCATGGCAAATCCACCTCGTGCATAATCTTGTCGATGCATGAAACTGAGGGCAAAAAAATGTGGCATTTGCCAAAGAAATAACGTGGATCCCAACAACATGGCCTCAATATCCAACAAGGATCCTCCCGTCGCGGCAGTCCATCCCATGACGGGTGGAATGGCTCCCACAACAGCCCCGACCCATGTATTGTAAATGGTGCGAGGCTTCATCCACGTGTACAATCCCGAGTAGAGGAGAATATTGGAAGCACCCAAGAGTGCCGTGGTGGGATCGGTCCCCACATAGAGCAGACTGACGCCTCCGACACCCCACAGCGTGGCGGCCGTTTGGGCTTGTCCCATAGTCAGCGTGTCTTGGACGAGTGGTCGTTGTTGTGTGCGTTTCATGCGCTTGTCGCGATCCACTTCCAATATTTGATTCCATGCCGCTGCCGACGACGAACAGAGTGCTGTGCCCACCACACAACTCGACAAGACACCCGCGGAAAAGGGACCACCGGCTGCCAAAAATCCACACCCCGTAGTAGCCACGACCAAGGCGGATAACCGGGCTTTGGCCAAGTCGGCGTACGCTTTCGATTTGGAGGTGGATTTTGTGGTCTCGGATTTTTCCACTGCAACATCTGTGCTTGTGGTACTTGTTGTAGTAGTGGATGAAGCAGAGAAGCGGACCACCAACCGTTCCTCATGGCCCACCAATCTTCTGTATGCGGATGTTCTTAATACTCTACTGCTACTACTAGCAGCCAAGCTTCGTCGGAGCAATAGTGAAGAAGTCATGGTATAAGAGACTCACGCTCTAAAAATAAAACTCAAGGCACTGCAAGGATCGCCTCTTACTATTCTCATCACAACAGCGGATGCCGACCGCCATTGTGGCCTCTTCAAAAGTGCCGATGTGGTGTGGGCTTCTCTTGCACGGACGAAGGACGCACCAAATTCGATGACGCAGTTGGAAGAGGCGATCAAAGCTAATAAGATCCCACAAAAGATGGATCTGTTCGTCCAGGTTGTGTTGATGGCAATCGGGGAACAATTGCAGCAACTTGCTACCCCGGTACTAGCTAGTAACAAAACTGTTGAAGGTTCCCTGAAGTTGCTTCTCAGATTGACTTTGCTTAGTCTACTTCCAGCCATTGAGACCACCAGCCAGCTGCTAGCAACAAAACCCTAGACGGGTACTGCACAGTAATAGTAACTGATCCAGTTGTAGTTAGAACATCATCGTTTGTGATGGTGGGCATCCCTACTAGTAGTTGTCATGTCCCCCATGCAGATGTTGTTGCAGCACAGTGCTTTAAGCAATCTGCCAACCAAAGTGAGCTTTCTGGTCTGCAGGGCATTCTGTCTTTGATGGGTGCAATTAGTAGCCAACAGTCTGATATCACAGTACCAGTACCGGTAGCATCCATTAGCATAGGTCTCGATGCAAAATCTCTCGTGCCTTGGATATCCCAGGTTCCAACTTTCAGAGGGAAGGATGCTGAAACTGTCTATCGTTTAGGCCAGTTCATCAAACTGTTTGCAAATTCTTGCACTTTCCAGCATGCCAAGAACCATCCAAGCAAGGACGAATGTGACAACGGTGCCAGTATGCCTGTGGAAGGACAGGGCTCCGTTAAACTGTCTCTTGAAAACAAGACTGTCGCTGAGCACCATTGGTTATACGTGTACGTTCCTCCAGCTGCAATGCATCTGAAGTCCGTTCGGCTCCACTGTCGGCTCCACTGTCGGCTCCACTGTCGGCTCCACTGTCGGCTACATCCAGATGCTTTCTTCCTTGCCAACTATGAGGAAGACATCTTGGGTTACCCAGATTTCAACATACACATTGACGACACTGACAATTGTATCATCAACTGCGGAGGTCGAGGGACCCACCTATATGTTTGGTGACAACGGGTCTGTGGTGACTAGCTCCACCCAGCCTCATTCCCCACTCAAGAAGCGACTTCCCGCCCTGCTAACCTTGGTATGACGCTGGATTTCTCGAAGCCTGCAAAGTTGATCGTGGATATGACTGACTATGTCGGGAAGATGGTTGATGATTTCTCCGTCAAATTTGATCCCGATGTGAAAGTGTCATCATCAGTGGCAGAAACTCTGTTCCACGACTCTACAGGTGAGAAGTTGGATCAGAAACGTGCGGAGGAATACCATACGTTCACTGCCAAGGGAGCACGCCCCGATATTCACCCTACCATCGCCGTGCTTTGCACGAGGGTACAGTCTCCGACTGAAAGTGATTGGGAAGCTTTATTGCGTATGTTACATTATTGCGACAGCACGCATGACGATAAGCTTATCCTTTCTGCCGATAACTTGAATGTGATTAAGTGGTACGTTGATGCAGCTTTTGCTGTTCACCCTGACTTCCGTTCCCACACAGGTGCAGTTGCTACTCTTGGACAAGGCTGTATTATTACCATGTCGAAGAAGCAGAAGCTCAATACGAGGAGCAGCACCGAAGCAGAATTGGTTGGCGCTGATGGTGCCGTCCAAACACTGTTGTGGACACGTTTGTTTATGGAGTATCAGGGTTACCGTATGGATGTCGTTCTCAAACAAGACAACAAGTCCACGATCCAATTGGCAAACAACGGAAAGGAGAGCTCTACAATTCGTACGCGAGCGTTGAATATTCATTATTTTTTCCTTACCGACCAGATCAATCAAGGTAATCTTGTGGTCGAGTATTGTCCTACGGACAAAATGATAGGTGACTTTATGTCAAAGCCGTTACAGGGAGCAGCATTTGCCACGGAACATGTCAACATCAATCAACATGAACGAAAAGAGATGCCCATAGCCAAAAAAGACTGACAAACATGGACCAAAACAAGTTGTGCGATTTTCTTTGGATGCAATGACTACAAAGAGAACTCGAAAGACATTCTGTGACTGGGGAGCGGGCCATCTACATTTTAGTTTAAAACAGAAATTCCATGATGAGATTATGGGATATGCTCCTCCATCCGATAATTAGGGATGGAGGCAGGAGTGTGTTGGATCACGGGTATCCGGGACTCAAGTTCGAAATCGACTGGACGACCAAAAGCGATTCCTCACTTTTCTTTTTAGACTGACTTTTAAAATAGCTCCACCATGGCCAAACATGTTGTTGACGTGGATCCTCTCACAACAGAAACGATTGATATTTGACTTTCCGAATGAAGTTTTCACCATGATGTATTGCCTCTTTATCAGATGGGATCGATATTTGGGGACCATGGATTTCCCTTCGTGTCCATGTTGGTTGCCACAAGAATCAGTGAGAGAGGAGCAACCTCCTGGATTCAACTGACAAAGATCGCGGTTGATCGGCCGATCAGTCAGATGGCCTCTTCATTCTTCGAAGGAAACCATCTCATTATTTTGACTATCGACACTTTACGCACAAGGGAAACTCTGCAGGAATCTTCAATTGAAAATGGTGGCTCTTCATTATCTTTCTTCCGGTCAATTGATCGACGACCATGGGGATCGACCGTTCGGTCTTGATCATTGGGATTCTTCTTCTTCAATCGGCTTCTTGCTCGCTTCGTCCGCCGAGTTCTCCGATCGATCCACGCTCGCTCTGTCACGACGCTCTTTGGGTCTTCGGTCCACACTCGCTCCGTCCTTCCACCATGGGGAATCCAACAGCCAAACCTCCCAAGCGTGGGCGCAAGAAGCTTTTCTGCGCCAGAAAACCCAAGACTGAAGCCAAGGATAGGAAAGCTCGCTCTTTGTCTCCCAAACCAACATCTGTTGCTTCTGTGACTCCACGACCATCTTCCAGTCGTCGTCCTCCTCGCCGTGCTTCCACTGGTCAGCTAGAGAACAACCATGTGACTCCTCCTGCAGCCTGTCGATCCAGCACTGGTGGTCTGGTTGGAGGCTTGACTGAGGAACAACGCCGGCGACACCAGGAATTGGATGATGCGCTTCTAGCCAGCGACACGGATGATGACGAGCTTGAGGATCCAGACCTTCGGCGTGCTGCACTTGACTCTGACACTGATCATGATGATGACTCTGACAACGAAGGAGATCTTAGTAATGATGAGTGGAAACTGGATGAGGAAGATGAGATATTTCCGATGGAGTCACTCTTGAACATGTCTCGCTCTTTGCGAATGGCTGTCGCCAACTTGTTCTGTTATCTCTATGACTATCCTCCTGAGTCTGAGTGGAAAGGCAAAGGCAAGATCCAGCCTGACATTCAAAGGCGATTGGAATTGGCATCGGATGCAAAACTCCTCCATATCTTCCGTGACATTGTCTACTGTCGCGAGAATTGCATTGAGTATGTTGGGGTGCGCATCTTCAGTCGAACCAAGCCTGTGAAGATCCCAAATGACTCTGAAGAGAACTCAGGCAGTTAGACTGCCGAGGTAAAACTAGCCATGGGAAGTTCCTCAAGTGGGATAACAGAGGGAGGAGTCAATAGTGCTGATACTAAGGCATTGGGGGGCAAAGTTAGAAACGCCTATTGTGGGGCTGAGTGTGGCGCCATGCTTTGTGAACAACTGATACTCAGCAACATTTCCTTGGCAAATGGGAACATGCAGTGAAGAAGCGATGAATATCTCCGCTGATGGACGGAAGGTTCCCTGCATGTCCCCCGGTTTCACAGAGCTTAATATGGACCAAGTGGTCCTTGTTGTGAAGTTTTGCTTGTCTCTGTAAATGTAGTGGTTCTTCCAGCATTGCAACAGGATCATCCCGAGAGTGTACCGCCAGAAGAGGCACCTGCAAGTCCTTGAGACGCCACATTGGGATGAGCTTGCTTGGATCATCCGATGTTTTTAAGACTTGCTCAAACTCCTTGGCATAATAGGGTTTGACGACTTGATTGTTTGGAGTGGTGCACCTTTTGGGATGAGGCACATCGCAAGTGTGTCATTGGATCAATGCATGCTCAAGTCAACCGTGATTATCAGATTCGATTCTGCCGTGATAAAAAGGGCAATCCGGATCCCAATGGCAAGATCTCTGAGGAAGCTCCAGCTCACCGTCTGAATGTCAAGTACGAGGATGAAGTGCGCTTGGGCTTGGGTTGTGCCATGATGGTGACTGGAGAGGAAGGCGCGCAGGTCAGGAAAGGTTATGTCCTTGCACCCTTCGACTACTCAACGAAGAACCTCATCTCCTTGAAGAAGTATCGCAAGTTTGTCCGCATCGAGTTTGCTCGGATCAAGAAGATGGGGGATGGGAATGCGAAGCAGCATGGCTGGCTCGAGACCACTTGCCAGAAAGGACAGTTGTACATGGGAGATCGAGTTGCTCCTGGTATGATCAAGGGATTTGCTGACAGGACTATCGCAAAATTCAACAAGCATGACGTCTTCACTATCAAGGATATCAGTCTGCTTACCGACAGCAAGATTACTACATTGAACAAGGGAGTTCGTGGTGGTCAGTCGCCTGATTTGCCGGCTGTGGGAAAGAGCGTGAAAGCTCTCAAAGCTTTGCGGGATGCCTGCCGCAATGCCCTTCATATGGTGCCGGTTGAGACGGATCATCGCAAGGAGAAGAATCCTTACAAGTCTCGTTTTGGTGACGATGAATGGCGGTCTTACATCCAGCGATCGACCACTTTGAAGGCCGTTGTGTGTGTGACAGAGCTCGTGAAACACATTTACAATGAATCCAAGGACTTCTTTGCGGAACACTTGCCAAATTTTCACGGCTGGTGGTTCTATCATGATGCGCTTTCCCAGATGACATCGAAGGATTGCCATGCTTGGATGAAGAAGAACGGAATGCCAAGCATTGGCTTTTGCCTGTCGGATTGAACCTCACTGGTGTCCGCTACGACATTTTTCCCTCTGGTAATTCGCCAGAGATGATGCCGTGGGATTGCTCGTTGAACAAGGATTTGAATGATGCTGTCAACCGTCACATCATTGTCATGGGTCATTTGCCTGAAGACGATCCTGCCAAGTTCTCCATTTCCACGCCCGAACGCGGCCAGAGTGCCTACCATCGCGTTCTTGAGGGAGGTGTCCCCAGTAAACGAATCATCCAGGATATTGAGAAGTTTATTCCTGCCATTAGGGCAATCTACGAACATGAGGGTGCTGTGATTCCTGGATTGGGCGACCAGAACGGCAGGAGGGCGCAAGAGAGGAAAGAAGCAATGATCAGGGACGGCACATGGGTTGACCGTCGCGGTGGTCCTCGAGTTCGTAATGTGCTCAAGCAAGTCCAAAGGCTCAAAGATCAGTATTGGCACAACGATGCAGTTCCTCATCTTCTCGAGAACTTTTTCACCACCAAGAAAGCTGCGGAGTATGAAGACAATGTTGTAGAGAGTTTGTTGAGGGAGAATATTCTCGGGTTTGAGTATGAGGACAACGATGGTGCTAACGGTGATGTTATCGACTTGGAGGTGGACGAAGAGGAGGTGCAGTTTGATTCCAACGGGAACGAGGTGTTGGATGACTTCTTGGTGCCTGTGGAGGTGGATGAACCGGAGGAAGAGATAGTACCTATTATTGAATTGCATTTGGACGAGGAGGATCAGGAGGAGGAGGAGGTGAGTTCTTTGGTTTCTACTGCTTTTCTATGGTCTTATTTTTAACTCCTTTTGACTTGTTGCCATTTCAGGATGAGGATGTGGAGATGGAGGATGCTGAGTGAGTGTTGCAAGGCATGCAACAAAGGGAATTGTGGCTGTGTGTTTGTGGGGTGTATTTGCTTTGCTTTATATTGAGTCTGTGGGTGGTTTGTGAGCTTCACGGGAGAACATCTTTCGACGGGATTTTCGGTCGCGATCTTGGCTCCGGATCTTCGCGGAATTTGTGAGGGGATCACAGGATCTTTCAGCGTTTGCAGATTGACGATGCCGTGGCTGGCTGTGTTGAGGTCACTCGCTGTGTTGAGGTGTCTCACCAGTTGAATGGTGGACTGCTTGTGAGAGAAAGCATCTCTTTACAGTGGTCAAATGTGCTTGGTCGATTGACGGGAATTTATTGTTGCTTTACTTGAGATCGTGGATTTTCTTCTGTGACTGACTGTGACTTAAAGAAATGGTTTGACTTTCAATCCCGATTCAGAATGAAATGCCAAAGGAAGTGACTCGGACGCGAGGCGAGCCTCACTTTTTGCCAAAATCTTACTATTTTAAAACATGATAGAAAATACCTCTTCATCGCTCTTGTTGATCATGCTGGAATCCAACTTAGACTCAATTTCCCATCACTATGTCCCATTGAGCATCTTCATTTTACACCCAAAGGCAGCCATCGCAACAACAAAAGAGGCAACATTTTTTTTAACTTGCCAAACCAACCAGACATACGGTACCGGTACCGGTACAGGTTCAAGACCCCCACCTGTCATTTATGGAACAGCTCAGCCGGATTAATATAAAAGATCCAAGCAAAAATCCAAGAAGGGAAAAAGGCCGCTTGCCACTTGTCAAAAGCCTTTGGTCTCATTCATTTTGGCACACACCACTGAACCTACTGTGGTGATGTTTGACGATGGGTGAAACCATGAAACGAAGATAACGATACTGCAACAATGAAGCGAGCGAAGAAGAGAAGAGGTGGAAGTGCCTTCTTCTATCTTTGTCTGCTGGTATTGCTTCCAGTAGTAGTGGAGGCCATCCGGCTACCGTTCCTCGGTCAACATGCCGAGGAAAGCCCGAAGCAAGATGGTTCATCTTATCCACAAGATGATGGGCACTCACCATTGGGTAGAACGGCAGAGCTGCCAGTGAATGCACCTCTGACAGGTGCTTTTCTGCTATTGGCGCTCCAAGAGAATGGATGGACCAGCATTCGGAAACATCTCGAGGTGCAGCGACAAACATACCAGCAGATATATGCGTTTATCATGTACAAGCCACCAGTGTAAGTGAAATAGATTGTCGAGCATTGGATCGACGATAGCCTGAGCTTATCGGAAGGGTTCATGTTTGTTGTCGTTCACACTCACACTCATACCCACTTCTCTTGCTTCCAATCGTTTGCCTTTTAGTGGAATGGTCACTACCTATGTTCTATTGCAGCTGGTACTTTCCGGACGCCTCTTTCGTGCCTACAATCAGCTTCCGTCGCAAGGGGTGAACGGTAAATACAGTAACCATGGACATCCGAGTCGAAACCAGTACTACAACAACGGACTCAGTAGTATTATGCAACAAGAGCACCGAAAATCGAAACGACGGCGACACAAGGGCCGAGCCTTTTCCTTGGAAGAACGTGACCAAGACTATGTTTCCTATGGAGTCATGGAACGGATTCGCGGACGGCTCTGTGTGGCAGCCTTGGCCGACATTGTAGAGCAGCAGGAAGCACTCTATCCTGCCTTTGCCGCCGAGCGATCGGCTCTGTTTTACTACAAGAAACACTACCGTAAAGATTGTGATCAGATGGATACAGAATGGCTCCTACAAGTGCCATGGGTATATGGAGCCGCATTGGATGCGCTCCAGATATCCTGTGCACCTGGAGGATCCCGCTTTGAGTTTGTCGAGCAGCTACGAGAGCCCTTGGCGCGATTAAAGGCAGCCCAAGTCTATTATGAAAAGCGAGCCAACAATAATAATACACGAGAGTCAAAACAACAATCCACAAAGCTGCCCACTCCAACGGTGCTTCAAGTGGCAACCACAATCTTGGAGATTCGAGCCACGGATGCTTTGTTGCGTGTCTGTCGAGACCGATTACTCAAGACAACCTATCGCTTGGCACGTACCGCCAAATATTGGAACCGAAGAGTGGAACAAGCCAAAGCCATGGCCGTCTTCCAGCAGAGTCTGATTCGTGATACCATCGAGGGAGATCGTCTTCGACTTTCCTATGCACAAGCCGCGTACAGGGCCGAATTGGATCGACTGGGACGCATTTGTGCCATGCTCTTGATCGAAAAACAACAACACGATAACCCGCAAGAGGCTCCGGGGAGACCCAAAGAACTTCAAGACATTCATCTTTTGCGGGCCCTCCGACGAAGCAAACGGGTCAGTGCCATCTATGGATCGACAGCCAATCATCCTTGGGCAAACCGAAAACAAAAGAGAAAGTGGCGGAGCACTTGGCGACTTCCCAAACTGTCAAGGTATGCTGTTCGAATTGAAAAGGGTTGGATTACAATACGGCACCTTGAGAAGGATACCTTTATCGACGGCGGAAGTGCCACGAACGTGTTGATGTTAGATGATCCGGAGTCTTTGAAGGAATGGCAGGAAGACGCACAAAATTGGATTCAAACGTCCAAAAAGACGCTTTGTGATGTGCTGAACGAAACGCTCATGACTTCGGTTGAGTCCAATAATGGCGATGAGACTTCACCGTTTGTACACGACGTCAATCTGCTTCGAGAAGCATGGGAACTGTATCCAAAGACGGAAACGCCAGCAAGAGGTCCGATTGAGGACTCTGAAGTTATGGCCATGACAATGTACAACTACACCTTGCTTGCGTGGGGGCGCGCATTGCATGTGGTCGACGATGTAAAGGACTTTCGAAGGATGGGCGAGGGCAGAACTATGGGCTTGAAAGAATTCACAATTGTGGGCTTGCTCAATGAGTTTGATTTCTTTGGCATTCCTTCTGCAATGGCTAAGGTCTACTTGGCCTATTGCTTGCATGATTGGATAGCCCCGCATTGGCCTGTGATCCTGGCGTTTCTGCGAGAAGCATGGCAGACGTTCGTCATATTTTTCATGACTCGGTTTTTTGAACCGGCAAAAGGTGTGCTTCTCTCACTTCTCAGTCCGGGAGAGAAAAGCATGCTCGAGGACTTTGACCTGCCGAGCGAAGCCCGCAGTCTAGACAACATGTTGAAAGACCTTAAGTTTGGGGATGGGACTCCGGGGGATAGGAGGAAAGCGTTAGAGGCTGCCGCCCTTCAATACGAAGAGGACGTGTCAACTGGCTTATTTCGGACAATGGCTTCTGGCCAGTTGATCCGGTTGCTGTTGGTCCAGATGCAGCAAGTCAAGCTCGGCATGCTCAATGCGATGGAGGATATTGATGTCTTGCTTCAAGCGAACAAACTGAACATGCGTATCATGGCGGCGGTGCCGGGCATTTTCCTTGCCTACTTCTGGACTCGAATGTTCGTCAGACATCTCTACAATTTGCGGTCACGAGACTTGAGACCCATTACTGATGTGTATGAGGACATGACAGCGCACTTGCACAGAATCAAAAGCATCCTTCTTCTTGCAGACGGGGCGACCTTTGGGGACAACGTTGAAAACAGCGGCGCTGCTATACTGGGATCTGCGGTGAATGTGCTTGGACCGATTGAGCTGGGAGAAGTTGCTCTGAACATGCACTGTTACCTTGTTCTACTGGATTATTGCTCCCCCAATCCATTCCCAAAACGTCACTGCGACGAGATACATCAATCAATCCGAGAAACGCTGGGATCTGTCAAGAAGACAGACCAGCTTGATCGCGCTGACAAACAGGGCGTTGGAAGATCGATGGCTTTAGTCGACCTGGTGATCAAGAAACACCAAGGTCTAAAGAAGTATTTGTAGTGCTGGCATAGATACCAGTAGGAAACAATCAGGACCAGCTTTCAGCAGCATGACGGCCTGTTAGAAAACTGTTTGTGCTGACGATTCGATTGGTCCAACCGAGCACGACAGGGAGCTGCCCTGTACAATTCGCTCACCTTCGGGGGCTAAGTAATTGCTAAGTTAACCACCGCTCTCCTCTCTCAGCCAAACTAAGCAAAAGATCTTAGGAAACATTTTGCAAGTACAGCAGTGGTGCCGGTGGTGGTACAGTCGTACTACTGGTACCGGTACTAGAGGCACTGCTTTAGAAACTGACATGACCGATTTTCCCGAGCCTCGAGCGAACCTAACCTTCTTTTCACTGCTCTAGCTAGCTAGCATCCACAGCACTCAGACTCTCAACATCAAGGATACTCCAACGTGGAAGATAGATATCAAAAACCATTCATCGCACTATCCTACCATCCTAAAGGAACCCTCTCCCTCCCTCCCTATTCAGTCTGCATCATATCTACTAGTAGTGAGGTGTTGTCGGCTCGACTCGACTCCGCTCAACGTGCACGATGCACCAACGTGGAAGATAGATTTCACCAGCGTCGATGGCTTCTTCCTGCCATTGTAAAGAACCCTGACCAGCGTGCTGTTGTCTCGTTGCTCGTTCACGTTCCTCGTTCCTCGTTCGTCGTCCACTGGATCGTGCCGCAACGGTCATGATCCACCATTTGGTAGGATTCTTGAATCGGATTTAGGGCAGAGTTTGAAACTCTACCCTATGAGGGCAGAGTTTTGAAACTCTGCCCTAAATCTTGGGTAGAGTTTGAAACTCTGGGGGGTGCCTCAAATCAATCTTGTTTGTCTGAATATATCCCCAACCACCTGCATGTGGTACCCATTTGATGCAAACAGGTGGTGAACAGTGGTCAAAGGCGGTAAGTAGTGGTTAAGGCTAATACAGGCGGTAGAATGGTGAACAGGCGGTAAACAGGTAAACAGGCGGTAAAACAGACGTTTGAAGGCGGTCGGAGGTGGTCGAAAGCGGTTGAAGATGGCTAAACTTGGTCGGAGATGGTACCTAATCGCCAAACTGTCAGAAAGGTGGGGTAAGAAAGGAAGAGGCAAAACCAGTTGGTTTGAGGCACCCCCCTGCCCTAAACTCTCCCCTAAATCGAAACGGGACTGCGTAGACAGTAGTAGTGTTTCTACGTAGTCCGTTTCGGATTTAGGGCAGAGTTTCAAACTCTGCCCTATAGGGTATTGAAACTCTGCCCTAATAATTAGGGCAGAGTTTGAAACTTTGCCCTATAGGGTAGAGTTTGAGAAACTCTACCCTATAGGGCAGAGTTTCAAACTCTACCCTATTCGAAACTCTGCCCTAAATCAGGGATTCCCCTTTGAGGCACGCTCCAGAAGCGGCTGGGCAGCAACATAGTCCGCTCTCACCACATAGTAACCTGATAATCAAGAACAGCAACAACAGCAACAGCAACAACATCTCTCATTGCTACATCATGTCCGCCCAGCCAAGCAAGACACAGGAGTTGTGCACTTCTGGTACCAGCACTGGCCTTCCGTTGCTGGTTGACCACAATGAGCTTTGGGTTGGACAGATCCTTCCATTTCTGGGAATGGGGCAGTTTGCCTTTGTTGGCAGTGTCAACAAGCAGTGGAACAAGCTCTATCAAGAATACTGTGCCACTGTGGCGAATCCTTCTTTAGTCAAGAAATCAAATAACTCCTGGCATGGAAATCGCGCAGCAAAATACAGAGATACGTATTACTCAGCAGCATTCTACAATGTATCCACCGCTGAATATTGGCACAACTATGAATGCTCAGAGAACAATGATGTCTGCACTGTAATTGCTAAACTGGGGTCTCTGTCCGTGCTTCAGTGGGCCCGTGAACATGATTTTCCATGGGATGAAAGGACATGTGCCAATGCTGCCAAGGGTGGCCATTTGGATGTCTTGAAATGGGCACGTGAAATTGGTTGCCAGTGGGATAAATGGACATGTGTCAATGCTGCCCAAACTGGCCATTTGGACATCCTGAAATGGGCACGTGAAAATGGCTGCCCTTGGGATGAACAGACGTGCAAATCTGCTGCTCTCCATGGCCAACTTGCACTCCTGAAATGGGCACGTGCAAATGGTTGCCGGTGGGATGAACAGACATATACCACTGCTGCTCACCATGGCCAACTTGAACTCCTGAAATGGGCACATGGAAATGGCTGCCCTTGGGATGAACAGACGTGCAAATCTGCTGCTCGCCATGGCCAACTTGCACTCCTGAAATGGGCACGTGAAAATGGCTGCCCTTGGGATGAATGGACATGTGCTCTTGCTGCTTTCCATGGCCATTTGGACATCCTGAAATGGTCCAGGGAAAATGGTTGTCCATGGGATGAACATACGTGCGGCTTTGCTGCATCCGGAGGGCAATTGGATGTCCTGAAATGGTGCAGAGAAAATGGTTGTCTATGGGATGAACGGACGTGCTCAGCTGCTGCTGTCAATGGCCAGTTGGACATCCTGAAATGGAGCAGAGAGAATGGCTGCGGTTGGAGCGAAACAACATGTGCCACTGCTGCTGGCCATGGCCAACTTGAACCCCTGAAATGGGCCAGAGAGAATGGCTGCCCTTGGGATGAACAGACGTGCTCATCTGCTGCTGGTGATGGCCATTTAGAGGTCCTCAAATATGCCCATGAAAATGGCTGCCCATGGGATGAACGGACATGCAAGTATGCTGCTGGAAGGGGTCAATTAGGGGTCCTCAAATATGCACATGAGAATGGGTGCCCTTGGGATGAAGGGACCTGGCGAAGCGCAAAAGAATATGGCAATGCGTACTTGTTGCAATGGTTGCGAGATAATGGATGCCCAGGAGCCAAATAATTTGATTTGATTGAAAACACAGGTGGATCTGGCTAGCTAGAATATTCTTTAATACTAAGAGATACAGGCAGCTTCGGTTTTAAAGATTCAAACGCGTGCCAGGTTTTCTCGTACACTTCTACGAGAGCTCGAGTAGATGTGTACCAAGAAGGTCGGCACGCGTTTGCATCAATAAAATCGAAGCTGCTCGTACCTAATTACTAGCAAAGCTACGGTAGAACATACTCATGTGCATGTGTTTACCACCCGGTTGCAGCACCCGCAGCGGCGCCCCTCCAGTCTGTTCACCTTCCCAGCTGGTAGCAGCATATCCTTTGGCAGGAGTGGCATCGAATCCAAATGTCTCCTACCTGCAGCCAGCGACGTGAAGAGATTCTTTGATATTTGATGTGAAGCTGTCATGGTGGCTCCCGTGGCTCGATTGATCGATTGTTGGTATCGTATTGTTCCTGCTCTTTGTCATCCCGGTTTCATTTTGTCCCCACTTCTTCCACTCCGGTAGCTAAAGAATTCCGGTTGATTGCGAAGCATTTCAAATAGCATGGTCGTGCGTCCCTGTGACGAAGCGAGCCCCAATAGGTGTGTGGAAACTGGCATGGAAAAGTTTTCTGGCGCCGGATAGAGTTCCAACAATTCGGCCAGACCCGTACTCCAACCTCGCAATCCGGCTTGTATGGCCAAGTCCAATGCCAGTTTTCCTTGTTGGTTGGTTATCCGTGCTGCTTTGGGATATCGGTTGGCAATGCTGGTCAGAAACTGTTCTTCCGGATCGTCATCGGGTGAATAGATGCCAGCCACAATGTGAAGTGGGTGGTTCCCCTGCTGATCTGCCTTGCCAAAGTCGTCCCCATATCGCTTCATGGCCCTTTCCAAAAGAGCATACGGGAAATTGTTGGCTCGGAGACAGGCGTGTACCATGGGAGATTCCCAATCATAGTCTCCCGAAGGATCCAATGCGACTGCCAAGGGTTGCACGCAATCCCAAAGATGTTGACTGGTTGTCTTTTGGTTTGAGTGCTCATGATAATGTCTGTCATAGTATTTGGATCGTTCTTCACTCATGAGAATACTTTGTGACAAATTATCAATGGGACGCATGAGGGTATCATCTTGTTGCAGTGCCGAATGAGCGGCTTCTCTCACCAACGTGCGAACCACGTCGGCTCTGGGAGCGTGACAAACGGCCACATGGAGTGGAGTGCGGCCAAAGGTATCTCGAGACAGTGCCAAGGAGGGAGCTTTTTGAAGAATGGTTTCCACAATGGACACTGGCACTGTTGGGAGACACACTGAGGCGTGCAGCAGTGAGGATTGCTGCGTCAAGGGCTCATCCGGGCCAAATGTTTCCAGCAAAGTAGAAGGCTCCATCAAGGTGTCTGAGGACGTCACTTCTTTCAGTCTCGTGGCCAATCCTTCCCAGTTTTCTTGGAGAGCCAATTCAAATAGATAATCACCCATTGAATCCAATCAGTACCTTTCTCAGCTAGAGCTCCTTGCTGAATGCGTGCTTGTACTGTATGGTCCCAAGCTTGTAATAGCTTCAGCCATCATGACAAGCACATCATGCATGCATGGCTGGACGCCATCAGCTGTCCAATCTCGATGCAATAATAATGCTATACATGTTTTTAAATGTATTGTACGGCACTGGCAGTGTGAATTCGTGTGTTCTATTTTAAGTGAGTCCCACCGCAGCTAGTTTCAAAAAGAGCGACAGTCGGATGAATGTTGCAGACGACTGCACGGTGCTTCGTGTCAAACCGTGGGGTTGTCAAGAGCTCCTGAAAAGTTTGAGAGGCTCCGTCATGGCTTCGAGTCTTTTTCACACAAGGGCGGACCCAAGCCTGGCACTGATGTAGCTCAGAACTCCCTCGCGGAAAACCAGAAGCTACGTGAGATCTAGAAAGTTGCAAGTTGAGAAGAGTCAAGATAGCTTGTTCCAGCAGTCCAGGTCTAATAAAAGTACATAGAAGATTTGAAACAATTACGCCTATGCTTATGTGGTACTTTTAGGCTACGGTGCAGCTTGGCATCATTTCTTCGTCACGGCAGAGCTGATGAAGCAATTGCTGCATGTACCAGTTGGATCAGGAGACTGCTCGCATTCCTCCAGACAGTCGCTTCAATAACCATTCTGCTCGCAGCAGCCGCGACTAAGGCAGCACTCGTTACAAACCCATTGCGAGTCGCATAAGTCACACATAAACTTGCAATCGGCGCAGCAGCTCTGAGCACAGATTTCGCACCGTCCGTATCCACCTGCTGGATTGTAAAAATCCAAGCAGAAATCACACATCATTGCATTCTTTCCCTCTTCGACACGTTGTTCAGCACGTTGTTTTCTCTCTTCCATCACTTTGACGCGTTTGTTTGCTTGTTCGTGGAGACTTCCGAACTCTTCACGAATCTGAACAAGATCATCGTACCTTCTTGCCGACGTGACGGCCTTTGTCGCCTGCTCTTGCCAAGATGGCGGCAGCGGAGGCTCGCTAATTGATTTGTTGGTTTGCGAGCGTGTTTTCATTGTTTTGCGTTCGAACGTTGTGAGCTTCTTGACCGTATTGCCTTGTACTCGTCTCCTTTTAGAGAATATATGAACCTTTGGATGTCATACTGTCTGTGGAGGAGAATTCAAGCATTCAAAAAAGTCAGGCTTTGCTGCAAACACAACGTTAGAAACCTTCAATCTCGGAAGCTCATTTGATTTGAATGAGTGACAGTTGATTGAATCAATCGAATCATTCAATCTTCCAATCAGTGGCAAGATGAGCCATTCCAACATGTGCACTCATCAAATGCATCTCTATCACGTTGCCTGTCCAATGCCCTTTGTTGAGCCTCTGCTTCACATGCATATGGCAGCTTTCAATACTCCTTCCTCCTGCCCCTCATGGACTACAGTGCCATCCCGTACCTAATACTTGTGACTACGGTAGCTAGCTAGGCTATGATCTCAATCGTTAAAGATCTTCGCATTATTATTGGTGTTTTAGAAGGTACGTTGGATCCTCATTTTTTATGCTCATAGCTTGGTCCAAAAGGCTCCCTCCGACAACGAAAGACACCCCACCGGTATCAAATCGCGCACTACACATCCATTACTTCCATATAAAGTACACTACTACCGGTAGCCACAGCTAGTATCATACGGCAGTACCATGTCCCACCTCCGCCGACTGAACCCCGAAGCAGTGACTCAGGAAGAGTTAAACAGTCGAACGAGCAATGAGCGTCAACAACAAGAAGCAACGTTTGCGGGTCGGCCGTTGTTACCGTCGAATCCCAATGATGCGGAAAAGCTAGAGCAAGAACGACGTACTCGAGAAGAACGAGCGCGACAAGAAGCTCAGTATGACAATTACATTATTGTACCCAAGAAAGGCCAACCTCGGCCCAAGCCTCTTTCCGAAATGAAAGCGGACTCTTTGGCGGCAGCGCAAGAAAAAACGGCGGCTCTCGTCAAGAAAAGTGAAGCCGAATTTGCCGCTCGAAAAGCTAAACAGGCGGGGAAACAAGGAGGAACTTCTTCCAAGCCGACAACTAGTAGTAGTGTTCCATCGCCAGCTAAGCAGCCAGCAACGTCAGCGTCTCCGGCACCAGCACCCCCCAAACCTTCGACAGCCACTGCTAGTGCTCCTGCTCCAGCACCCCCCAAAATAGCTTCAGCTCCTGCTCCAGCCACGCAAACTGCTGCTGCCGATCCCAACACGACCACCACAACGACCACCACTGCCGATGGAAAGACCACAACGACTACCACAACAACCTACACTACCGCCAGCACGTCGGATGCCTCCAATCCACCCACGTCGTGCTGTGTTGTACTGTAGACATAGGAACAGGCACATCAATCAATAACTTATACACCAACGAGTGTAGCAGGATAAAAACCAGTACTTTGGCGCATTCAACCATGCCAGTTGCTTCGGTGTATGTACCAATTTGTATTTAACCATGGGTGATTGAGATACCAACTAGCTAGAACTGATCCAAAAAACCAATTTGATGTGGTGTGTTATAGTGCCGATCGCACCTTGGAAATTTAAAAACACATTCAGTAAATGACGAATGCTATTGATCTTAGTGTTTGATGCTAGTATACATTGGGCGGCAACGTTCATTATTTGAATCGAATCATTCATTTGTGCGTTTGGAGGCGAGACTCTTATCTTAGTCTACTCACAGAAGAAAGTGACAGGCTGTCGCACTTGACAAATGCAATTACAGTGACACTGCAGTTCGTGTCAGTGTCGGATGGATCCATACCTGATCGAATCAACGTTTGTAGGCAGAATTGTCGTCTCTTAGTTGTCTTGTTTCTTCGTATTGTTGTTGTTGTTACTATTCCAAGCCCCCCCAAAGAGTGACCCAAACCATTCGTCATCGGTGAGATTGGTCTTGCAGAACTGTTTGCTCTTGGAGACGGGGAAACAAAAGTTGACCAACTTGGGGATCTCCACGTAACGGATCTTTCGTCCTTTGCTGGCCTTTCGATCGACTTGGTTCTTCTTGTTTTGAGTCTTCCATCGCTGATTCGTGTCGTTGTCATTGTCGTTATTATTATTATTGGCCACGACAAACTCTTTGAGCATTTGTTGATAGACTTTGGAATCGTCAAAGTCGGTACTACTACTTGTTGTTGTTGTTTGTTGTCGAATTTCGTCGTGTGCCACGGTAGCTTCGACTTGTTGCCAAAAGGACGAATCCATGACTTTGAACTGCTGCGATGCACTCGCCAATCCAGAATGCAACCTCAAATCCTGATGACGGCGATTCAGAACTTCTTTCCAACCATCCCGGCAAATCTCGTATTCCGATTGCAACGTTTCGTCCGAATCATCATCCTCTTTTCTCTCCCACCCCATGAGTGTACGTCGTGCCGTCAACAACTGCTCCAGCAATTGATCGCATTCCGTTGGCACAGAATCATCCTCGTTAGTACTAGTAGTCGCTTGCTGCAAATTCCGTTGCACCAAAATCCGTGTTTCCACGAGATGACTGTAGATTTTGGTTTGACTCTTGGCGGCTTTGGCACGGGAAACATCCTTGTCGCTGCGTTTCTTGCGCAGTTTGGCTGCCACACGATCTTCCGATTCCAAACTCTCCACATGGTCAAACGCCGACAGCACTCGTTTCTTCTTGGACGACGAAGACGGCATAATAATGGTATGGTGGGCAGTGTTTGTTGTGCTGTTGCTTGTGGTTTTGTTCTTTGAAAAAAGGAAGGAAAATGAGCAGTGGTGTTGGTGGAGTCACGTGAGGCGGCCAGACGAACACACCACAGGAGGATTCAATCAGCAGAGCTGTGTTTGCGCTGCTTTGCTGTCGAAGCTCCGAGGAACGAAGCCTGCGCCGTCCGTGAGTCCGTACCGGTACAGTACCGGTATGGATGACTGCCGATGACCCCCGCCGAGCAGCACCAGTCTCTCTTTCCTCGAGCTCTTCGAATTCGGAAGAGCGACGGAACTAATAATGCAATAATACGTGTACTAGCTAGTACCGGTAGTCTATGTATCAAAGATTCCAGGGTGCAGACCGCGGAGTAACGTTAATTAAAAAGTAATAATTATTAGCTACCGGTAAGTATGTGGGGTTTCACACGACCGATTTGAGTACTCTAAAACAAAAACATCGTACTATTAAGGTGGTAGGAATCTCCTTTCGTTTTTGATCAAAATGACCGTAAACTTTAAAAACTCTTCTAGTCTGCTTCTTAGAGATTTAGAGAAACGGGAAAAGTTTTCGCCGTAGATACTGTAGGCTGTAGCGTACGTACAGCTTTACTGTACCGTACTGTAATAGTTAAAATCGCTTGAATTAGGAACAGTTAACAGTTGATCAAAATGACCGTAAAGTTAAAAACTCTACGGTACTGCTTGTATGTCTGACCTACTAGAGAGAGATTTAACGGAAAGACGAAGCGTTTTTCGTCTGTAGATGGTGGTACGTACTGTAGTATATCTTAAATCAGCTATCATGGTACCGTACCGGTATAGCTGTACCGTTTTTGTTAGCTCAAGTATCAGTGTTTCGTACCAAACGATTACTTAGTTAGGAAAAACAGCAATCGTTTTCTGTCAAAATGATCGGAAACTCAATTTTTCTAAATCTAGAGAGATTTAGAGGAAGGGGAAGAGAACTTCTCTTGAAGCAGCCTCAAATTCCGTCAAGCAGCCAAATAAGAAGCAGATATTACAGTGTCCGCAATAAGGATTTTCTACGGTTTACTCTTTACTGTTTACTCTTTACTGTTTACTCTTTACTCTTTTAAGTTTTTTGCGTTTTCAACAGGTGTGTCCGCAATAAGTTTTTACATTTTCGTGTTTCAGGAATTGTATTTGCTTCTTCAGTTCCCAGATCGATTCGATTCGGCAACCAATTACTTTTTAAAAGGCCAAGGTCGAACCACAAGCCGAAACCCGCAATTTACTGTTTTTGCGAAATCTACGCCATCTACCTTTTACTGTTTCACTTTTTGAATTAGTGAAAAGTTTGCAAGAAAAAGTGAAACAACCTAATGTAAAGAGTAGAAAACGCTTATTGCGGACACGGTATTATTAGATGGTACCTGCTGGTACCGTACATACATTTAATTTTACCAAGAAGTGATGTGAAGAGGTGAAGTAAGTTGTATTTTGTACGAAAAGTGAATTTCTGCAAGTTCTCCTTGTTCTGAACAACCAAAGAATCTTTTAGAAAAGTTCGCCTATCTTCTGTTCATAAAACGAGTTGCAACAGGCATTTTGGTCTTCGGCTTTCCGATACTATTACTCGTGCAGACAACAAGATGATCGGGCTAAGGAGCGCCACCAGATGGCTCAGTGTTTTCTTAGCTGTGAGCATCCTGACAACCCCTGCAGTGGTTGCTCAGGAAGAGGAACAAGTGAACGAGACCACAGCGATGACACCCACAAAACTGGTGTGTGTTTTCAGCTTTCTTTTACATTCCCATTGACCCTCTAGCCTGTGCTCACGAATTGGCTTTTGTACCGCACTGTATTGTACCCAAAGGTTCCCTTGGAAGAGTGCTGTGCTGCATGTCCAGCCGGATTGTTGACAGATGCCGTCACCACCGAAACTGAACGCCCGCTTCGCATCTTATCTTACGATGCAGGCTTGGATCTGATGGGCATGGAAAAAGCTGCCAAATCGTACTATGAAAAAACGGGTACCCGCATCGTGTTTGATCTCATCGAGGACTTTCTGGGAGTCTACGACGAGATTCGGTCGCAGGCGGAATCCAAATTGCCTCTATATGACGGATACATTTGTGGACCTGCCATTGTGGGGTCGGCTACTCAGCTGGACGGGTGGCAGGACTTGACAGATGTTGTACGAGACACTGTGGATTTGAAGTGGCTCGATGTGTTCCGGGCCTTTAGAGAAAATGTGGCTGTGTACGACAACAAGGTCCGAATGTTCCCTCTGGATGGAGATGCACACTTTATGTACTACCGAGCGGACGTTCTGGAGGCTTTTGGGCTTGACGTACCAAGAACGTGGGAAGAGTACTGGCAAGTTGCGGCCGCAATTCATGGGAAGGAGTTCAATAACCAAACAATGGTTGGATCTTGCGTTGGAAGAAAGCTGGGAGGACAGACTAGTTATTGGATCAGTCTCGTCTTGGCGAGTTATACTCAAACGAATGGACCTACTCAGGGATTCATCCTTGACTCCAACGACATGGAACCCCTCATGGGGGAAGCGATGGCGGAAGCTCTCAAGATGACAGAACTTCAGGCCAAGTATGGTGATCCGACCGGTAAGTCACATGCGCATGAAATGAAGTCCGAACGTTCTGAAACTAACCGTTTTGAACGTTGTCGTGCAGAATTCGAATACGCTGGAGGCGGAGATCTTGCCTCGATCAACATCAATGCCATGAATTATGGATACTGTGCATTGACCTATAACTGGGGTGATTCCTACAAGGTCAGTCATACCTTGGAGCCACCCAGCCAAGTTGCAGGTTTGATGAAGGTCGCCCCTACTCCTGGGACCACCAAGGTATACAACAGAAAGACCAAGAAGTTAGATCCTTGCAATGAAGAGAACTGTGGTGGACTGGGGGGGCTCTACTATGATGATATTGGTTGGGTCAATAGGGCGTCTTATCTGGCTTTTGGGGGCTGGTCAGCTGCCGTCAACAACAACATTGATGATTCGCAAAAGCAGAGAATCATCGATTTCTTTGTGTACATGTGCTCTCCCGAGATTTCCACCCAGGCGGCAGTACCGTTGGCCAATGCCTCTCGATTGGAGGGGAATGGTGTGAATCCGTTTCGCGCTTCCCACGTCGATGTCCAGAAATGGGTCGATCAAGGATATGAGCGATCTTCGGCGGAATCCTACAGGGCAGCCGTCGTGGACACTCTCTCCAGTCCAAATGCAGCCTACGACATGCGCTTTGCTGGGGCCGATCTCATCTTTAGCGCGTTAGAGGAAGAAGTATACAGCTATTTGGAAAGGGCCATTCTTTTGGACAATTTGCCGGATGATGAAGATGAGAGGCACTTGACTCGTATGGAAGTGGCCGAGAAACTTGAAATGAGGTTTCGGGAGATTATTTTGCTCGAGAATGACAAACCCGAGACATTGGTCCCAGTGCTGGAACAGTACCAGCGTGATCTGGGCATATACAGTGAGTCTACCGTGTTCCTATTGCTGAATGATTACGAATCTTGTTGTCGCTTGTTCTCACCGTTGTTCCCACTGTCGAATGCGGCGTACTTCTCCGTAGAGCCGCCTAGCGATGACAACAAAAACGAAAAGATTCTTGCTACCGTGATTCCGATTGTTGTGGCTATACTGGTCGGAGCGGCCTTGCTCGTGTACTTTTTGAAGCCCAAGAGCGAAAATGACTCTGTCTGGCAATTGAAAAAGGAAGAGCTCATTTTCGCCGACCCAGAAGAGATTATTGGAATTGGTAAGCTGAGCTTTTCGCTTCTGGACATGGTACGGTAGTTAGTTTTGAATCACATGCAAAACCTGACGATTGTTTACCTTTTCATCTGTTTTTCAATAACAGGTACCTTCGGTCAAGTGCTCTTGGCTGAGTATAGAGGAACACAAGTAGCCGTAAAGAAGGTCCTTCCGCCTAGGACCCCCAAGAAGGTTAACGCCGATGAATTTGTTGACGAGGACAAGAACAACTTGGAGCGACCTGAGACCGCGGCAGTCGTCTCAGGCATGTCTTCAATAAGTCTTGATGCAATGAGGTCAATGGCGTCTGGCCTTGGTGAATTTAGCTACAATCACAACAAACTCAGACAAGACTTCATCAAGGAAATGCGTCACATCAGTAAATTGCGCCATCCATGTATTACGACGGTGATGGGTGCTGTCATTTGTCCGAATGAAGAGCCGATGCTCATCATGGAATACATGGAATTTGGTTCCCTACATGATTTGCTCCACAACCAGAGTATGATACTTGACGGAGAGATTATGCTTCCAATGCTGCGGGATATTACCCAGGGATGTCGCTTCCTCCATGCTGCGGACCCCCCAGTTATCCATGGAGATCTTAAGGTAGAAAGGAGCGCGTACTATTTGTTGGCGTTGACATGCGTGAACCTTCCTGACACATGTGTTTCATCCACATTGATAAAAAAGTGTGCCAACATTCTCGTAGATTCTAAGTTCCGGGCAAAAGTTGCGGATTTTGGTCTGTCTCAAAAGAAGCAAATGGGCGCCACTGGAACGCCGTTTTGGATGGCGCCAGAGTTGCTGAGACAAGAGAGTGCCAACACTGTCTCCAGTGATGTCTTCTCATTTGGCATCATGTTGTACGAGGTATTTTCCAGAAAGGACCCGTACGAGGGAGAAGACGCTCAAGAAGTTTTGAAGAAGGTTGCTGATCCAAAAGTTCACAAGCGGCCACCCGTCCCAAAGGAGTGTCCTCCTCAGCTGGCTGCGCTCAAGTGTGACTGTCTTTGTGAAGATCCGGAAGAAAGGCCTTCTTTTGAAGAGCTGGACAAGCGACTTAAGCGAATCGACGTCGAAACAACGGCACCCGGTGACAAGAAAGACCGCACAACTGTGTCACTGTTTGATATTTTCCCCAAACACATCGCCGAGGCACTGCGTGATGGAAAGCAGGTAGAGGCAGAACACAAAGATGTCGTGACAATATTCTTTTCTGGTAAGGAGGCTCCTAATGTGGCAGAAACTCTAGAGTTGAAATGTCCGCGTTCTCACCTCACATGGCCCTTCTATTTGTCTTTCTACTTTAGATATTGTTGGCTTCACCCAGCTTTCATCTACAATGGATCCAAGGAAGGTTGCTAAAATGTAAGTGGCCTTCTTTCACAAACGCCACGAAACATGTTCCTACTACTATAATACTCGTATGACTCTAACAAGACATCGTTTCTCCATACGTGCCTGCCACCATAACAGGCTGGACCGACTGTATCAGAAACTTGATACTCTCTCTCACGAGCACGATATCTTCAAGGTAGAAACAATTGGTGATGGTACGTTGGTTGAGACGGTTGTGGTTGCTGTTCGATCCAAGCTGTGTTCATGCTAACACACTATCTTTCTTTCTTGCTTGCAACAACGAACACAGCCTACATGGCAGTTACCAACCTCGTGAAGGATCAGTCCACAAATCATGCAATCCGAATTGCAGAGTTTGCTGTAGATGCCATTCAAGCTGCCAATGAAACCTTGATTGACGAAGATGCTCCTGAGAAGGGTCGTGTGAATATTCGGGTGGGTTTCCACAGTGGCAGTGTTGTTGCTGATGTGGTTGGTACACGTAATCCAAGGTATTGTTTATTTGGTGATACGGTAAGTTCCATACGGGACGGCTCTTGTTCATGATCTGATCTGTATGGCACGCATTCTCTCTGACATGTGTTATCTACTTTAGGTGAACACGGCATCGCGAATGGAGAGTAACTCCTTGATGAATTGTATTCATTGTTCCAACGAATCCGCAGAAATCCTAAAAGAACAGAATTTCAAATACCCCATGGTATCCCGCGGCAAGATCAAGATCAAGGGCAAGGGCGAAATGCATACCTGGTGGTGCAACCAAGAAACGGCACCACCGTACCGGTAGGCCCCGTCGAAGAGAACGTCCCATTTCGCGTCTTCAGAGATACATGCGCTGCGGTACAAGTGCTGTTCTCCCATCAAACTACTCTCTCCCTGCCAGTATCATTGGTTCAACGTGAAAGCAAACTCCAAAAATTTATTTAAACCATTATTTTACTATCCTTTAGGGCCAAAGGCTGTTTCCCCGTCGGTGAAGACAAGGATGATCCTATCGTCTCATCACAGTCTTTGGATGATTTGGTCCTACCGGTACGGGGAGCAAGAGGGCACTCAACTAGAGATACCCCCTGGTAAGCTAGTGCTGGTACCACCATTGCGCGATATCCAATCGTCAAAGGGTGTTTATTAAGTGTGACTGAGAATCTTCAAATCGGTTTGAATTTCATGTCTTGGAAGGAGGGGCAATGCACGAATCGAATCACCGCGGGAGTTGTAATGAAGGTTGCCAAGATGAGCGGAGGGCCCGCCATTCCCGTTTCTTCCTTACTATGATACCCCAAACTGAAAGTGTGCGATTTTAAGATTTTGGTTGGGGGGTTGGGGTAGGTTGGTACTCGCCGAAAGATTAAACCAGCAGAGCCGAGAACTTTGAGAAATCTTTCTTCCACCAAAACACTTCTTTCACGTCTCACGTCTGGGGCGCTACAGGTACAGTCGTACCGTGTTATCAATGACAATGTTCGCATGCGTCCTTAGTCCACTCTGACCTGAAAGAAACAACTCAAGCCCCATCCGTCCTTTTGAGATCCCCCAACGAACAATCCATGAAAATGGCGAGAGAGATAAACGGAAGCAACAAGAATTGATCCTCAATCAATCTTACCCTTCCAAGATGAAGATTCACATCAAAACGCTGGTAGGGACCACTCTGACTTTGGAAGTTCTTCCTTCCGATTCTATCCAGGGTGTAAGGAAGCGAATCAGGGAAGCATGGGGAGCACCGCCAGACCAGCAAAATATACGATACAATGGAGTGGTACTGGTGGATAATCACCCACAACAAAGCAGAAGGCCAGCAACACTGGCGGACTACAATCTGCGCGATGGAGCTACGCTGAACTTTGTGCTAAGAGGTAGAGGGAGGACAGGACGACGGAGAGTTTTGCCCGATACGAAAGTATGGAATGAGATACCAGTGCCAGCACCAAGCAAACCTCCTGCTCGGCTGCCACAAAGAGAATTTCCTGCTCCTGCGCGGAAGAAGTTGTTTCTAGATTCTGACGATGATGACGATTTACCTCCCCTCAGAGTTCTCACTACATCAGACCTGAGGAAGCGGGAGCCAATGAAGGACTTGAAACAAGGGGAAAAGCAAACTAAGTTGGAAGCAGAGCAGCAGAAAGCTTCTGAAGAATATCGAGCGCAGAATCTGATGAAGGCAGCAGTCTTATCCTTGGCCTTGGATGATGAAGAAGAGGAGAGTGATGATTCGGATGCCCCAAAAAAGAAGAAACGGAAGAAGAAACTCAAGAAAGCGGATGAAGAGGACGAGGGAAAAGAGTCGCCGGTAGTCAAGAAGGAAAAGAAGAAGAAAATAGTTGTTGACTCAAGCTCAGATGAGGAAAGCTCGGGTGAAAAGTCTAGGGAAGCTCAGAAAACAAAGGCCCCATCTCCTGCACCAAAACTCTTCGACGAGTTCTTCGACGAGTCCATGGCCAACTTTGATCTGTCGGACAAAGAAACAGGGGCGCTGGTGAAATTGGCCGCCTTGTCGGAGCAAATGACAAGGGCTGTGGAAACCGACAATTCCGAATCAACGAAAGAAGAAGACGATGATGACATGCCGTCCTTGAACAAAGCAAGCTCCGAGTTGCCTCTCTCCCTGGAGGATTCGGAGGAGGAAGTTGATGAGGTATTATCCGAACAGGATGAAGAAAGAGAAGCACCAGCTCCGCCCGCTTGGAATTTCATGGCCGGTTTCAGTTATGGTGAGTCGTCAAATGAAGACTATGACGATGGCGGTCGTCCCGAAGTTGATGCCTTCGGTAATCGCTACGATACAGACGATGACATGACGTCGCGGGATACGTATGATGAGGAGGACAAGCATGATCGCGGATCGGATGGAAGTTCGTCATTTTTCGATGAGCAACAATTGGCCCAACATCAGCAACAGACCATTTTGCGGGAGCGACAGCAACGAAAACTACAAGCCGAAGAAGAGGAAGAAGCCATTCTCTACTACCAGTCCAGAGCCGCTTGCTTGTGCTACTGTGTCATTGCCCTTGTCGTCGTCTATGTCACCACCATTATTGCTCTTTACTTTTTGTGGAAAAAGGACAACGTTGCTGCATCGACCGAAGCGCCCAGCACAACCCCACTCCCATCGCCGTCGCAATCCAACACGGAACGATTGATCGGTTGGCAACTGGCACTGCCTTTGACCAGCATAGTGTTGTTGCTGCTCCTTGGTTTTGCATGTTGCTGGGCCTATCGCCGCCTCCACTTGAAACCCAAAGTCAAACAGCAAGTAGTGACCAATCGGGGGTTGGGGGTTGAGCGGGAACCGAATTTCGTATCTTTGGATCTTGAGCAGGGACCAGATGTCGAATCTTCAACAACCCCACCTGAATACATCGAGCAAGGAAATGAGGCGCAGGCGACAACTAGCAAAGACCACCCCACACTTCTTGGTAAGACTGAGAAGTCGCAGTCCCCTCTTTATCACGGGATTGCAGATGCAACAAGCAATGATTTCCCCCCTCGTCTTGCGCTCCCTCCAAAAGCATCAGATGACTTTCCATCTACTTTTGACGACAGAGTTGCGGAAGACACCCCTGCCACAGGGAGCAACTCAAAGGCATTGCTGGGTGTTAGTGTGGCCTGGCTCAAGTATGGGCTGTTACGCGAGGTTCGTGAGTCAGGACTAGACGAAAGCGCAACCATCTATGACCTCGAAAGCCTGCATGAAGAAGGTAGGTCCATCATTCGAAAGAAGGGGCAGCAGGTGGTCTGTCCGCTGGATGGTAGGATTGGTGCCGCATATGTCCACTCCCTGGAGCAAGACCAGGTTGGCCCTGCAAGCATAATGCTAAGTTATTCGTGGAAATACAGCATCGGAGACATCGTGGATACACTCATGGATTATTGCAATGCGCAACATCTCAATCCCCAGCAGACTTATGTATGGATGTGCTGTCTATGCAACAACCAACACCGTGTCGCAGAGAACATCCGATTGGGCAAGGTTGTCCCTTTTCAAGTCTTCCGACGCATTTTCCGCAGCAGGGTTATTGGTATTGGTCATCTGCTCGCAATGATGAGCCCCTGGCGAGAACCAAAATACATTACACGGCTCTGGTAAGATACTAGTCGCTTTGTGCCCATCCATGAGGCCACCACGATTGAATCATTCTGACTCGCATACCCACGCTTCGTACTCTCATAGGTGCATCTTTGAATTGTACACTGCATCACTGCAGAACGACGATATCAAGGTTAGCATAGTCATGCCACCCGGAGAAAAACGTGATATGGCCAAGACCATCGGCTTGAAGGGGGGCAATGGAATAGACCAACTTTACCGCACACTCGGAAACACAAGAGTAGAGCATGCAGATGCGTCGCAGGAGGAGGACAAGGCCAACCTTCTGAAAATGATTGAGCAAGGACCAGGGTTTCGAGCTCTTAATGTCAGGGTAAATGACTTGCTCAGAGCCTGGGTGAAGCAATCAACGTTAGAAGTGGTGAAGTCGCTCATAGCTTCTCGGAATGCACCAAATCGGTCGAAAGGCGCTGGGGATCAATTCTTGGATCGGGGAGTTTTGATTTCTTCGACAATGGTTCTGACTTCTCCGAAAAAGGGTGCATGTGCTGCTGCAAGTTGTGGCGGCGTAAGGATAGATGAGGGCTGCTTTTCCAGCGGGGATGACAATGGCTCCTTTGTCAGTGGATCTTTCAGTGGATCTTTACGCAGCGGTGAACAGGACGAAGGCTTCTTTGAGAGCGGATCTTACCGTGCTGGATCATTGTCCCATTATGAGGAGGACGACGGCAAAGAAGTCGATTCAGAAATACGTACCACGGCGAATAAACCAACTACTGACTTGGATCTCACCGACCACGAGTTTGCGGATTTTCTTTCCAGTAGTGGAGTGCTCTTGCAAAAGATTGGAGAGCAGCAGAAAGCTCAGGAATGTCACGAGATGGCCTTGAACACGTATGTATCCGTTGGTAAAAGCGAAGGTCAAGCCTCCTCTTATAACAACTTGGGTGCTCTCTTGCAGAGCCAAGGTGACCTGGATGGTGCGATTGAGTGCCACAAAAAAGCATTGTTGCTCCAAGAAGAATCTGTTGCAGCAGCAGAAGAAGAACCGACAACATGCCGTCAACGAGCCACTTCGCTCAATGCCTTTGCGTCGGTGCTTCTCGAGAAGGGTGACTGCGAGGGCGCCCTGGCAAAGGTGCGGAACGCATTGGCCATTTTGGAACATGATCCCAAATGTCCCGAGGCTGCAGCGGCACACGAGGTGGAAGGATTGGTGACATTTACCCAAGCCAACTCCATGCACCGGAAAGCACTGGAACTTTCTCAAGAGGCGCTCAAAACCAAGGAAGAAATCCTGGGCATGTATCATCCCGAAACGGCCAAATCCTACCACCAGATTGGCCAGTTACTGTTTCGCACACGAACGGACGAAAACAGTGATCTGGCGTTAGATTTCTTCCAGCAGGCTCATGCCATTCGGGAAGCCATTTTGGGTCCGGATCACCCCGACACGATGGAATCGCTGGCAAAGGTGGAGGAAGTGTTGTGGTCAACGGAGGAAGGAAACCAATCAGGTGGTTTTGGGCTCGAGAAGATGCCGTCAATGGCAATGGTACCAGCGTATTAGCTAGCTAGAGTAAGGGGTATATAGTGCTCCATTGGTGAGCACGGGGGTTACCGTCGCAGATTGCAAAGGAAAACAGGCTGGCTACGTCTTCAAACCCATTGACCGCAACTTCGCGCCCTCATCCTGGAAACCCAACATCAATGAATACTAACTAGGACCAGCTAGCCAGCAGATTGATGCCGTTCTTCTACTGTAGGAGAGAAGTTTATATATTCGTCAGCACTTGCAAATCAAACCACACCGGTAATGCCTTTATGGTACCAGCTGTTCCATTGCCGTTCCAGCAAGCTAGCTCTAGTGTGGATCAGCCAATGTCGCGTATTCCGGCCTCCAATATTTTGAAGGTAGAGACTCCACTAGCTAGGCCGGTTGGGTGACTTTGTCAGTGCGCAGGTCCGATTGTTGTTGTTCTGAGTTTCCGATGCAATCACAAAATGAGTGGTTGTTGCGTGAGTCCAGCTTTGCCCAAAGCTGGTACCAAAACAGATTCAGTATCAGTGGCGTTGGCAGTGGTGCTGGCTACCTTAGTTGTCATTTGGTTAATGACAATGACTAAGCTTTGTGGCCATATCTGACAGCAGCAAAGAAGCCACTGTGGACAAAGATCTGGTCCGTGCCAGATAATTCCCACCCGGTGGAGCACACTAATGGCACGGAAAAGATTCATGATGAGTAATCTCCACTTGGATGACATGTATGTGTTCGCAGAAGAAGAGAACACTTAGTCTGTAATGAAAGGCAATGCTGTCTACAGCAACTGCCTTGACTGGGGACCCTTGTTGCTCCTGTTCTCGGAAGAAAGTCCCGCAACCCCATGATGATGGACATTTGTGCGGCTCTGCAAGTTGGGTGCATGAACGATAGTCCGAGTCAATCTAGTTTTCCACGGTGTGCTCAGGTTTTGGAATCGAATCCTGACGATGGACAGACCATTGAAGACGAGAAGCCTTCGTTTTGCTTCGATTGGCTTCCAGACGGGGATGCAGCAAAACACAGGGCAGGACCTTGGAGACCCCATTGCAAGAGGTCTTTGTGTCTTTGTTGCTTGTGTTGGACCTCTCGTCACCACTCTAACCCAATAGCAACGGCTTCTTTGTGGTAGCTACTGAACTAGCTAGCTAGAGGATCAGCACAATAGAACTAGCTAGGGAGACATCGAGTTGTCCCTCTCATCAGTCAATCCATCCATCCATCCATCCATCCAAAGCGAAAGAAGTGGAATTTGTTTTGCAGTTGCATTGGTGGTACCGTAGTCAAAGAACGCAAAGCCCTATCGTCCTCCTTTCGCCAATTCTTTTCTTGTATTATTTGAGTGTGCCCTGACGAAGCAGCCGACAATCCACTTCTAACATTATTGATTGGTTCATCTATCGTGAACTTTTGGAGTATTGAATTTAATTTTATCGTGAACTTTTGGAGCAACAATGAACGACGACACGACCACAACCACTCCAGCTCCCACCCCAGCGTTTACTCTGATTGCGAAATGGGCCAAGGAACGGATCGAACTGTCGAGTCTGACACCGGAGACATCGATTGGGGCCGTCAAGGAAATGCTCAAGGAACGCACGGGTGTTCTTCCCAAACGACAAAAACTGATTGGATTGACCGTCGCCAAGACACCCGGCGGTCCCAGCAGTCTCACCGATCAAGTCGTCCTGCAAGAATTAAAGGTAAAGAAACCAAAGGGGAAAACCAATGGACTTCCCATGGACAATACTACAAATAATATTGTCCTGGAATTCATTCTCATGGGATCCAAAGAAGAAGAAATTTTTGTCGATCCACAAGACAAGGACGATTTGCCCGATGTCATTGACGATTTCGATCTCGATTTCAATGCCGGATCCGATCAGTGGTTGCGACATGTCGCCAATGGAGAAAATCTCAAAAAATTCACTGAAAAGACTGTGGTGCATATCATGAACGAACCACGCCCCAATAAACCATTGTTGGTCTTGGACTTGGATCATACATTGCTCGATTTTAGTAGTCGAGTCTTGCAGCGAGATGCCACGGCCAGTCGAGCCACGGTCGCCAATGCCATGAAAAGGTGAGTGATATTACTGAATGTATTGAATGTTGAGCATGAATTGATTTTTGCAGCGGTGATTTTTGTTTGAGAGAAATTAGTTTTGAAAGAGACAATTACTGATGAATGCAATTTACACCACACGACATTACACTATCATCATCATCATATGTATGCATATACAGACCCTACATGGACCAGTTCTTGACCGCCGTCTATCAGCACTACGATCTCGTCGTTTGGTCGCAAACATCCTGGCGGTGGCTGGAAACCAAACTCATTGAACTGGGCATGCTAGCCAATCCGGGATACAAATTCTGTTTTGTCCTGGACAAAACCAGCATGTTCACCGTCACCAGTACACGCCGCGATGGATCTTCCGTCACACATCATGTCAAACCATTGCAATTGATATGGTCCAAATTTGCCGATCGATGGTCCAGTTCCAACACGGCACACGTCGATGATTTGGGACGCAATTTTGCACTCAATCTGGGGAGTGGTATCAAAATATCAGCCTACTATCGGAAAAAGTCATCGGCTCGACGGGATGCCGAACTCTTGGGATTGAGTCGCTATTTGGAGGAGTTGGCATGTGCCGGAGTCGATTTTGACACTGTCGATTTTAGTAAGTGGCAGGAAGTAGTCAGTGCGAAACGAAACTTGACCGATGGAAACAACAACAACAACAATGGGAATGGAAACAAGAAATAAAGGAGACTGCCTTTTCTTTTTTCTATTGTGGCTCCACAATAAATCTTGCAGCGGCTTACTACGATGACACCAACAACAAACAAATCGAACGAAACGAGACAGCACACGCACGCAGCAATGACGGCACATGCAACAATCAATTCAGAACCGCCAATATAGAGGTCATCTTGGATCTTGCGACGGTCGCGGCTTGTGAGATTTGCTTCGACTCAAGGCCCTTCCACCGAATTTCATTCTGTTGTGACTCGAGCGATCGAGCCATCATTCATTCGGTGGATGGCAAACAGCATATCACCAGTGCAAAAGCGGACTACACTGCCGACACTCGAGATCATTTAGATAGCACGCTTCAGAATCAGAGTTTCTCCCAAGCTAAAAAGACGAAATAAAACTGAACAGATCTCTCGGTCAGCCAGCTCTGTCCACACGTGCACACTTGGATTTGACTATCTGATGAAGACCAGCTACTAGGACAACGAGAAGCTCTTAGTCAAATCCCACCGCCTTCATCACATGGACAGCCGTTTTCATGGGCATCTTTGAGGATTTCCAAATGGCCTCTTCCACAGCATAGGCACAAGTGTGTCAATCCCACAGGCAGCCACTTTCATGAGCATACTTCACCACTTCAAAATGTCCACCCTCAGCAGCACTGGCACGTGTTCTTTTGTTCCATGGGCATCCATTCTTGCGAGCCCAATTGAGTAGTTCCAAATGCCCTCCATTGGCACATGTCTTTTGAGTCCCAGGAATATCTGTTGTCAGGCCAGCGCCGGTTCCTTTCCCAGCGGCAACCGACAGCGCTATATTTGCTATTGAATGGTACTGCACTGTATGCTGTCGCTTTGAAAAGCCTTCATGCCATATTCTAGTTTATTTATTTACTCAACTAGGATTGCTTATCACAGCCAGGGAAAGTTGAGTAGATTGAAATTCGCATTGGTGTCTGATACCTTGGTTGTCATCTCTGTTACAGGCATTTCAATCTACTTTCTTGGTCAGCTCTGGATACAATCTCGCCTTCACTCGTTCCATGTACCGCACCAGATTGGGAAGCTCGTCTTGGATTGTTTGTACCGTACCCAAGCATGGACCATGTGCGTGTCATCCCAAAACGAAAAGGCCACAAACGCGTACACATCAGCATCAATATCCGTAGGCTCCTTGCTTGGTCCCTAAAATGTACTGGGAATTACCGAGGATTGTAGCCAGGCATCTCAGGTCATCCTTACCCCTTTGCACGATCTCCTCGTGGGAGTGTCGACCAATTCCGGACCCTTGTAAATTGTTGCGCTGGTTCCAAAAGATTTGAGCCAGTATCAATCGAGAAATGGGATAGGGCGGTAATCCCTTGGACTTGTACTCTGCAAAGATTTGGCGACCTTCTGTCGTCTCAAACATGTGATGCAGCTGAACAAAATAGAGAGAACCAAACATGACTTGCCGAATCAATCTGGTTTGTGCTTGTTGTTGCGGTGACAAAGCATCTTGTTCGAAAGGAACTCCTCTCAAAGTGCATGGATGATCTTGGTAGAATCGTCAACCGTGCTTCCTTTCACATTGGCAAAAGGCAACTTGCCTCGAGGGTTGTCGATTGGTTTGGCAGCCTCCTTCTTCTCGTAGGGAATCTTGTGCAGACGGCAGTAGGCTTCGACACGGGCGACTTAAGGGGAGTCCACATTGCATCGGTGATAGGACGGATAGTTCCCAGCGGCTTCGAATCCAAAATGGTAACCTTGGAACTGTCGCCTCTCGTTGGGATTGGACGAGTTGCTTTCTCGTTGATCTTGTCAATCACAGGCCAGCTTATCAACTTGCGTAGCTCATTGAGAACTACTAACGCAAGGACGATAGAGCCACCAACAATGCAAGAGAAATAATCCATCATGCAGGTTGTAACTTACTCTTATGTTGCTCAACCAGTCTTCCACTGTGGCTCTTTGCAATTGTGATGATCTACATGTACAGGCACCTTCTACAGCAAAGGTAGGGTACCGGTGCCACCACGTGCCTTTTTCAGTATTCGCAGGAATAGCTTCGAAGTCGTGGATCCAAACCAGCTGGCTAGCTGGTGGTGCACGTTACAAAGGAGAACTTCACAGAAATCCGGGAAAGCCAAGACTAGTCTAACTAAAACTAAAAATTCTTCCAGGTTGGCGTCCTGCTCTTTGCTCCTTTGGTTCCAGCTTATTCTCCTTGATGGTTGCTGTCCGGGGTTTCAAAGTGTTGGTTCTGCAGCGGCTCCTTTCTTGGTGCACTTGCCGCCTTGTCTGAGGCAACTTTGGTTCTGGTTCATTGCCTAAAACAGCGCTAGTCAGCTCGCTAGTCTCACTTCTTACTGTGCTTGTGTCTGAAACCATGGGAGGGGTTGCTCAGCGCAATTTCTAATGTTGGATCCTCTAGTAGTCTCTGCGGGTGTTTCTTGCGATAGGGTTGCCCCGTCTTCCGGAAAACTGGTTTATTTGGTCAAGTAAAACACACAGCTACTACGGTTTGGCTTTTGTTCTAGCTAGCTGCTAGCTACGTTGGAAAGTGGTTTCCTTATGTTAATACTGTACTATTCTATCGTGCAGCTATCTAGCTTGCTAGCTATCTCCCTTTTGCTCGGGTTGGAGGAGGCTGGTAAAACATCAACATTTGCAATTGACTGAGTTGGAAGCTGCTCGGGGCGAGATTTATAAGTGCTTGGAAAGATTTAATACAATGCTGCCTTGGATGGCGGAACGACACTGAGTCAGAGAAAGATCGAGGTGCACATTGATCATGATCCATGATCGAGACGAAAGAGGAGCCAATCACCAACTAGCTAGAAGACAACGCCTGTCTTTCATAATCACCCTGGGAATCATCCACCATGAAGCTCTTCTGGCTCCTTGTCGTCGTGTTTCTCCATGCTCACTCTGAGCGCTGTCATGTCCAAGGGCTCTCCGCCATAGCGCCGAGGCCGATCAAAAACGTCGCTGTCATCGGGTACGTTTGTTTGGATACCTCGCTTTTCTCGAATCTCTTGTCGGATGCAAACTCTCGTCATCGATCCATAACTTCTCTGCTAATTCGCTATTTGTTCCAATTTTATCTGCAGTTCGGGAATTTCTGGGCTAGGCGTGGCGAATGCATTGGAATCTTTATCGCACAAAGATGACGACGTGCAGCTGAGTCTCTTTGATGCTCGCCCCAGCTTGAACAGGCAAGATGGAGCCGGTATCCAACTCAATGGTGGCCTGGCTGCTCTTGGAATGATCAACAAAGATCTGCAAAAAGCGGTCATGGATGCTGGGTTGCCCCAAAGGCAGGTGGAAAGCAGAACTAAATCATGGGAAAACCCCTCGCCGTCCACGTACAGCACGCTCCTCAAATTTGACTTGGATGACGTCGTCCGCAAAGCCGGTGGTGCTGTTACCGCTGGGCTAGTCCAAGATGACAATGTGCTGTGGTATGCCATTATGCGAGGAGCGCTTCAGGTAAGCCCATTTCTCAGATGGTATATGGTTATTTTAACGTCTCATGGCTCTTGCATTTGTTTCGTCAGTAGGAAGTGCTGCTTGCACACATCTCGGAAAAGGTTCAGTTTGGAAAGAGGCTGTCAAACATAGTTCCAACAGATGCTGGATGTGGTGTGTTTTGTGAGTTTGCGGATGGGTCAAAAGAGGGTCCATTTGACATGGTGATTGGATGCGATGGTGTTCGCTCTGCCGTCAAGGACTACATTGAAACTGGTAAGATTGGCACGGGTGAGACTGGTTTGTATTCCGGGATCCGGATCAAGTTTGCCATTGAAGACGGTGACTCCGCGGCGGAAAGCCAACCTACTACTGCTTCATTTACTCAGTACTTTGGTGACGGTGGCTTTGCCTTGTCTGCTGTCTACGGTGACGGGAAGGACAACCCACCGTCCAAGGGCACATACCTCATTCACTTGGATGAAGGGTACTTTGGCCCCTTCAAAAGGAAGTCTAACCAAGATGCAAAAACAGTCAATGAAAACGTCGAGTGGTCTCAGAATGAGCTTCTCCAAGAATCGCGGGATACCATGATGAAGCTTGTCAAAGAGGCCAACATTCCAGATGCTGAACTGGAACCACGAATCTCCAACGTCGACAGAATGTTTGAGCTTGGAGTCTACTTTCACAATCCATTCACTCTTGCAGGCTGGAGCAAAGAGATATCAGACGGCTCTTGGGCTGTGCTAGTGGGTGATGCAGCTCACGCAATGCCACCATTTCTGGGCCAAGGTGCCAATCAAGCTCTACAAGATGGATACACACTTGCCACGAAGATTTGCGAGTTCAACGATGTGGTGCAGGGACGTATAGAGCCACAGAAGGTGCCGAGTGCAAATGGCGACGACGAGGACGAAGAGGAGGAGAAAACGCTGAAGTCACTTTTGAAGGAGTACGAGAGAACACGATGGTTCCCTACAGCCAGTATAAGCCTGAAGTCATCCTTTCTGGGATACTTGGAAGTGGGTGGATTTGATGGAGCCTATTCCAAGTTTCGTGATGTTTTCTTCCAAACCATGGGCTTTATTGGTGTTGCCAAGAAAGTACTCCTCGATGCTGCAACGCCTAAACTATAGTCACAGTGTTCGAAGAACGGATGGAGAATGAGGTGCTTATTACACAGTGTTGATTGTTTGAGCATGCTCCAACCAGCTGGTATGGCTTAATCTGTTGTATCTTCTGCTGGATCGATGCATCATCAACTCGTCATTGGTGGTTCACTGTTCCCCACCGGTAAGCTAGCTAGTTGCTTAGGCCTCGGCCGGAACCTACTAACAAGTACGGTAGATGAAAGTAAAAGTAAGTAATTGTGTCTATAGAAAATTGTGCTTAGGCTGTGGCAGCCTCCTTTTCGGGCGTAATTACCTCTTGTTCCATGGACCTGGCATCAAGAGCCATTCCCATGGCGTGGAGTCCATTGTCGACGTAAAGTGTGACACCAGTGACGGTACGGGCCATGGGGGATGTCAAGAACAGAGCGGAGTTTCCAACATCATCACTGTACAAGTCCTGGGCAAGAGGAGCATTGGCGTTGGAGTAGTCAATGGCCAATTCGATGAAAGTCTTGGCACCGGGCTCTTTTCCAATGGCAGAGGCGGCACGGGACTTGAGTGGTCCAGCACTGATGGTGTTGACACGGACTCCCCACTTGCGTCCAGCTTCAAAGGCAAGTGTTCGTGTGTCACTCTCTAGTTGGGCCTTGGCGGAAGACATACCACCTCCGTATCCTGGAATGACCTTTTCAGAGGCAATGTATGTCAAGGAAAGCATGGCTCCTCCTTCGTTCATGATGGGTCCGAATTTTTGCAAAAGAGAAACAGCGGAGTAGGCAGAAGCAGAGGATGCGGCCAAGTATCCCTTTCGGCTGGTTTCCAAAAGAGGCTTGACGACTTCAGGTCCATTGGCCAGAGAGTGAACAAGGATATCAATTTTTCCGTAGTCGGCTTCGACGGCCTTGGCAACTTCGCTAATGGTGTATCCATCGAGTCCAGCGTATCTCTTGTTATTCTTGATTTCATCAGGGACATCATCGGGTTCATCAAAGACAGCATCGAGAGGGTAGACCTTGTCAATTTCCATTTTGGATCCATCGGACAAGACGGAGTCTTCGGCAAAGCTTCCCTTTCGGAGACCCGCTTGGAAAATCTTCAACACCGGTGGCCAAGTTCCAACGATGATAGTGGCCCCGGCATCGGCAAGAGCCTTGGCAATGGCCCATCCGTATCCAGTGGAATCAGCAACTCCAGCAATGAATGCAACCTTTCCCTTCAAGTCAGCAGACATGGACAAAGTGGTGCTGGATGTGCTGCCAGAGCGAGCAGCAGTGGTGGACTGGGCACTTGCTCGGAAAGTGCTTTGACCAACACCTGAAATAAAATAAATAAGGCGTCAGATAATATTTATTTTCACTATGCCACCATGGAAAACCAAATCATTTCTTACCAAGTGATGGGCTGAAGGCAGAAGCAGGGGAAAGGATGGTGGCAACCGCCACCAAAACCATAGAGAAACGAACCATCATCTTTTGCAGTGTATTGTTGTATTTTAATACTCAACCAAAGAAAAATATGACTGCTGCAGAAGGTTTTGATAGCTCTGCTCCAGAATATCTATCTATCTGAAGTTCAGTTCGGAAAGGGCGAGGAAATCTGTGCTTGCGAAAAAGTGATGGGTGGGAAGGTATCTTCCAAAGGAACACGTATGTGTCCTTGTGTGTACTGAGACGTGTAGGATTCTACGTGACTGACGTCGACAGCGGGATCCCTTCCGACCGGCTGATGGCGCCGACAGCGATGCTGCTGTCAACCTCTGATCGCACTGTGATGGGCGACGACTTGGATAGAGCACACATCACTGCACAACACACTGACCAAAGGCAGTCGGTTTAGCGTTGTTGTCATCGGTCCGCGGCGTCGCGAAAATGTGTCTGTGGAGGCATCAATTAATGAGTTGATTCCTGGATAATAATACCCTAATCCATTGGAATTTTGGATACCCAAGGGGTGGCACCGACATCACACCCACCCACATCGATAATACATACATGTATGCTTGGAGCAACTCCACCACCTTCCAGCTGATACCCCATAATGGGACGAACTTTGTTTGTTACCGTGGGGACTACTCTGTTTGACAAGCTAGTCCTGTCGACATCATCGCCAGAGGCTCTCCAATGGATGCTGGCCAATGGATTTACTCGAGTAATCATCCAATATGGCAAGGGCGTGGAACCTTCCATCCCCAAGGACCAGGCTGCTGGCTTTGAGAAAATCGAAACATACCGCTTCAAACCAACACTGGAAGATGACATGAAGGCTGCTGACATGATTATCAGTCATGCTGGAGCTGGAACCGTCATGGAAGCCATGAGAATGGAAAAACATCTCGTTGTGGTGATCAACACTTTGCTCATGGACAATCATCAAGCCGAGTTGGCCAATGCCATGGGATCACGCAAACACATATTTGTCGTCAAGGAACCGGATGATATGCAAAGGTTTGAAATTTGGGACGAATTTAACACCTTTACTCCAATTCCTTATGAAAGCGGTGATAACCAGGACTTTCCGAGAATTGTGGATAACCTGGTTGGCTTTGGCAGCAAAAAAGACAAGTGATCACGCGGTTTGATTTGCTGGAGCTAGGAAAATAGAAGGGAGAAATTCCTGGAAACAACATCAATGGCTGCCACCATTGGACAGACGACCATCAGGTTATTTATTGATTGGCTTTCTCCAGGATCAGCCTCAGACCAGGGACAGAAGTGAGAGTTGAAAATCTTGGCATGTGCAGCAAAAGCGATGCTACATTATGCTTCTGCTTCGTTCTCTCTCCAGCTGCCAAGTGCAGTGCCCAATGTGCTATCAAGGAGGAAGAGTTTGCTACCGTACCAGATCAGGTTTGGCACTCGTGTTCCTTGTTCTTTGGATCAGCCTTTGCAGTTTGCAACCAACTGTCAGATAACCCATACTGAGGCGTTAGCCTCCTGCTCCAGCTCCGATGAAACTTCAAGTTGGAACAACGTGTTTTTCTTCTAGCTAGCAAGCTGGCTACTGGTATGTGTAAAGTCCATTTATTAAGAACATGCAAAGTCGAACGGGTCCACCTTCATCGTCTTGGTTTGGGAGGTGGGGGGCAACTAGGACGCTTATCCGTCCACGTGAGAATCATCCGGTGCCTGCTCCATCCTGATTGAATCTTCCTTGTTCAATGGTTTGAGAACCCAATACGTAGTCATATCACCTTTTCCTTTCACTTTGATGACTCCTCTCTTCAAGATTCTGGTTTCAGGAGACTGCTCTGCTAGGAGCATGGCAGAGCGCTCAGAGCAATGAATACGTCCGTTCGTGGAGTTGGTTTCCATCCTGGCGGCAGTGTTGACTGTGAATGAAGCAAGCATGAAGTTCCACGGAAGGACGTGAGATGAATCGAGGACCTCTGCATCGTCCTTTTGGTATGAAGGGCAAGAACCACGTACCAGTGTCACCAAAGAGACCATAGCGAGGATTGAGGGAACCAATGACGCTGCTCACCACTGGACCACTGTGAAAACCGACTCTGATCTTTACACAACCTCGGTCGGGGTCTTCCTCGTCAATCTGCACTTGGTTTGCAGCCTGGACGACCTCGATTGCGAAATCTAAACGTTTCAAAAGTGACTTCACCGGTGAGGAAAATGAAAGAGTGTTTCCGAAGAGACATGTCGCTGCTCCCACTTGCCTGCGATGCGCTTGACATGATCCGTAGGTTGTTTTCCGTTGAGATTTGTGACACCCATGTATGCTTGGGGACCAGATGAAACAATGAACTGAATGAGAGAGTGTGGAGGAAGACATGGATGGTACCGCCACAGCATTCTCAGAATCAGACTTACCATCACCGATTGTTTCGACTGAAAACGAAGATTCAGGGAAGCTGTGAGGATTGATTCACAAGCATCATTGCATTGACTGGCTGGTCGGCCTTACCCTTGAAGACGCCATGCTTGGACGAAAGCGAGTCAAAAACGAGGTACAACCTGTCAAGAAGCTTGCTGACTTTCAAGGGAGAAAGGCTTCGAGAGATGTCGGTGAACTTCACAATATCGCTTCAAGCAAGTATGACGAAACAAGAGGGCCATGAGCTGAGAATGGCTCATGCAAGCCTGATCTGACGCCAATGTATGGTTACCTAAAGAACACCGTAACAAGATCATGGGATTCGGGTTCCACTTTCTGTCCTTTTTTCAACGCATCTGCAATGTGAGACGGGAAAAGCTTGTACAGCATATCTTCCGTTGGTCGCTCGGTCGGAGCTGCCTTGTCGCCTGAAAGTGGCTCAGCCTCTTGAACGGTGACATCAAGAAGTATCATATCCGCATCCTTTGCTTGAGGTCGAAGTGACGGGTTTGCGCTCCAGCACTTACTCATTAGACTTGCAAGCTTTGGTGGACAAGTTTCCGGTACCCCAGGTCGTTTGTTCACTCTTGCATTGCAGACATCCTTGAGCACCTTGATGGGATTCTGCCCTTCATATGGGCTCTTCCTTGCGTAAATTTCGTAGAGAATAACACCAAAGCTGTACATGTCACAGGAAGGAGTATAATCCCCACCTTTCAAGTACTGGAGGAGGCAAAGCAGAGCCAACGTGAGGGTCCGGTCCGACACAACGTTGAAGCGGTCTGTGAGAGGTTGTCGCAAGTACATTTGCTCACCTCGGGTGCCAGCCAGAAAGCAGTTCCTGCCAACCCGAGTGTCTTCTTGGATGACAAACCGAAGTCTCCGACCTTAGCCCGGAAACGACTGGGTGACGAAAGAAAAACCTAGATGTGAGCACGGATGCTTCCCCGACAAGTCACGGACAATTTTCTTCACGAACCTATCCACCAAGATATTCTGAGAGACGCAAGAAAACCCACTTGTGAGAACGGGTGCTTGCCCGGCAAAGTGACACACAATTTCCTTCACGAACCTTTGCCTTCAAATCACTGGCAATATCAAGCCCGCGGACGGTGCATGAATTAGTTTAATAGTGACACTTCGAAGCAAGCCAAACACTACTCCTTTTCACCGCTCAAATCAGTGGTCGAGTACTCACCAGTGCATGATTGGAGGCTTGTTAGCGTGAAGAAATCGGATCCCCGAAGAGACGTCTCGGACGATCTGAAGGATAATTTCACCACTGGGAAGAAATGATTCATTACTGAGCAAGTCGTCGAGTGAGCCATACCTGATGTGCAAGTGCAAGCAAGAGAGTAGGAGGAACAACCCGGTTAGAGCTCCCACCGGTCGACGTCGGCACGAGGCACTTGACGAATCACTCATTCGTACTCAAAGTACTCCATGACAAGCATTGGCTCGTGGAATGGAGAGATGACGGCACCCATAACTACAAGAACATCAAAGCGAATATCATTTTGAAAGTGAGAGACGCCGTATTGAGGTCGTCGTCGCAAAAGTAACAGCATACGTAACTGGTGGTGATATTCGGGTGACGAAGTCGAGAAAGTAGACGCATTTCCTCCACGAATTCTTGTCTTTGACGAGACTGGGCATCCATGCAAGGGAACAGAGCCGACAGAGGATTTGTCTTTGCGGCGTTAAACGTTGTTGAAAGGAGAAAATTTGTATCTGCCATCCCGTGGTCCTCCGACTTCGGCAGCCACCATTTGGATCTTCGAGACGCCCGATTCTTCATCTGGTCCAGGAACTTTTCCAGCGACTTATTAGTTCCCGTGGCTGTTCCCACCTCGGACGGGTGGGGGTCCTCAAGGTCTGTTTCGTCTTGAAGTGTGACAACTTTTCCCGCTGGCTCCTTGCTGGGCGTTTCGTTGCGTACTTCAATGACTTTGTCTTTGCTTCCACTGACGGAAAAGTCCCTGGATCCGTTCCTGCGGTTCTGCTTTTTGGGTGGTAGCACACGCTAGAGCATAAACGTTGAACAGGAATCAATCATTAGAAAACCTCAGCCTTGTGATCGAGTTGAGTTGTGCAGGCAACATGAAAGCCCGCACCTTTATAGCAACGCTGCACAGCACGGAGAGGAGAATGCGGATGGCATGAGCGGGCAAGGAATGATGAATCAACACAAACCAAGACGATTGAAAATCTTGAACATACGTGGTACCACGATAGTCGGCCAACAGAACAACACCAAAGCCGCCTTGACCGATCACTTCGGGCGGGTTATCAAACTGCAACTCTTCCTCGGAGATATGCCATAACTGATCACTTTCCTTTCTTTTGTAACCAAGGTACCAGAGTCCGGCTGACATGGCGACGATCAATATCAACACCGAGACAGAGACAAAGACTGCCGTCGAGCTCACACAGGATCCGCCCATTTCAAGTGCGCCGTCGTCGCAAACGCAGCGTCCTTCGGTGTTCGCCACGCGGTCATCACCATCGCAAGTTCTTTCAATAACTTCAACAACAACCGGAGACGCAGGAATATGCAAGCTATCGAAGTATACTTCGATCGTAAGGTCGCCTACCTCCTCTTCGTTAAAGCTGAACTCGTAAGCGAACGTCGATGGAATTCGACTCACCGGCAGATCATGGGCATTTAGTCCTTTCTGCACAACTACACGGACATGTGGACTCGCTCGTTCCATGTTATCGTAAGCCCTGAATGTGATGTTCTTGGTTTGTTCCACAGTGCCGCAGGTCTCCATCTGTTGACATCCTCCCGGATACGCTCCAAAACCATTGCTGTCCAAATGAAAGTCTGTGTCGCTGTCAACCTCATAAAGATCCACTTCAAAAACGCAAGGTCTGACCGGTAATCAGGATATGCAATGGACCACACAAGCAAAACACGATGCGTATGCTGCAACTTACCGGCAAAAGCAGTCAAAGCCCGCGTCGCAGTGCAGCCCGACTTTCTCGCATCCATCTTGGAACTCTCCTAGACTCCTCTTCACGTGCCCCTCTAATAGTTGCAATGGAGACAACCTGGTGAGTTGAATAGCCCTTTTGTGTCCTACTGTAGCAGGCAGCTTTCTTCACATACCTGGGCATTTGATGCCATCATACAAAGTAGTAGAACGAGTGCATTTCCAGTCACCATTTTCATCTTTGGTCATGAAACCAGCAGCTTCATGCATTGTCCGGGGTTCAAAGTACGATCGTGACGTCCTGAAGCCTGCAAATTTGCCCACTTTGGACGCTTCCCAAGCCATCTCGGCTAGTTCTTGAGATGAATCACAGCGAGCATTCGGATATAGCTCAAGGGGATCTAGCTGGTCACAGGTAAGAGCGTCTTCGTTGGCCTTGCACTCCTCGTAGGCTTGACCAATCTTGGCATGCTCCCCTGATGCATACAAAGCTTGCTGCACTTCAAATGCTACATCGCTAGGAACATGGTTCAGACTAGCAACTGGCCACTCTAAGAGAACACGAAAAGCGGTACGTCAGTGCCATTGTCCATAATGATGTCATTGTGATGCCCGTGGTATCAATTCCAATACGTACCAGGATAAATGTCGGTGCTGTGTAAGAAGGGGAAGAGGCTGTTGCGTCGTACACCAGGACATCAGTGAGCAATTGACTCCGAATGCAGCTTTTGATCAGTCAGCCGAGCACTCACTTTCCATCATCCATGACATAGATCTTTGGGGAGATGATTTTGAACTCGTCTGGATCGACAAATTCGCCTTTGTCATCCTTGGTTCTCTCGATCTGGTCTGTGCGTACGAACTGGAGCGAGGTGGCCACGGCATGTAGTGATGAGACGCAAGTAGTGACACAGGTAGGTACTGGTACGATAGAGGCAACGTTGTTCTCGCGGTTGAGGGACACCAACATGAGCGAAGAAGAGACTTACGCCGACGTCGAAGTCACCCGAAAGGATCCCTTTGACAACATCAAACTGATTCCCAGTGAAGACAACTTGTGCTGGATCCATGACTTCAGCAGCAACCACAACAGGAACCATTCAGAGTCAAGAGTCAGTCAAATGGTATCTGGTCCATTGCACAATACCAATTCAAGCAAGTTTTCACTGCCAAACGTACCGTACGACATCCCAGCCTTTTCCATTTCATAAAACTGAACCTGTCCTGCCAGAATCATGGAGATGGAACCTGCTGCAATGATCTTTCCCTTTAGATCATGGATGGTGTTGATGTCACGGTTGCTTTTGTGAGTTGCAATCACTCCTCCTGTGACAGTACGCAGCACAAATCATCATAGAGAATGAGTGTGTGTTAGTTCATACATACGTATGAATGAGATGCTCATCTGCATGTCAAGGAAGTCAGCCCCACAGCATGGACTCTTACCAAACACATCTAGGTCATAGACGGTTCCTCTGACGTCAAGACGGGCGATAATGGTAGCCAATGGCTGTGCCCCCACCTCGACTCCAATACAACTGTAGATTCCAGGATTTGAATAGAAGAAGTCAATCTCTTCTTGTTCCACAGCATCAAACAACCCTTGGAACGTTACTGGGACCATCTCGAACTGAATGGGTTGGGTGAAGCGTCTTCCTGCCGTGGCAGTCAAGTACTCTCCAAAGATGGTGTTGTATTCTTGCCTTGCGGCATCAAAGCCCTAATATCAAAAGTTGAGGATGCGTGTTTGTCGATGAGACGATCATTGTGACAACCGACAAGCCCCGGAGGCACGTTTTCGTGTCACTTACTCGAATGGCGTGCACACCGACACGATAGATAGTTTTGTGTTTGTGAGGGTCAAAATGCTTCAGTCCCGACACACAATCCATCTTGGAGGAGGCAGCCTCGATCACGGCGGCGCTGGCATTGGAAGCTTCGGCGACCCTAGCCAACAGCAGCAACATCAACCCCCCGATGGAGGCCTTTGTGGGCAGGAACATCTTTTGGTTATTAGGAATGCTGATTTCAGCTGAAGCTTTGCATTAAACGTGAAGCTGAAAACTTTTGCCTTTTGAGAGGGAGAATGAGAAAAAGTGAGCTTGGTGTTGGAGGTTGGAGGGAGCTTTTAGAGACGGTTCTCATGAGTGCACCTCCAGAACACAGTTGACCAGACATAAATCCAGAAGGCTTCTGAATTTCAGTGTGTAGACTTAGGAGACTTTCTGAAAAACCCTTTTTGTGACCGGGAATGTGGTGATGGAAGTTACAAACATCCTTTTCTTCAAATTTTTGGCCAAGAAATCATTTTTTCCAATTCTTATTTTACTCAGCAGAGGCTCGAATCGAATACATGTACTTACGATGTACCATGGGCCAGTGTCCAGGTTGTGAACGGGCGGTGTTTTTGGAAGTACGATAGTCATTGTTTTGAGTTTTGAGGGACATGCATGATGCATGTCTCGATATTGCGGACGATGTAGTGGCACAGTGACACTTCAATTGAATCTCGAATACGGTGTGTGCCCTTGTGCACTTGTTTCACAATCATTTGTATGTATGTGTTCGCATTATGTGTTGGGTTCGTATTTCGGCAATAAAAGCGTCAACAACACTTTTAAAATTACTTTTCCCTGCACATACATGTACCTGGTACTGGTACCGGTACAGTCTAACCGGTAACAGGTGCACATACCGGTACATGTACAAGTTCCCTCACACCTCACAAGCGCTCCCAGCTCCCAGCAGCTCCCTGGAAACCCCAGATGTCCCCAAATTTCCGAATTACTTCATGCTTCCAGTATCCAGAATGACTTTTTTGCAGCTCTTCCTCTCCTTCACCATCACCATGGGGCATTTTGCCCAAGATCTTCTGATGTTGTGTTGGAACCTGGGGCAGAGAATACATGAATAGATTGCGGAGCGATGACAAAGTAGTCATCGTGTGGGGCCCAGGCAGCACGAACCCTTGCTGGACCGAAGGACCAATCCGAAGGAAACGGCAGACGATTGATAACGATTTGTCGTTTGCTTGTCAATTGACTTATTGGTCACTAGAGCCCTCGAAGCAACCTTACGCCCATGCTGTCCCAAGTAGAAGGAGGAAATCGGAGGGAAATTGGATGCCTGTGTGCACCTTATGCCGGGAACTTTGAAGTAATCTAGTAGACTAGGTAATCTCCGACTCTGTGGTTAAAGAATAACCAAACAGACGCATCTCTTGCTTGCTTGGTTGGTTGCTTGTTCAGCATTCGTTCGCTCCAACCTGCTAAGGAATAAGTCACCAACCGTACCAGTGCACAATGATGAATGAGCAGCTAATGAGCTACAGTACTGTATGATGCGTCGAGTAATAACAGTCGACTCGATCCCATTCGAATCAATCGAATCGGATAATGCTATTCGATTCGGAATCGACTCTGATAAATTCGACTCGACTCGATTAGATTCGATTGATCAGCATTTTTTAAAATTTTAAATATTATCATCCGCGGCCTGTCGTTTTTTGTGAGTTCCAAGGTGGTCATCTCGCGCGTTTCTTAAGTAAATTTGAATGAAGGTTTCTTTAAATCTTCTCAATCTCTTCTCCTCCAAAACCAAACCAAAACCTTTTTCACAAATTCGACAATGGCACAGGGCCGCTCCGTCCGGTTCCTGCCCAATGGGCTTGAAGACTCGCTGGATCCAGCGCCGGTGTTTTCTCCGACTCAACTGGACACTCATACATCGGTGCTTCACAGTGTCTTTTCTCCATCTGCACGAGCAAAAGAACCTGGCTTTTTTGAGGGAGGAGCAACGGAGCATGATGATTTTGCTGCCCACACTAAATCCGAGCCTCGGCACACTGGATATTTCTCCTCCAGATCGGCCAATGGCACGTCGCGGTCTCAACATCATTATAATGCGCAGTCTCCGTCGCCACTTCGCGCCGGATTTGGAGGTCTTGTCAACACAAAACTGCACATTGACATTCAGGGGGAAGAGAGTCCAACCTCGACGATTACTGGTGCCAACACTGTGTTTTACTCTCCACACTCACGGTCCCATGACATTGGCATGGTCAGTCCAACTTCTCATGTCTCCAACAGCAGCTCGTTCCGAGCGCTCCGAGATGTTACACTGCTCGATGTGGACAATATCAAAAACTGTACTTCAGTGAGCGATCTGGAAAATGTCATTGAAGTCCTCAGAGGAGAAGGAAAATTCCAAGCGCTGCTCCGAATTGCAGAGTCTAGACTCGGGACGCTCTTGTTGAAAAACTCTCCGAATCAATCAGCTGCAGCTGAAAATCCCGTACTAGTAGCTGAAAATCTCAAGGAAGCTCCGTATGAATCCATCATTCCCAAAAAACCATCACCAATCCGCACTAATAATCTTCACCACCAAACTACTAGTATTTTTGCTGCAATGCCAGCCTCAACCTTGGAACGGTCGCCTCCCAAACCACCAACCCGGCCTTCTCCCAGGCGTTCCCCAGTTCTTGCTGCGTCCCCCGAACAACACGTCGCAATCCAGATGGAACCTGCTTCGACGACGACGACGGCCATTTCTCCTCGCCAACAAGCAATTGACAATGCCAACGGGTTGCTTGGCGACGAAGGGACCTTTGCTTTCAGTGACCCAAGCGAAAGCTCGCTTGTCATGTCCGTGTCGTCCTCGGTCCTGAATGGCAATCTGGAAGAGGACCAGCAACAAATGGAGGGTGTACTCGGCAATAATTCCCACTCCATGAGAAGGTTTGATCGTCGTCGGAATCCCAACTATCTGTCTCCTTCTCCGAGCCCTGTAGCGAGATACGACAATAAGAAACTCTCGGACGACCTGAGAAAGCTCACAGAGACCGTCCTTGGCATGGAAACAGATCGTGCTGCCGATCGCAAATTGTTCCTTGAAAAGTTGACGGCTTTGGAAGCCAGAAAGGATGGCTCGGATGACAAGATGAGAGCCATCGAGGGCATGATGGAAACGAGTTCGGCCCATACTCGTGAATTGCTGCAGTGTCTGGAACGACTGAAGACGGATAACCAGGAGCTTCAAGAAAATGCTCGATCCGAACGAAACGCTTGGAGACAGTCTTATGTGCAAGTACAGCAACTAGAGTCTCGACTAGGACAAAAGGTGGAGCAGCTTTCCCAGGCAATCTCGAAACAGCAGCCATTACAGCAACAACTATCCAAAGAGCAGGAAGAACGTATCCGCCTGCAGTACTTGACAGAGATTTCAAAGCAGAAGAAGGAACAGGAGGAAACGCTCGGGAGCCTTCTTGTGGGAATGGGAAGGAACAAGAATGAGCTCCGTCAAATGACTTTGGAGCAGAAAGGGGGGCTCGTGACCTCATTCGTCAAAAAGAGCTTGTCGACCAAGGCGGCCGCGGAAGCATTGGCTCAAGAAGTTGCCATCCTAGAGAAAGAACGGCAGGAGGCATCCAAAGCCAAACGAGCTCTTTTGGGGCAACTTGAAAAGGCCAGGTCTACGCAATCGCAGCTAGAGCACGAAAACTTTGAACTACGCAAGAAGATTGAGCAGCTGAAGGAAGACCTGCAAGCGATGAGAGTACAAGTGACCGAGTTGTCGAGCAATCGGGCCAAGAAAGAGGATTGGGAGAAGAGGGAACAGTCCTACAAAAACACAATCCAAGCCTTGAAGAATCAATTGCGAAAAGAAGAAACCAGTAAGTGCCTTAGATTTGTATTCCAGCAGAAACTGAGCTCGATGCTGGGGAATCTCACATCATTTTGTGTTATGATCATCCAGTGGTGTCGGTTCAGTTGTACAAATCGGCTGTAGAATCGGGTAAGGAAAAGGGCAAGCAGGTAGAGGCAAAGAAAGCCGAGCTGGATGCGATGAAGGCGAAGTATACCGTCTTGGAGTCGGAGCTCCAACATGTACACAACTCCCAGGTGACTGCTGATGACACGATTCGAAAGAACCAAGAGAAGAGCCAGCAAAGGATTTCTGAGCTCAAGTCTCAGCTGCAAGCAGAGAGGAAGACGAAGAACAGTTTGGTAGCGGCAGCGAAACAAGAGAGCGAGAAGCTCAAAGAACAGCTCGATGATCTTCGTCTCCAGATGGGTGCAGCTAACGGAAGGACGCCGCAGGCTCGTCGCCATGCACATGCCACAACGCCAACACAACCCCAGGCGCCGAATCTTGTTGCTGCTGCAGTTGTCACACCCCGGCAACCGCCTCCTCCACCGCCGCCGCCCCCTCCTCCTCTGCGCACCAATAGCAATGTCCCCCCTTCGCCGAGTCCGGGTCAGAAGCAAGCGTATCGAAGCAAGTTCAGTTTTGTCAAGCAAGCGGGCGGTAGAAAGGTACGTTGCTGCAGTAGTTGAAACGTGCAATTTGTTGCTTCAAACTCAAAGGTCTTCCTTGGTGCCTTTGTTTTCAGGGCCTTCAGCAAAAAGTCAATCAGATCAGGTCACCCCGGGGCCAAACTCAGAAGTTGGTCTGAACAAGCAGGATTAGCTATGTAGTATAACTGCAGGTGTTAGCTGACTATTGTAATGGTGCCGGTATCGTCTATTTTAGAATTCTATGAAGGTCTATCATAAACGTCACATTTGATCCAGATAGAGTTGGCTGTTTCAACAGTCCTCTGCTACGGTGCCAGAGAACACGCACCCAGTCTCCTCACAATATTTTCCGAAAGCAGCCCAGTGCCGGTCTCCATCACGCAAGGTTTCAAGGTCTCCAACAACCACCAATGCACTCCTCGCTCTTGTCAGCGCCACATTTGTACGTCTCCAGTCGCGAAGAAAACCAATGTTCCCCTTTCTATTGGATCGAACCGCTGAAAACAGAATCAGATCTCGCTCTCTTCCTTGGTACCCATCCACTGTTTTAATCTCCACTTCAATTGAAAGCATCTTGGTGCTTGCGGCAAGCTCTTCGTCTGCAGCAAGCTTTTTCTTGATCAGATCTACCTGGCCGCGATATGGCGTCACGATGCCTATGCTTTTGGGGCTCGAAGGATCACCAACGGCAGCGTTGACGGCATCCCTCACAAGAGACACAACGGCATCCGCCTCTGGCTCGTTCCAATAGCTGGACTGTTCCTTCTCACTGAAGAAAGCTGATTGCGCCGCCGCTTTGGCGTATCCCTTGGGTGCACCCTTTCTTTCATTGTTGCGACCGCCTACGTCCACAAATCGAACGCAAAACTCTTGGTCGTCACATGGCATGGACTGTCGCAAGAATTGTGGCATCTGGCGGGAGTTGGCAAGGAATGCTGGGGTTGCAAGAAGACTATCGTAGAAGATGGCGGACGGCAGAGCCGAGATCGACGGGTGCATCCTGTATTGAACCGACAGCAGAATGGATCCGCCATAACGTTTACGGTACGATCCTTGCTGTGTCTCCCCTTGACTCAATGATTGGAAACGAGAACGTGCCTGCTTTACGGGTAGTGCATCCAAGTATTTCCGGCAACATTCTTTGCCGTTCAGTGGTTGCAACGGTACAGTAGGATGAGGTAGGACTTCAGCCAGTCGCGCCATCAAGGACACTGCAAGCGGGGATTCTTCATCGCCGCTACGAACAGTTGGAGGCAACTGGCAAGGGTCGCCGAGCAACACAAGTGCTCTGCACGAGTTTGTCGAAGTCATTGGAATGATGGATGCCGGCTCCACAGACTGACAGCTCTCATCAATAATGACGAATGGACACGAAAGTGGTGGAAGACCGTCGGGTGCCGTCTTTAGTCGATCATCTTGTGTTCTGCCCCGGCCAACAGCCTTATTGTCTTCTCCGTTACGCCCACTAGCATCGATTGCATCGTCCGGGTCTGTGCTGATGCCGCACGCGGCCAGCAAACGAGGGTCGCTGGCACCCGTCGATGTGCTCACAACAATGTCAGCCTCTCGAAGAGCCTTTGTGGCTGCAATGTTACAAGCCTAAACGTACATGATTGTCAGTATTTGAAGCACTTCGTTGTTGAATCGCTCGTCAATTCGTCATTCTTACCTTGATCGATGCTTTGACAGCTGCAGTGGCTATGTCCCGAGTGACATCGACGATGCTACCAGAAGAGGTGCCACCTCGGGACTTGTTGTTGCTCTTTTGGCTTTCTCTCAATGCCGCAGTGGCTCGAGCAGCATGTTTCAGCGCATTCTGGGCATCGGGGTCCCTGTCAATGGCCGCATCCAGAGTATGGTCCCAGAGCGACTCTGAAACAGCCGAGGGTCTTCCAATACGGACCACTTTGAGTCCAAGCTTGACGAGCCGATCTGCCAGGTTGTCCGCTCCAACATTGCTGCAAGCGCAAGCGAGAACTTTGGCATTTCCTGCTGCACTCAGCATCTTGCACTGGTACGCAAACCCAAATCCAATGGCTGAAGCCACCGATGTTTTGCCCGTTCCAGGAGGACCTAACGAAGCGAGCAGCACGCTGCTTTTGAGAATGCAAGCCTTCAACAGCTCTGCAAAAAGTCGTCTGGATGGTACATTACATCCGACTTACCTTGAATGAGAGTCAACCGCCTGGTAAGAGCAGCATTGATGGCTGCCAGTTGGGGCTGGTTAAACTCTTCAAAGATTTGTTGGTTGTCCGACTTCATGAATGTGATAGCTTTCTTGGCCATTTGTAGCGAGCTTCCCACGGGTGGCTTGGCCAGGCAAGAGGACTGATGATGATTGATACATGGATAGAAGAAGAGAGTTCGAATGAGAAGAAGACGTTTCAAACTTTGTACTGGAGACATATATGTCAAAATCAACGTACCAGATACTGCAAGTCGAGGAAATCATCATCGTTGTAGTAAGCGCTGAAAGGGTCACTGTAAGCATGTGTGGACAGGACAACTTCTCGCAGTAGCTCATCCATGCAGATTCGTTCATGGGCGTCTTTTTTGCTGTCATTGTCGGATGCCGTTGCCGTGGTGGCTTCTTTGCGTTCTGGAATGGCCGTCAATTGCGCCAATGCCGTGACCATCCTTTGATACGGTATGTTGGAAAAGAATCGATCCACGCGCAGTCTCATCTTGTTATCATTGGTGGGTGGTCCAAAGGCAGCTTCAAAGGATCCATTCGGAACGGCAATGTCGACATAGGTGGGTCCAGTGTTGAGGACCCGTGCTTCAATGGCCAGCCCCTGAGTGGGAAGCGATGCAAGGTTGAAGAAATCTCCACTGCCTTGCGGTTGCAAGGTAATCATAATGACATCATTGGACGAGATTTTGTGGTTGGGTGGCAGAAAGCGTAGTTGTGACTGGGAAGATGATGTGCTGGTTTCATCATCTTTATCATCATTCAGGGATGGACCACTCTCTGGAAATGTAGTGGTAGCATCGTTCGCCTTGACCAGTCTGTACACTTCATCGGAAAACAAGTTTCCCCTTCGTTCCGGGTGCATGTCAAAGAGGGCAAATCCGGCCGCTTCGTAGCCCAGTGGGTCATCCAAAGAAGCCTTGATTCTTTCCAGAACTTCGTCTTCCTGTCACATTGTGTTTCATAGTTTTGCATACCGGTATACAAGAGACAGAGGACAAGGATTAGCAGCGTATATCGGCGGTACATTCATGCATGGTGGATGAGCAGATATCTCCCTACAACTCTTTTCAGTATCATTCCCACAAAAGATCCTTCTGTCATTGGTTCTTTGAACGAATCTTCACTTTTCCCCACGAATCTCTGTCCAGATTGCATCTTTCAACAATATCCACCATGCTCCCGTAGTTCTATTCATGCTCCTTACCTCTTGTCGATATTCTTGCGTTAATAGACTCAAGTACTTGTTGTGGTAGAGTGACAGAGAATTGTAGAGCGCAGAACGCTTTCGCGACCTGCCTCGTCCTCCCGTCTTGGTTTCCGGAATGATGTTGTTGGTAGCTTGCCGTTGCCGCCAAGCTTTTCCATTCATGGGAGATTGTGTCACGGTCCCCGATTCCAGCAACAAATCATTGCCTCGTTGCTGTTGTCGGCGAGTTCGTTTATCGGAAGCCTTTTGCTTTCGCATTTCCAAAAAGGAACCACCATTATTGTTTCTGGATGGATGCTGATGATATTGGGCTTGTTGGACTGGTTGTCCCAGAAACCCAAATCCCACACAAGGGTCCGCCACCAAGGCGAGCACACACACAGCCGATCCCAAGAAATTCATCCTCTTGTACACTTTTTCTTCTTGGAAGATATGAAGAAGAAAACTGCAAGAGCAATGCGGCTGCTTCCTTGGTGTCTTTGGGATACAGTGGGGTGTGATGGCTGGCCTTCAATATGGCCAGAATTCTTCTTCCACAATATTCTTGTGTTGCGTCGACGAATAACATTTGATCTGTGCGGGATCCGGAGTGGTACGTGTTGGAGGGAGTCGAGTCGAGTCACGGAATATGCACGAATGAAACTACTGTGGAGTCAGGGCTATCCTAAAAGTTCGATGGGGCCATCGAAGAGGAAATGGAAAATGGGTTTCCAACTTGTGCTCTGTGAATCGTCATCTTTCCAAATCTAGCTACTAGTACTCTAGTAGCTAGCTCGCCACTACAAGTACTGCACCTCTAGCTAGTAAAGTCCAGAGCTGAAATGTCATGACGCTCTAGGTCTGTGGCTGGCAGTGTCCTTTTTGAAGCCTAGACCAAATTGATATATGCAGATGTAAAGGTATCATCTGTAGTTCTACTGCTAGCTACTAAGCTGCAGTGGGCATCAACTCAACACCAGTTGGCAGCATGCGGCTTTTTCGTCGCTGCGGGGTGATCCATTCCTTCTTGAAACCCATCCCAGCTCCAAAGGGACTGGTTACACCGGCTGGATGTTCAAAAACAGGATTGACCATTCTGCAATCAGGACAGACAACATGTTCGCAGTCTCCCACACATACCAGCTGGATGAAGCACTCCAAACAGGTACATTCCAGTGTGCTCCCATTGTCAAGTGCATCCCATACTTCCTTTGCACCACGAAAGGGAACATAGAAATCAGGAGCAATTTCCATTTCATATGTCTCATTCACCGCACAACTTTGGCTCTTGATGGGTGCTTGAGATGTCAACTCTTCGAACGTTTTGTAATCCTCGTTCTGTTGCTTCGGCACCTCAGTGACAGCACGTTCCTGAGCCATGCAGTCTTCTTCAAGATCATAACCGAGAGGGTACTGTGAATCACAGGCAAAGCTTCTATCAGAATCGTCGAGGGAAAGCCCAATGGAACTATCAGAATCTTGATGGCCATCAATCAAACTCTGTTGGGTGCGACTACCATGCACCTGTAGGTTTGCGCCACTGGTGTTGCTTGCATAGGGGGGCCTGCCCCCTGAGAACACAGACGTCTGCCAGTTCCCGTTTCTGGAATCAGAACGTTGGCTCGACCAAGTGCTGCCACGGCCACTACCAAGGCCCCTTGAAGTCCTCGCTTTGAGGGGGGTACTTGGAATGGCATCATGATCGTTGCCGCGAGAGCCTCGAAGACCCCTCGTCTGTCGGGGAAGACGGCCTGCACCGTCACTGTGGGTTGAGCTGACGCCCATTTGATTCAATCTGGTGTTGGAGTTGTTGCGGGAGCCGATAAGCCTCTGGGGGCTACTGTCGTCGCTTTGGTTGTATCCTTGACTCAAGGAACTGTTGCTACCGTAACTTGTGGAATTGCCAAGACCAATTGCAACCCTTTCCTTCCGAGGGACTCTGGTGTTTTGGGTCGAGGCACTACCCATTTGGTCCAATCTCGTGTTCGAGGTGTTGCGGGAACTGCTACCGGTATGGACTATACCTGCTCGCCGCTGGTTCACGGTCAACTGGACGTTGGATTTGCTGCGGCCTTCCATGTGTGGCCGGTATGGCGTCTTGAACTCAATAGAGTGGTCCCTTTCAAAATTCGTGGCCGCAAAACATTGAGGCTCATTGACTCTGGTGTGTTGGGTCAAGGCACCACCCATTTGGTCCAATCTCGTGTTCGAGGTGTTGCGGGAACTGCTATGGACTATACCTGGTCGCCGCTGGTTCACAGTCACCTGGACATTGGACTTGCTGCGGCCCTCCATATGTGGCCGGTATGGCGACTTGAACTCTTGAGATTGGTCTCTTTCAACAGCATTCTTGGCCGCAAAACCTTGAGGCTCGTTGACACTTGTTTCCAAGGAGAGTAAGCGGTTAAAAGTGAGTTGGACGTTGGACGTTTTGCGGCCCTTGTGTGGTTGGGCTGGCACCTGGATCTCATGGTAAGTGTTGTCCGGCATCTTGTCTGGTTCCTTCGATCTTGGGTCAACTCTTGAAACTTTTTAAAATTGTGAGAACATCTAGCTAGAGGGGGTACTGTACTAGTAGAACAAACTTCCTTCTTGCTCATTTTGTTTGGCTTGCAACCACTGGTTGGGTAGCAATTACAGTGGGCTCTCGCCACCTCACTACTGAAACCCAGTCTAATTCTACATGTATGGACACACACTGTCAAAAGTTGCAGCAGTGGAAACGTTCCCGGTACAAAAAGACTATAGAGTCGCGAGCCAGTCACAGCGTCACAGCACGTGGTGATCAATCACATTTCCGATTTCTGAGGCAAATCCCAATTCGTACCGTGCTCGGTAGCTAGGCCCGATTTTTGGCTGGCAACACTGGTGGATGTGCTACAGCACTGCGATACTAGATTGATAGATGGATGAGCGAAGTCCCAAGTTGCCGTCTTGGCCAATTGTTTTGAGTGTCCCAATGGCTGCAGATCTTTGCATCATCGCGAAGTGGTGACATCAAAAGCGGAGCGATCCTGAGCATCCATAAACTGTATGGCATACCTATCTAAGTTAGCTACCAGCTACCGGTAGCTAGACTGTGACCTAATCTTTCGACCTCCAGCTGACTACAGGAGCAAATAACGCGGAGGGAAATCCAAAGTATTTTGGGATGGATCTTGATCAGCGATGATGGCAGAACCAATTTCTAGATGTAACCCTAATGATGTTGTGTGCGAACACGCTACACGCACGAATGAGTCTCCGTCGACTCCTTCGACTCGACTGGCTCGAAAAGATCTTTTCTTGATTGATGACGAGGCAATCGCCATCAAACAACTGCAAGTTCGGAAACACCAGAATTGACTGTTGTCCATTTTCCTTCTGGTTTGTGTTGTCACAGAACAAAAACAACTTCCCAAGTACGTCGTTGATCTCATTAGTACTATATCAGGCCAGGAAGTGTACATACATACATACATCAACAGGTGTGTGCATGATCTTTTGTCCATAGTTGGTTTTAACAGTACCTGTGTTGATTCGATTCGTTGATTGATTCATTGATACCTCCAGCATAGCAGGCTTTCACCATGTTGACCGTGACACCCACCAATTTGGATGAAGCGTCTTCGTTTGGAAACTCCGGTGGCACTCACGATGATGTAGACTGCATCAGTGAGGGCTCCCTGGTGAACGATGAAGGAGAATGGCGCGTCGTGACAGCGGAAGGTTTGGAATCCACGCAGGGAGTCCTGATTCTCGATGGCGAAGAAGCCTCTCCGACCAGTACCAACAATACTAATGGGGATGCGCTCAACCTGTCTGTTCCTGGTACCGACTCGGTCCCTACCATTGTGGGAAGTATCGATGGATTGCCTTCCGCCGCCAACAACAACCATCCGCCATCGCCAACAGTTACTGATTTAAACGAGAATTCCAACGGGGGAGTAGAAGCCACCACACAAACTCTTCCAACTCGAACGCAGGAAGCTTCTACTTCGACTCTCAATCATACCAAAGATTCCAGTACTACTCCTTCCAACAATACTAATAAGAGTCGATTGGTACACTTCTTGGTACCCACAGCCGCTGTGGCGGCTCTCCTGTTCGCCCCCACGATGGCTTCGGTTCGCCTCTACGGCACGATTCAACAGTTGCAAGAAGAACACTTTAACCTCCAGGCACAACACTTTAACCTCCAAAACAAAAAGTTGGATCTAGAAGTCAAACTCATCCTCATGACGGACGAAAAGGAACACTTGCACACCACGGTCCAACAACAGGAACAAGATATGATGGATATCGAGGCGGAAAAATGCGACCTCCTTGTCGAAGTGGCTACTTTGCAAGATCAGGTGGACACGTTGGAACGCAAACACAAGGAAGATGCACTTCGTTGGGATGACTGTCACGCCACGGTCCAACAACAGGAGCAAGATATGATGGATTTCGATTCGGAAAAATGGGACCTCCTCGTCCAAGTGGCCATTTTGCAAGGTCAGGTTGACACGTTGGAACAGGAGGCCGAACGCAAACGCAAGGAAGAAGCACTTCGTTGGGATGACTGCCATGATCCTTCCGACACCGTTGTCTTGGTCGATAATTGCTGGCTATCCGCCAATGTCCAATTCGGTAATTGTGCCAATGATGCCAAGGAAGCCGTCAAGAATCTTTTCGAACACTTTGATCCTTGGGGAAACAGCAGCACTGATTTTACCAACAGTTCGACCTGGGCCAGTGCCTTTACCGAGCCGATTGCTTCCGCTTCCTTTCAACGAAAAGAAGAAGAAGAAGAAGAATCCGTCACCAATCTCATGAAGAAAAAGTTGGACCTCCTGGGGAAGGCTCTCTGGTGGAACGCTTGGGGAAACAGCAGCACTACTTTTTCCAACAGTTCGACCTGGGCTCATGCCATTACCGATCCCTTTGCGTCCGCTTCCTTTCAACGAAAAGAAAAAGATGAAGAAGAGTCCGTCGCCAATCTCATGATGAAGAAAATGGACCTCTTGGCGAAGGCTCTCTGGTGGAATGCCACAACGGCAGAGCAACCACACAAGAATGCTAGTACTAGTCGGGAGGAGGATGAAATCGCCTCGTTCTTTTCCAAAATGGAAGCCAATGGCAAGTCGTGGCTGAAAGAATCGATTTTCCCCTTGTTTGCTACTTCGGAGGAGCCGCAACAAAAACCAGAGGAGGATGACGTGTTCGGTGGGTTTTCGGATTTTGTAGCGGCAGCAGGGAAATTGACCAAGATTGCGGGAGAGGCATTCATGGCCACGGAAAAAGTGGTAGAGTGGAATCAGACATCGTATACCATGAACGATTTGGTCAACCTGGCCAAACACGCCTTTGAAGAAGCATCACTGACACAGGCGGGTACCGGTATGTAGTACCGTGTCGTGTGTGCCAGTCAAATGACAACAATTAGCTAGAATGTTCGTATTGTGTTTAGGATTACCTGTATTATTTGTGCAAACAATGTGTGGCCCATCTGACGATCACAACAGTTACTAGTTGTGCAGTTGCGGCACTACTTGACACGACCGGTGGGTTCGCTTAGTTAGGAGAGGCCATTGCAAGTTTCCTCTGTGGTTTTTCTTAACCCCGGCGTCTCTGTTTGCCTGCAGACTTACTTCATTTATTTTGCAGAGTAACACGCCTATTCTAGTATATCCAAATAATGACCTCCCTCTGCAGCACCTGAGCTTGTCCCTTCATCCCATGGACAGCCCGAGATTGTTTTTGACCTTGTGGGGTGGTGCCCATAGTCGCCCAGTTGAACGACAAGTCTTTTTCGTGATTGAATGATGAAGATTCGAAGATTCGATTGACTTCAAGAGGTCTGATCCAATCTAAATTACAGCTTGACTGGCTTATAGTGGTGTCACCAAAGATCCAAGGATATCTTGCTCTTGTTTGCATGAAGGCTTCTCAAAAACACATTCAACCGCTGAACTGGCAACTGCAGCAGGGACACTGGTTCGGAAATACTACATGTATTGTGGCTGAGCAGCTTCATAATCAACAAACACACCCAATAACCAGAGCAGAGGATTATAAATTCGATTCCGCCACCGCAAAGACCAAGAGAGAGGAGTTTCAAAAATCAAGAAGTCCTTATCCACCAAAAGTTTATCCATTTCTATTTTTCTATTTCTATTCGACCATGAGCGCTGATTTGAAGGAAACTTTCGAGAAAGCCACCAAGCTGGCAAGTTCTCCCGAAGGCGGCAAATGGTCGTTGAGCACTGCTCAGAAGTCTACCATGTATGCCTGCTTCAAGCAAGTCAACGTGGGAGATTGTACCGGAGATCGTCCCGGCATGTTCAATCCGATAAACCGACAAAAGTACGATGCCTGGAAGGCCGTGGAGGGAATGAGCAAAGAGGATGCCATGAACAAGTATATTGACGTTGTGGAAGCCTTTGTTCCAGACGTCCGGTCGTAATGGAATGTATGTATTGACCAACCTTCCTGTCCGCCTCGAAGATACCGTTAGATGAGGCACAATCTACAGAATCATGATTGACACGGCATCGCTGAGCGGGAGGCATATTTCATTTCGTTATGAGTACCAATCTACATCTCCTTTACTATTACAGCCAGTCTTTCAATGTATGAGAATTAGCAATTAACAAACTAAGTATTATGAATGTGGGAGTTTTCAGTTCACGTTGGGCGACAATTTCCCCCCAAATTCAACCGGTCGTTTCGCTTGTTGGGGTCGATGAACGCTTTACTATTGATGATGCATTCGTCTTTTCTTACTTGCCAGTAAATAGATGCTAGCAAGTTCGCACTTCTAGTACGGGGAGATAGTCAAATTTTGCTTCGACACGGCAGTTCACAGGCAGGGAGCACTCCCCCAAGCCATCGTACCCAAAGATGAAAATGAAACCAATCGTGTTGCGGAGTCAAAACGCGGTCTTCCAGGAAAGACCATACCGGGAAGACGAAAATAGTTGTGCGTTGTGCTTCGTCAAAACCATAGTAAGCATCCTTGCATATTTATTTCATTTGCATCGGATAATCTCCTCTGGCCAAGGCAGCCTCGAGGAGACACATTTCCTGGGACATTGGTATTCGTGGCGAGTTTTATTTGACGAAACTGGTCTTCTATCACGAGTAGATCCTACCTGTACGGTACATGCCTTTGGAGCCTAACAGTCTCGCATATACAATGCATGGGTTGCGTTCAAGTTGAAAAAACAGAAATGCTGTAATTTGAGCTATTGAAACGCGGCTGGATAGGTGGTGCGACAAGCTCCTGACAGCTACGAAGCTGGTTTGCTGGTTTACAGTGCCGTGTCTGAATGGATGGATGGTAAATCAAGTGCGACTCCATTCCTCCTGTTGATGGATTTTGCTTCCTATGCATACTTCTACATGTAGTTACATCTACCAAACACGCACCCACAGTCCAGCCGGAATGGCTGCTACCGGTAGCTGGCTACGGTGCCTACACTAGGGCAGCCCTTCGGTGCTAAAGTAGGAAACCGTCACAGATAGCTCCTCGTCGGCCCTTTGAGAATCGTAATCAATCCAAACATCGGATGGGTATCCATAGGTACCATCGAACTTGACATCGACCATGTAGGCATTTCGATCGAGTCCATCTTGAACGGCGTCAAACAGGTTCACCATGGTTCGGAGCGCCCCCGTTTGATCTGTGATTGTGATGTCTTGTCCGGCGGCATTGGTCACCTCTACAACGACTTCGTCTCGAACATGCACACTCCAGGGGAATTCCATCAACAATCCACCTCCTTCAATCCATGTGTATTCAAAAAAGTACTCGGTCAAACCAAGTCCCTCCCATTGAGCTTTGTTGTCGTTGAGATCACTTTGAATGTCTGCCGCGAAGAACGAAGTGCCCATGGTATCCGTGGCATCAATATCGTTGTTGTGCTCGTAGTGGATCTCCATGGTATACCATTCCATATCCACCAACGTGAAATTGGATGCTGTAGCATAGAATTCTTCATCAGCGATTTGTTGGTCATAATCAATGGAAATATCTTCGGGATATCCCCACTCCAAATTGTAGACCACTTGAATGTCATCCGCCAAACGATCAATTCCATCTTGAATCTTGTCGAATAAATCGAGAATGGAATAGACAGTGAGCCATCCCATGTTATTGCCGTCTTCCATTTCTGCCAAAATGTCCGTACTGGCATTCGGTGTGGGCAAATCACCGGTTGCCTCTGCCGCCAAGACAGTGTCTCCCTTAATGCCATACCATGGATCCACAATCATGGCCATGGGCGCTGTGGTATTGGGATCTTTCATACCCATCATCATTTCCTGCAACTCTACGGTGACAAGCCAGGGATATCCCACGGGTGGAAAATTTCCATAGACATGGAGTAGATAGGAATATCCCGTCGCATTATGAGACTGCATTTGTGCCAGAAACAAATTGCGTGCCGCATCGACTTCCCGTTGATGTTGTTCATAGATTGCCATGGCGCGGCAAACACTTCTGGAGGAGGATTGTCGCAAAACGGCGGTTTCCATATTGGGGACCATACAATATCGATCTTCGACCGAGGGTGTTGTGACCAATTCATATCCCGCCGCCGTCCATTGACTGACACCCTGTCCATTGTAGAGGGGTCCTTCAAATCCGGCCAATTCCAGCAATTGCAGCGCATTGCTGGCCCGAGCGCCAGAGCGGCAATAGACCACAACGCGGCAGAACCGACATTCCCACAGACTAAAGTTTCGCAGGACATCTTCAGCGGTGCGCAGGTTCTGTGCCAATTGCAATGCCAGCGCGTCCATCAAAGTAGCATTCTCAATATGTCCCGTGTTCCATTCGGCTTGAGTGCGAACGTCAATCATCAGATCCACTTGACCGGTTGTGGCCATTTCGTAGAATTCTTGGGAAGTCAAGTCAATGATTTCTGCCGAGGATACCCCCAGGAGTACTGCTAGTACTGGGAACAGCAGGGTCAGCGACAAACAACGCAACATGGCTTGGCTTTTTCGCGTTGAGGGTTCTGTTTGCTTCTTCTTCTTGAAATTCGTTCTGGTATCCTTGCCAAGACTTCCTTTGTGATCTTCTTGCTTTTGTCAGGTAGTTGATTCTAGATACCTGGAACGTTCGATTGCTATGACAGCTATTAGTATACTCACTTTTTGCTGCAATTGATAAATTCTGGTATCCTTGCCAAGACTTCTTTTGTGATCTTCTTGCTTTTGTCAGGTAGTTGATTCTAGCTAGATACCTGGAACGCTACCCAAGAAGAGGGATGAGGACGTTGCGAACCATCTCTCGCCCAAATGTCGAACCTGGCTTTGATCGTGCGGTACCAATGGTGACGTTGCTCTGTTGTGGTAGCCAGAAGCTCCAACCTTAATTTTTGTAGCCCACCGGTACCGGTACCGTACGGTACCGTACCACCACCGTCAGAGGCCAGACATTTTGGGGGGGGAGAAGTTAGACTTGGCAAGTAGATCTATCTACATGTATATGTAGACAAGTAAGAAAGTTATTCGGGGCGTTGAGTTAATCCTGCTCTTTAAAGATTTAAAGAACTTAATGTGTACCGGGCCTTCGTGGGTGGTTCAGTTCTCTGTCAATTGGGATTGCAAGGAGTCCACCAGAGTGGCATTCTCAATATGTCCAGTGTTCCATTCGTCTTGAGTGCGAACATCAATCATCAGATCCACTTGACCTGTTGTGGCCATTTCATAGAATTCTTGGGAAGTCAATTCAATGATTACCGCTGAGGATACCCCCAGGAGGTCTGCTAGTACCAGGAACAACAGGGCCAAGGCCAAACAACCCAACATGGCTTGGCTTGGTTTTTTCGTGTTCAGCAGGCTTCTATTTGTCGTCTTCTTACAGTTCGTTCTGTATCCTTGCCAAGACAATGTCAACCTTTCTGATACCATAGATCTTCTTGCTTTGATCCTTCGTTTGTTGCCGTGGGGTGAGAAAGACCTTGGAAACAATCAAGCTCTCGCCCAAATTTTCGAACTGGTACCGGTTCCGGTACGCGATTGTGACGTGCTACTGGTACTACCACTACCTCGTACCACTATCACACCAGTTTGCACTGCCATCAAGAAATGAGGCCTTAACCCCAACGTAGCACGAACGAAAGATCGCGCATGTCCTCGCGCAGTAGTAGAACCACCGTCAGTGCTGGCTGCCGACCGCAGGCTTCGACATTGCCATCACAAAAAGAGAAAAGAAGGTTTGAGTTTCTCGGTCTGTTGCAATCTCATCATCTGTCTCATCTATCATCTCTTGGATAAACTCTCCATCGCCGCCTTTGACATCATTATCACCTTGGAACACGACAACCACAACAAAATCAGCATATAGAAAAATGAAGACGACAATTTTCTGGTTGGCGTCAATCACGTGTCTGCCAAGTTCAGCATGGGCCCTATCATTGTACATGGGAACAGGCAATACGTTTGGTCGAACCTTTCGCATATCGACGTTTGGAGAGTCTCATGGAGGTGGTGTGGGAGTCACGGTGGATGGTTGTCCACCCCGTATTCCGTTGACACGAGAAGAAATTCAAAAAGATTTGGATCGTCGTCGACCAGGACAATCCAGAATCACCACTCCACGCAATGAAGCCGATGCGGTCGAAATTCTGTCGGGCTTGTCCCCCGACGGCATCACCATTGGGACACCCATTGGCATGCTCGTGAGAAATAAGGATCAACGATCCCAAGATTACATGGACAATGACATGAAAGTCGCCTACCGACCTTCCCATGCCGATGCCACCTACGATGCCAAATACGGTGTTCGCGCCATTGCGGGTGGAGGACGTAGTTCGGCACGAGAAACCATTGGACGCGTCGCGGCAGGAGCCATTGCCCGCAAAATTCTCAAACTCTACAATAACATTGAAATTCTCGGATATGTCTCCAAGGTACAAGATATCGAATGTCAAAATGTCGACGATGATACCTTTACCATGGAACAAGTAGATGCCAACATTGTTCGATGTCCCGATCCGGAATCCGCCGAACGCATGCTCGAACGCATCGATTCCATTCGCAAAGACGGAAATTCCATTGGCGGGGTCGTCACATGTGTCGCTCGCAACGTCCCAGCGGGGCTAGGATCGCCCGTTTTTGACAAACTCGAAGCCGATCTCGCGAAGGCGTGCATGTCTATTCCAGCCGCCAAGGGATTCGAATCGGGATCGGGATTTGCCGGGACGCTCCTCACGGGAAAGGAACACAATGATGAATTCTACATTGACCCCGAAACTGGGGCCACACGGACCAAAACCAATCGATCCGGTGGAATTCAAGGTGGAATCAGTAATGGAGAAAATGTTGTCATTCGAGTCGCCTTCAAACCTACTTCGACCATTGGAAAGGAACAGGTAGGCAGCAAACAAACAACAACCCAAAAACAATAATTGGGTCTCGTTTGTACTCTTTTTGCTTTGTCTAGCCTGTCTTGCTTACCGTTTTGTCAACCTTGCTCTTTCTTTGCTTCCCATACTGGTACTACCTACTGTAGAACACGGTTACTCGAGATGGAACCGAAGTTTCCTTGCGAGGCAAGGGTCGTCATGACCCATGCGTCCTCCCTCGGGCCATTCCCATGGTTGAAGCCATGGTGGCCATTACGCTTTTGGATGCACTCATGATGCAACAAGCACAATGTGAACTCTTTCCCAATGAAGCAGAGGATATCAATCCCATGGGAACGTCGGTCGTGGGAAGAGCGGCACCCGCCGCAGCAACTGTTGGTGGACATGCCGAAGCGCCCAAAGCAGTAGATCAAAGAATTGATGAAGAGTAATTAAAAAACGCAAATGTATCTTATTTCGTTTCTCTGTCAAACAACACAATAGACTACGTACATCCGTGATGAGGTACCACTCATTCTTGCTAACTATCGTCCAATCCAAAGAATAAAGTATAGAACAAAGCGAGGTCTCGACGCTGCCACATGACGGGAATGGGACATGAAAACATTGCTTTCAAGTGAAGTACAATCCTCCCACCTCTAGCTAGCTTTGGCAGAGGTTGGTGGCTGGACTTCCAGGTCGACCTATTACTGATGGAAAGCATTCCAGCTCCTAGCTGGCTACATTCGACCTTTCTATCTCCCTAGCTACTAGATGTAGGTATAGGATGTGTCTAGCTAGCACTATTGGCTTGTCCTGGCCAAAAGCAAGCCATTGAATGGAATAAACCCAGATATCACTTTTCTTCACACCTTATTAGTTTCTCTTTTACATGACTATCCTAATCCTTCTCCGGCTTTATTCCAATCTATTCAACAGTCTAATCTTCAGAGTTGGGAGCAGAGGAGGTGATGAAACATTTGGAAATGAACTCGGCTTCTTCTTGACGAGCCTTGGAAGCCAAGGCCTTCTTCAACAGCTTTCTTCGGCTGGTTCCTTTACGTCCCCCGACCTTGAACTTGCGCATGTTCTCACGGTTACGCTTGATTTTTTCCTTCTTGGCATTCACACGGCATCCTTCCAGAGCCGTGTCAAAAGCAGCACTACTAATGCTTCTGGTGGCTAAAGGAGAGGGTGTCACAGTGAAAGCCTACAAGACAAAGAAGAACAGGAAGGATAATCAGAAACAAAGGAAAGGACAGGGTATTATACATTTGGAATTGGAACCGTCAAAGAAAACCAGGGTTCTCCTGCAGATGGTACGGTAGATGATACCCTTTCCGCTCGAATCACCCAAAATGATCGAACAGCTACAGACTACAACTACGACCCACTAACACACCTGTGTCGAGACAGCGAGGACCAAAAGGGCCAAAAGAAGAAGCGCACGAGGTACCATGGTGTCGTCTTGTTGAAAGTGTTGATGGGAGCAACAGTTGCGGTAGCGATCGAGCTGAGGATGACAAGGGTGAGGCGTCTTGTTGCCGGTGTCCTTTGAGATTAGTAAAAAGACACATCAGGTTGAAATGGGGGTACGTCAGTCAAAGGTAATGAGCTTAGAGTCTGCAGCATGGTAGCCTTTAAATCCTTTCAATAAATCTTCGATACTGGGAAGAGTTAACTAAGCTGTGCGGCCCATGGGAGAGGAATGCGGATCTGCGAAAACTGGGTTCATGAACATACAGTCAACACTCACTTAAGTTCCGTTTTCTTAAGTTCCATTACTCTACAAAGTTCCTCTTTTTCAGGGCTGCCCCCCCTGAGTCACTAGTTCTCATGACTGACAAGTGAATGTGCTTTGTGGCAGTTTGAGACAGTGCTGCCAATTAGGACCCAGCATTCAGATTGTTCATTTATACATTTATGAAGTTTCTTCATCTATCTTTCATGACAGGCATCTTAGAGAGCTCGAAACTAGCTAGCCACATAGCATGTTCTACTGGTCCAACACAATACAGACACCATACATAGGAGCAAAGCAGTTCCACCCCAAGACTGCTTATCTCTCCTTTCCCCCCCAACAACAATAGAATATGACAGGAACCACCCCAAGTGGGTCCTAAGACCAAGAACGGGCCGATATGGGGCTCCAAAGATCTAAAGTTCCGTAATTCAGCTAAGTTCCGTTTTTTCTTAATGCTGGGGGTGGAACTTTGGTGAGTGTTGACTGTAGCTGTCCTGGGACACATCTACTTGCGCTCATGCTGCAGAAATGGCAGTCCAGACATCCTGCAATGGACTCACTGGGTACACACCACTGGCTAGAAAGCTGTTTGGAGATTGTATCTGCTTGGAGACTGTACCGGTACTGGTACTCAGTAGCAAGTGACAGGCAACACCGAGAAGGAAGGTTTTCCGCGGGGATCAAAATCTAGAAAAGAACTACTGGTAGCCACTAAATGCTGTCGCTGTGGACTATGGTTTTGGTTGTCCAGAAGCATGTTGGAAGGATTCTCTGGGCACAGCTTTCGTCAATAAGAGGATGCCATGTTTCCTTCCTTCCTGTGTCGCCGTCTATTAGTTGTTGTCGTGCCGGACGTTTGGTGACTAGTATTAGGTCTCTGCACGTTTTGGTCCTTGGTGGATCAATCTTGTTGCTGGCTACCGAACCGTATTCAAGGCGTTGCCGTAATCGACTAAGACTACACACACCCCAACTGGCATGCATCCATTCGCTCTCTGACTACAATGGCTTCGAGGTGCCTCTGAGGCTGCAATGGTGCACGACAACACTGAAGCGAGGGTGAGGGCAAGGTCCAAAACAAGCACTTGAACCCACCACAATGCAAGGTACCAGTACCAGCGGGTAGTTGTAGGCTACCAGGGTTCGCTAACCGATTCCATTGGTTACCGGTTATTAACCGGTCATTTCCGGTTATTAACCGGTCATCGATACGATAACCGGTAACCGGTCATATTTATTTTGATTGGTTGAATAACCAATAACCGGTAACCAGAACTATTTGACTGGTTGATCGACTGGTTATCATATACGGTTATTGGTTACTTGACTGGTTACTTGACTGGTTATTTGACTGGTTATTTGATTTTCGAACTTTGCTAAGAACAACACACTAAGTGGCTCCTCCAGGACCTCTGTGGAAACGTCATTCGTGGCAAAATACTTAAGAGACGATACTCCGAGGAATAGGAGACGATCGAAATGATTTAAGAGACGAAAGCAATCGTCTCCTATATTTAGGAGACGATTCAGTAGGAGACATTCCAATTAGGAGACGAAAGTTTCGAAATAGGAGACGATCCGAAAGATTTAGGAGACGATACCATACAGTTTACATGGTACACTTAGGAGACGATCCGTTGAGAATAGGAGACGATCCGTTGAAAATAGGAGACATTTTAAGAGGAGACAAAAGATTTAGGAGACGATCCGTTTCGTCTCCTATTTTTAGGAGACGAAATCCATTAAATAGGAGACGATCAAAAGGATTTAGGAGACGAAAAGTAGCGCGACTCGAGTTTCCACAGAGGTCCAGCAGCATGTGGCAAGCCTAATGGAGGAAGATGATATCACAGCTAAGGAACTAGACTCTTACAATGATCAGCCTGATGTCAACATTAGCGAATCTTGATGAAAATTAGCCGTACGTCTCTAGCAAATGCTTATTTTACTAGCAAATATGCTAGTAAACGTGCTATGTAGCTAGTGTGGAGGAGTCCTGGGTACATGACATGATGGGGATAGTTGAAGTAACTCCTTATATATAAAAATGAAGATTGTGGATGCTGGGACTGACACCCAAATGTTATCTGGGTCCTCAATGCACAGTATCGTCCCGAAATAGCCCATATCGAACACTGAAAAAGGGTGATATCGGTTCGTTTGAGTTGTTGTGGCCCTGCTGGGTCAGATGCTATTGAATGATGTTGTTGTTGGGGGTATTAGGGGACCTGTCTGGCTCCTACCAATGGTGTTTGCATGGTCTACGAGTTGTCCTGGGCCATTCGCTAGCAAACGTGCTAAGTGGCTAATGTGGAGCACTCCTGGATACGCATTGGGGCCCACATATGCTGAATGTTGATATATTCCATGTTTCTATAGTATATTAGGAGTCCATCTTCTATGGGATCAATATCCATGGGCCTCTTCTATCCTGGTGGTATAGCTGTCGACGACTGCTGTTGCACAATATACATGGCAAAACACCGAATTCCACATCCGCCAAGGTGTGTTGTGCATGGCATGAAAGAGATAGCTGAACTAATTTCTTACTATATATATAGATGGACAATCTTGATGCTGGGGGTGCGGCTGGGACTTGTAGTATAGCTTCTGTAGCCCATATTGACTCTGAATTGAGGCGATACGCTGTCCAAACGGGGTCATATCGGGTTGTTCTACGTATTGGGGCAAACATATGCTGAATGTTGTTATATTCCATGTTTCTATAGTATATTAGGAGTCCATCTTCTATGGGATCAATATCCATGGGCCTCTTCTATCCTGGTGGTATAGCTGTCGACTGCTGTTGCACAATATACATGGCAAAACACCCAAAAGGTCCAAATCGTAGATTGAATCCACTAGATAGAGTCTTGGTGCTGACCCCACCATCCAGGAATCTCATATATACATATGAAAAGTTAGTTCAACTCTCCCCTTCATGCCAGACACCCTCAGGTACTCCACAAAGCCCAAACAGCACCTTTTTGGCTGCACTTTTGGCCATTTTGAGCCAAAATCGTAGATTGAATCCACTAGATAGAGTCTTGGTGCTGACCCCACCATCCAGGAATCTCATATATACATATGAAAGTTAGTTCAACTCTCCCCTTCATGCCAGACACCCTCAGGTACTCCACAAAGCCCAAACAGCACCTTTTTCTGCATTTTGGCCATTTTGGGCCAAATCGTAGATTGAATCCACTAGATAGAGTCTTGGTGCTGACCCCACCATCCAGGAATCTCATATATACATATGAAAAGTTAGTTCAACTCTCCCCTTCATGCCAGACACCCCCAGGTACTCCACAAAGCCCAAACAGCACCTAATACACGGCTCTTTAGCCTTATCGCGACTCGATCCTAAGATAGGGTTTGAGTTCGACTCATGACTGAGTCTTCTCGTGAATAGTTATTGAGACAGGGTTCTCAATGACGCTCTAGTCATACTAGGTGATGATGAAACATCGCTCTAGATATTTAGCCAGCGTGGAGTACTTCCACGCTACTAGATAAATGCTAGAGAATCTTCCACGCGTTCCGTTTTTGGATCGTGGAGTGAGTAGGATTGCTACGCAACCTACTCTATCACCTCTACAGTCTCCGCGGGAGTTCAGATCTACGATCCTTTGACTGTGGATCTCTCTCGTTGATTAGTTTTCATAGCTTTCTAATCCTCTCATAACTTTCATTCTCTCAAACTCAAAACACTCGAAAGATCTTTACACTACTTTTACGTAGTGCACACCTTTTAACAGCACTTTTGCCATTTTGGGCCAAAATCGTAGATGAATCCACTAGATAGAGTTTAGTGCTGACCCCACCATCCAGGAATCTCATTTATACATATGAAAAGTTAGTTCAACTCTCCCCTTCATGCCAGACACCCTCAGGTACTCCACAAAGCCCAACAGCACCTTTTTAACAGCACTTTTGGCCATTTTGGGCCAAAATCGTAGATTGAATCCACTAGATAGAGTCTTGGTGCTGACCCCACCATCCAGGAATCTCATATATACATATGAAAAGTTAGTTCAACTCCCCCCTTCATGCCAGACACCCTCAGGTACTCCACAAAGCCCAAACAACACCTTTTTAACAGCACTTTTGCCATTTTGGCCAAAATCGTAGATTGAATCCACTAGATAGAGTCTTAGTGCTGACCCCACCATCAGGAATCTCATATATACATATGAAAAGTTAGTTCAACTCCCCCCTTCATGCCAGACACCCTCAGGTACTCTACAAAGCCCAAACAGCACCTTCGATACCCTTTGGTTAACCACTGATATAACCAGTGGTTACCGGTTACTAACCTATAAAATAACCTATAACCAATGGGAAATAACCAATAACCAGTAACCAGTACCTTAGATTGATTGGTTATATAACCAATAACCAATAACCAGTACCCCCAATTGAGTGGTTGAATAACCAATACCCAATAACCAGTACATAGTTGATTGGTTAGCGAACCCTGGTTGTAGGTTCCTGCATGCTGAGCTCCGGGTGGTGCCGTCTAAATCTCAAGACAAACGGTTTTCAAACCATCGTGCAATAGAGATGGGGTTGCGGGCCAACACATCAACACGACTGACACATTCGATCGAACTCGCCACGCATCACTCAGCTTCCAGAATCCAAACTAAGTCACTCGTATCGACTGCTGCATCGACACCATGAAACTGACACAACAATGGTTCCGTCGCTGTTACCACCACACTCACATACATTGATCGAGCCTTACCCTCACCATTATATCCTTGCCCGCATAGCCATCTCCATCAGTCCATCCTCCTTCAAGTTCCCAAGCAACAAATAATTAATCCATGTCCCAAGAACTGCGACACCGCGGAAGCGCAACCACTACGATGATGATGAATAACGAAGAAGACAATGTGATTCTCGGACGGGGCTTGTCTGCCCCGGACATGATCAAGGCATCTCCCAGTCAACATGGCGTCGCACTCAAGTTGCACGTACCATTAATTTTTGGCATTCTTCCTACCTCCTTGAAACGACTGGTCATGACCTACAGCTGTTTTTCGTGGCTCATGCCACAATGGCGGCAACGATATCTGATACTGATTGGTAACTATCTCTACAAATTCAAGGGAGATTCTTCTCCGGCACCCAAAGGCACTCCTTTTTCGGTGGACATGTTGGAGAACAATCTGTTGTTGGCACATCAAGAGGATGACATGTCGCCAGCATTCGCCAATCTGCCTCCTGGCTACGATTCCATTTTCACCGTATCCACATTTGGCAAGAAACACTATTATGCGGTCTCCAATCGAGATGAAGCACTGACGTGGGTCAACAGTCTGCGTCAATCACGACAGGAAGCTATTACAAGAGCCATGGGTCACGCAGGACATATGCCGTATCCAAAATCCCATGCTTACTTTGACACCCTTGGAAAAAGCTTGCAGAAAAGCAAAGAACGCATCAATCAAAAGTTGGAAGAGCACAGCATGAGAGAAATGGAGTTGACTGATATCTCGGGAGGGCCACGTGGATTCTACGGATAAATCAGCATCCATTCGTCTCTCGTTGCCCTTGTTTGTACAATCTACTAAGAAACAGTTCTCAATCTACATCTCTAAAATGATCTCTACTACATGTAACTTGCTAGCTAGACTAGCTTGACTGTTGTGATACACTACATGACCGAACAAGTCGCCCAGGAAGAAGTATCCAGCTCGGCCATGGCAGGAATGTTTGCTGCCTCCTGGGAAGCATCTCGGGCCGCAAGTGCTGTCTTTGTAGATTCAGCAGCCGCTGTTCCATCAGATTCTTTCTTTTGGTTGAATGATTTGCATTCCTTCTTGTTTGAGGTTGAGGCTTTGACCTCTGGTACCTCCGGTATACCTTTCTTGTGTTCACAGGCCTCCGTTGGTAATGTTGTGGAAGCACCAGCCGTATCGTCGGATGCAGCCTTTTCCATTGTGGATGACTCTTTGGGAGTTGCGGCTTCAGCTGCCTTAGAGATTCCCTCGCCCTTCTTTTGATCGGGATTCTTCGTCAACGACGTTATTTTGGGAGCAACAGGCGTTTCATCTGTTGCTGCAGCACCCGCAGCTGCTGGCAAATCTTTCTTGGGTAGTTTGTCTCTCTTGGCTCTTCTTTCAGTCTTCTTGAGATCGGAATCCTCTGTTAGGGGTGCCTTCGCGGAAACATAGGTTGCAGGACCGGTGGACGCTACCTTCCCAGGTGGGTCCTTGGACGCTTCAGATATCTTGGCAGATGATTCTGTTGATGATTCCCCTGAAGCTCCTGACTTGGATGGTGCCGTTCTTGGAACTGGTGTGTGCTTCTTGGAATCTGGTGTCTTCGGCAGCAATGCTTTTGTAGAAGCACAGGCGCTAACCGGATCTGAAGCTGCAGCTGAATCCTTTTTGGGTTCTGGCTTTTCTTTGGATACTGGTGGCGCTGCTGAGGGCAAGGAGCCAGGTTCTGATATCTCGGTTGCTTTGGACAGACCAATGACGTCGTATTGCCAAATAATCCTGCATCCCGTCTTTTGTTGAAAGCGACGTACTAATCCCAGCAGCGTTGCACTCGCAGAGAATTCCCAATAAGGAATCGACAGAGCCTCGACGTCTCTTGCAAGTTCGACGGGGCCGTGGATCTGTATTTCTTTGTAGTTGCTCTTGTTTGACAGGACAGACCGTCGGAGAGTCGCAATAAGATCATTGTCGTTGAACCAGTTCATGACATGGGCGTAATACTCCGTAGTTGCAAGAACGGCGTCCTTCTCGCCATGTTTGTATAGATAGTTTCCAGTATCACAATCGAACAGGGTGGATCGATTTCGTAGATCTTGTTTCAAGATGAGGTGGAGCCTTCCATATGCCTTGGCGCTGGCAACTCCAGTGACAGCTCCCGTAATGTTGAGACAACCATACTTGGGACGTTCAGAAGCTGGTGCGTCGTAGTATCCGTCGTCAAAGATGACTTCCTCCCACCATTCTCTACTGCGTTCGTATGAACTGTAAGGAACGGTTCTGTTGGCTCCTGTAGCTCTGATCTCGAAGCTGTTGCGGTAGTGGGTGTCGTTGAGGAGCTTGGAGAGAGTATCGACCGACAGATTGATGATGAGTGGAGCTTCGTCTCGAATGTACTCCAAACATTTGTACAAATCCTCCGTGGTAAAACCGAGACTGACAACACGTTTCTCGAGCTTCGGAAGGGCTTGGTCGTGCCGCTCCTTGGCTCGCACTTCGACTCTGTTAAGTGCAGTTTTTTGTTGTTGACTGAGTGAACCCCACACCTTACTGCGGTGTAAGTTTCTCTTGAGTTTCTCTGTTCGACGTGTCATGGTCGTCGTTCTCGTCCTCCAAAGTCGACAACCAACGTCGTTCGAATTCCCGATCGCTGCTCGATTACGGTATCGGTCTCGCACTTCAATGGAATCACACAAGCAAGTCAAAGAGGCAGCTAGTATACTAGCTATTAGGGTGAGATACTGGTAGTGACAAGGGCTGATACACTCCTTTGCAAGGTCTTCCGATAATCCACACGACGAGATTTGATGGTTTTGCCGTGAACGTCGAACGGAAAATCTGCCACATGAAGCCGTTTTCATGTTTTGAGGTTTGATGCACGACTGAGCCTGCCTTTTTCCTTCGCGTCCATTACTTTTAGAAACAAGCGTCGGAGGCAATGGGCTCTCAGCTGTCGTCGACCAAAAGCCCCACCAAGACAATGCTTTCATCATCTGCTAGCAAAGATTTCTTCACTCGTCTCTTTGGCTTCCGAGAGTTGGCTTATGCCAAAACTCAAAAGCGGCTGATGAAAATGGCACGCTTTGAGGCCCAAGAGCTGGAATTCTACCCTCGAGAAAGATGTACCTTTGAGATCGGCAAGCGAAGCGTATCAGCCGGGCTCTTTTCGATGCCTTCAGTAGGAGAACTGCAACAGCATGTTGACCAACTATATTCTTCCCTCAAGGAACGAAATCTAATTCCAAACAGCGGTGTCATCCGGCTTTCCAATTGCGTGGGTGAAGCACGTGATATGCACTGTCAGTTGAAGCAACATGCCGTAGTCCAGGCGGCTTCTCAATTCAATCTATTGGAAATGGTGGGTCCTGGAGTCACCCCTGAAAAAGGAATCACTGGGTATGAATTTGATCGAACACAAGGTCCGGCATGTGCCATTGCGTGTGCCTCGGGAACGGCATATAGGAACTATCTGGTGCCAGTCGTGACAAATACTGGGGAGGAACAGCAGCGAGGACAAACAAAAGGCCACCAAATCAACACTCTGCAAGATATTGAAACGTATTTGGAGGAGCAGCACGGCATTTCTGAACCTTGGAGAGTTAAAAATGGTTATGTGGAATCCGCTCCATCCTTGTTGCAACCCGTCAACGATTTACTGGAAAGGGAGCCAGCCGTGGCAGACGAGATGATTCGACGACTCCGAATTGGAGTTCAGCAGGACTGTCAAGTGACTGATGATGCTGACAGTGTCCGGTTGGTGACACAAACCTACAATTCGGCAATCTCCATTTCCTACAGTCTACTATCCACAAAGCGGTGGGAACCAGTGGCCAAGGTCGTCTTGAATGGAACTTACAAAGCTACTTTCTTGGTGGGGGTATTGGAGTATCTTCGTGCTATTGAGGAGGGTCGTGAACCACAACCCATTTTCCTCACCAAGGTAGGGGGCGGGGTTTTCGGAAATGAGCATAGCTGGATTGTGCAAAGCATGGGGGAAGCATTGCACATGGCCTCTTCATACGAGCTTCCCTTGGATGTTCGGATAGTTCACTATGGATGTGTGGATCCTGAGTCTGACGCCTTTGTGGATATGTGGAGTTCTAATTAGCTAGTAGCTCGCGCTGCAGCTGCCCGGACGTTTTGTAAAAATATCAAGGAAAGAAAGATGAGCAGGAGAGACAAGCGCATCCTGTTGAGAAACTTGAAAGAGGTGGAAATACGAAGAAGCAACAGTGGCAATCAGCTAAGGTAGCTATAGAGGATAATGATGAATAGGATTGAGTTTGAAACTGATGATTACCTCCTAGTAGACGATCTTCGTCTCCCCTTGCTGTTGTCTTCCTTTTTGCCAACAAAGGCACCTCCAATACCTTTCCCAATGGTCCTGACACCGGAGAACAATCCTTTGCCCACTGACAAAACTCCATCGGCTGTTCCAGTCACGGCAGTACCGACACCTTGACCTACGCCGGTTCCCACCGAAGTCAGCCCCTTGGAGAAGCCAGATACCAGCGCTTTTCCATCTCCTTGTGTAACACCTTGGCCAATGCCCTTTCCAACAAGCAGCATGCCACCTGTGACTCCTCCAATGACTTGCCCAGTTCCTCTACCAAAGCCCTGAACTGCTTTGCCTGCACCAGTTCCAACTGATGATCGAGAGCCAACAAGAAAACAACGAGGCATTAGAGAGAAAGACCAGTCAAATCCTTTGCAAGAACACATAGCAACAAACGACGCTTACCTCCTGTCAACCCATCGCCCAAGCCACCTCCAACACCGCTCAAGATTGAGTTGACACCCGCACCAAAAGATCGGGCTCCTACAATTCCAGTTGCCTCCTCAAAGGTGTTCCCTACAGTGTTGGTGACTGAGGTGACGCCCTTGCCAAGAGCTTTGCCCGTGTTCTTGAAAACCATATTCGCTGTCTTCCCAGCCAAGTTGCCAGTCACACGGACAAGGTCTCCTTCAACAAAGGTATCATCTCCATCGGCCCTACTTGCAAGACTTCTCCAGTCCTGGAAAGTTGCAGCGGCCATGATGGAAACAAGCTTCATCTTGATTCTCGACAGGTACACAGCTTGGAGCACCTCCACCAGTCTGTCTGACGGACCTCTCAAATTGCTGGTTTCGTAATTGGAGAAGGTCAAATCTGCATTCTCAATCTTGAACTTGAGTCGTTGAGTGAAGTACTTGACAATCTGGCCTCCCTTGACATTCTGGTTGGAATATCTCGAGGCTTGAGGGTTTCGTTTGAAACTCAGAATCAGAGTGAAAGGTGACACCCTTGCTTTGTTGATATCATAGATACTGCCTGTTCGCGGAGGTGTATAGTTCGATTCGTCACCCATGTCCGTGTTGTCAACAACAACCACATATCCTCCATGCTCCATGTCCCACTTCAGCTGCATTCCATCACTGGCGAGTTCCGCTGTGGCGGATCCAATCCTGTCCGCAACGTCCAACAGTTTCCACAGGAAGTCTTCGCTTGTGTTCAAGAACATCTTTTGAGGAACTTCCTTCACGTGAGCCAAGTTCATGTCGACGAGATCAACCTTGATCAGGTCACTGTCCAATGGTCCTCGAATGCGCACACAAAGATCCAAAAACGATGCAGTTGAGGTTGAATTGAAAACCACAGGGTACACTGTTTCTGGCCTTTCATCTTTGATCAAGATGCTGTGAATCACAAGTGATAGCTGCGACCGCTCTGGACTAATCAAGACACTCTTTCGAAGGCTTTTTTCATCAGCGGCGAGCTCATCCTTGAAGACACGTTGCCAGTCAACTGTAAATCGCTGCAGCAAAAATGTACATACTGGAGTCTCCTTCTCTTTCTGCTGCTTTGCCGGCGGGGTGCTCTTAGTCCGTAAGGGCTTTTTGCGAAGCATTGGGATGTGCCTCAAGGGCTTTTGGGTCTCGGCTTGCACTCTTTGCATGGCAACGTACTCCTTCAGAGTAACTTCTAGCTCACTTGCCTGGATTCGAAATCTAAGAAAGTCTCGTCTCATATCAATAATTGAATCTCCTGAATACCCAGCAGACTCCAGAGACCCACGCTTGATATCTCCAATCTTTACAACAAACTTTGAGTCTTTGGCACCAATAACAGTTTGGAGTGCGACCGACCCCAGAGGATATCCTTGATACGACTTGAGAACAGCAACACGCAATCCAAGATTGTCAACCCGCATAGGTGGTGTGAAGCCTTTCATGTCTGTGTATTCTAGAGACATAATCAATCCCATGGTTCGGTCCTTCACCCACACCGGCTTTATCTTTCCGGGCGGCACCACAATGTCTGCGTAACCTGGCTGCCGCACTTGAATAGTGTGCTCATCACTCCCGTTAAAAACAATGAACTCAGGGATGACATGAACCTCGCTTTGATCGGTTGTGACGAGTCGTCGATATGCAAAGAATCCAGATTGGGTATTATCATCCCAAGGAAGCTGTGTCGACGCGATGCCGCCTTCGCAAATGGCGATATTGTCAATTTGAAAAACAAGACTTCTTCTGATGCCCTCTTCGCCATCCATCGTCAGATGCAACAGCTGGAAGAGAATAGTTGACCTTGGAAGAAGGGTAACACGCCTTCCATGATGAAGGGCCGATGCAAATGTGCTGTATGGGACCGAGGGTTGTTTGCCTTCTAAGCCCAGAAACTGCTCAATGAGGACGGAGCCAGTGTGGTCAACAAGGTAGTTACACACTGTAATGAAGAAAGCTCGCTGGAAATCCTGGTCAGCACTGGTCGCAAACAGTTCCATGCCAAACGACTCGGCAACGCTGGCTCTTTTGTTCATTTCGCCTTCGGCAATGTCGTGAAAGAAGGACGAAAGGTCGGTGTTGCCGTCTGCCACGAAAAATTCGCACCCACCGCCCAATTGAGATGGGTTTTTGTTCCGTTCGAATGGAAAGACACATCGCAAGGGTTCTGCCAAGCCAAACTCTGGCGTCAAAGGCAAGTCGATCCAGGTTTCCATCCAACCCATGGGAGTTCCAGCGATTGGCATGTCGGCGCATCGCATATTTACAGCAATGGACGGACCAGGCGTATAGACCTCGATGGTTGAACCAGGGGCAACCTCATGAATGCTCTCTCGGCTACCGTGCTGACACAAGGAGCTGTGCGTGTGCGGCATCGGAGTCTGTACGCTGATGGGTACTGGCATGGTGTTCACAATCACCGATCGTGGTTCAAAGAAAACGTCCACGAAAAGATGCTCATCGTCTACCAAACAAAGCTCGGCTGTGACCTGTACCACAAACGAATCGGCCGCACGTCCACGCTCCATCGTACGTGCTCGGCACACAAGATCGAATTTCGTTTTGATAGAGTTCGTCTCGGTTGCATGGATGATTCCACGGACAGCATGGAAATCCAACCGCCCGTGAACTTCAGCATGATTTTCATAGTGCCATTCCGACAATTTCGGTGATACTGACATGACAATGTCAACGGCGGCATTCTTCTTCCAGGTAGAAAAAAAGTCCTCGAGGGCCTCAACTGAGCAATTTATTCAACAAAGAGCAACAACGTTAGGAACACGCAAAGCTACGGCGACTTTTTACGTCAAGGGGACACGCCAAACGTAAGACTAACCTCTGATACCAAAGCTCTTGGATGACTTTGAAAGCATGCCATCTTGGAGATTGAAAGTCCCAGTTGGTTGCAGAGACACCGCGCTTTCACCACCCGACTTTGTGGTTGGTTCACACACGCCCACATCTTGCCACGTTGACGTTTTTGGTCGCAGCAGAGCTATTTGCAGCGGAAGGGAGGTCATATTGGTCATATTAACTGAACTGCTCAGATGCACAACCTTTTACCCAAGCATTGGCAAGGTTAGGAAATCAGGAGCCGCTTCAAACATTGAGAAACCTCTATAGCGAGTCTCACCTTGGTTTTGCCTTCCTGCTGTACATTTGTAAACAGCACGCATTCCGTCTGATCCAAAATGACAATGTGTGCGCTTCTTGGCTTTCCAACTTCTCCATCCAAGTCATCTATTATAGCCACGACGGTGCCACCAATGAAGATTTGCAAAGACTTCTCGTCCAGAACGTCTTGGCCATACAGTCGCTGGCCTCCGTATCCGAGCTTCAAACAGAAAGTTTCAAGTTAGTCAGTCAGTCAAATGGGAGAGGAGGCGCATTCTCCGACCCATGCGCTCTTCAGATCTCACCTTGACGGGCGGCTCGAACCTGAAATATTGCATGGTGCCGCTCTTGCAAGTGCGCAGGTCTGCCCGTGTACCCGACAACTTAAAGTCTAAAGGGCTGAGTGAGTATATATTCATTTCCAGTCCGACACAAAAACTCGCTGGACTCACCGACATCGAGCCCATAATGATTCTCAAGGGCGTATGGCAGTGTCGTTATCAGATTTCTGGCAGCGCTTGCAGCCGCACCCCTCTCGGCAACAGAGTCATGGGCGTCGGAGCCAACGTTGACCTCCTTCAGAAGCGACGCCGTCGACGATGTGGCCAGACTAAAAATAGACCACATTCTGCTTGCAGCTGTAATGCTGACGATGAACTGTTCAGAGAATGAAAGGCAGCAGGGAAAGGACTCGATGTCGAAGGTTGTGCTCAAACGATCAGATTGAAACCGCTTGCTGGCACCCCGTGCACCCCGAAGCGCAAGTTCCCAAGGTTTGGTAAGTAGCTCCTTCCACAGATTTGTCCTTGAATCAAAGTAGTCAGCCATGATCGAAGTATGTACGTGGCAGTCGAATGTTGTAAGCGGTTTCAATCCAGGGCTCGGTGCTAGCCATTTCCTCAGCTCGCCGCCTCCGACTAGCGTGGCAATCGTTAGCCGGAACAGAGCATCATCCAAACCCTGCAGGTCGTTTATGACAACCAAATTCGCCTCTGGTAAGGTGACCTTGATGCTTACTGCATAAGTCAAGTTGGTCTTAGCACCTGTGTCCGAATCTCGCCGGAAGAAATTTTCAGAAACACTCATTGATTGCCTATGACGCAGGCTCATCACACTTTCGTCCATGCCTCGTTCCAACTTTGTTGCAAGTTGTTCGATCCGACGTGCATCTTGATCACTGAGCTGGCCTTCATCGTCGCTGCTCGCCTCTCCCTTCAAACCAAGCCCCGATATCAGCGCACTGATGAGAGCGTAGTTTCGCATCGAAAAGCTCACATTAAAAGGTGTCAGTGCGGCGGCTCTCAACTCGAACCGTTGTGGTGTTCGTGTCATTACTACGGAGAACTCCGCGGGCTCGAGAATCTGCAGTGGGCTTCTCATGTCGCGCCCGAAAGCAGTGAAGACCTCTAAGGCATCGCCATGAAAGTTCAGCTCCATGTTTGTCGTCTCTCCGGTCACTGTGCTCGAATCAAGAATGAGTTTGGAGTTTGCACGACCCTCGAAGACCAAGTTTTCGACTACTTGGCTGCCAGGCTGCGATTTTCTAGGCGACCCGATAGACGATAGGTCCCCAGCCAAGTCGACAAGGACGACGCTGCATTTTGACGTCGTGACAGCCACAGACATGCGAGCAACCGTGGGGTCTCGTGCGCGATTGTGCAGAGACACTTCAACACCGCCATTGCCCTCGTCTATTCTGACATTTTCATCGTCAACATGGCAATCCGTGTCGTCGGTGTTGTCCGTGGCTACGGCGGGAACATCAGGTGGGTCACTTTGATTGGATGCTCTGCCTTCCACATGAAGATAATCGAGCAATTCTGACACTACATCGGGCACAAAAACTATCCTGGGACAACCGATGATCAACTCGTAGTTTGTGTCGCCGTTGTCCATGCTTTCGTAGGTAACCTGGAACACATCTTGAACAGACTTGTCGTCTTTCTTTTCGGCGTGTCGATCCACTTGGTAGATGAGTGACTGATATTGTCGTTGGATTGCCTTTTGCCTCTGATCATCACAAACCAGGTTCCCGAGGGTAACTATCGTCGTTCGTTTTTCCTGATCAAAAAGGGACAGGTACACAATGTTTGCATCCACGGCGGCAATTCGAATCAAAGGCTGCAACGGGGTGCGCAACAGCTCTAGCGATAGGACACTGATCTTTACGGTCACGACCATTCTGTGGGAGTTACAGGAAGAAGTGTGAGGATTATGGTGGTGTTGGGCACGTGTGTGTGAAACACATTCCCCGGAACTCACCTGCGAGGAATTATGACCTGAAGAGGAAATGAATTAGAAAGATCAAGGCACTTGTTAGCAAGCGAGATCGTGACATCATATATATTCAAACGCCGAGATCAACGACCTTCTTCCTACTGACCTCTGCGACGCCACCGTGAGTCAGCGGCCCCAACTGCACTTCGTCACTGTCGCAACGATCTAGCGCAAATTCGCTTTCATCGTTCATCTCGTCATCACCGGTGGGGTCCCGAAGGTACAGGTCGTAATCAGAAATATTGTGATCCAATGACAGCATGATCTGGGCGAATTGCGATTTGGATAGAAGGAAGGCAGCACTCGATATTGCCAGTTCAACGTGCATGGCTTGATCCTCAACTGTTCCAACTCCAAGTGTAGGCAGTTTGACTTCACAAGCCACCGAAATATTCTCTTCTTGCATCATCTCCCCGAGGCTGTCGCACAACGAAACGTCTGACAGGGAAATGCTGGCCTGCCCTCCCAATGGATCAACAAATGATCTATACACGACACTGAGTTCACCGGCCTGGACAGACAAGTGTCCAACGGCTCGAGCCGACTGTGGTAGAACAAAGTTAAACGCTGTAGCTCGCACATGGTACTGCTTGGACGCATCACTAGCATTTGCCAAGTCCGCAGCAGCCGCGACAGCCGAAGAAGCCGCTTGGGCCGTCAAAGCACCCAAGATTCCCTGCGAGGACGAAAGCAAGTAGTGGATGAGATGCGTGATAAGAGCTTTGGGGCATCATGAAACCCCTGGAAAAGCAGATTCATTTACCTCAGTGGCATACTCGACAAGTGCCATAACCTGACTATGAATGTATACCATCCGCATGGGCGAGAGTTCAACATCCGTAAAGGCTTCGCATTGCTTGTCAATGTCACTTCGGACAAGTGTTACCCCTTTCATAGCTTCAGGTCCACTCCAATATTGTACACACAGCAGGCTTTCATTGAGGGACGGGGCAAGCCCAAGCAACGTCCTATATCCTGCTTGTGTCTCTCCCATCTCCGGCGTCGCAAGCCGAAGGTCCCCCAACGCGAGTGAAACACAAAGAGAGTCTTCGGAAGACAAAACGCCAACCTTTGCCCTGGACATTGTCAAAATGAAAAGTGGCAGGTCGTCTCTCGCAGAGTTCAGCGTAATTTCAAAACCTTTCATTTCAGCATTGATGAGGAAGTAGCCGTAGTCTTTTCCAGCACCGTCACGACCTGAACTGCGACTAGCTCTTGATCTTGCGGTAAGCTTCTTCGGCTTGGCCTTCGAGCCTGCTGCAACGATCAAGAGCGGATCTTCGGGCTCGCTCGTTGAAGCCTCGAGGAAAGCATTGAATTTCCCAAGCATGCTTGTAAGCGTTTTGACTGCTTGGGGATTCCAGTGGATATACAGGCTAGAAAACTTTGCGTTTATTCTTGTTGCTTCCTCTCCAGCAACAAACGGATCCGGCGCTGCGTATCGGTTGTCCTGCTCAAGGGTGGTTCGCCAATTTGAACCAACGCTCGTGTACGTAATGTTTGCCAGTTGTTGGGTTGCTCCAGAACTCCGTTCCTTGAAAGCACCGGCTTTTTCCAACTCTTCAAGAATGGCGTACTTTTCATCGATTGCAAATTGATGTGGTGCCAAAGGAAGGCTAGAGTGGGCGACGAGCCTTTGCCTTCTCGCATACTGGCGGCGGAACTTGTCCAAGATCCAAAACCAACCCATTGACAGATTTGCAACGGAACCTCCGTCTGACAAGGATGAATATGACCCATCAACAGAGACAAGGTGTGCATCCACCCCGCCTTCGTCACCAAAATCGACAACCACAGAAAGCCTTTGCAACCAAATCGAGAAGTAGAAGACTGAATATGCTGCTGCTCCTCCGGCTTGTGTTTGGTCGCCTGAAACAGGCACCGTTGTGACTTCTCCTCCCTGATCCTCCCTCTTGGAGTCCTCGCTGTCGACATTGTCGTCAGTATCTTCCAAATCTTTCTCGGCTTCGTTCTTGGTACTCTCCTTGATAAGGCGAGTCCAAGCATTGTAGACATTGAGCACTCTCGAAGCTTGAGTTGGCGAAAGCCTCAGGACAATGGAAGGCACAACGCCAATGGCGCAACCACGAGGGACATCAGCTGAGGCGACGCTCTCAATAGCGAAATCAAACGCGATCGAGATGGGTTCCACGACCGCTTCGCTCACTAATGGGGAGTTTGAGGAACCATGCGCTGCCACAGTTCTGTGCCAGGCATTTGTTTCAGTCACCATGAAAGTCAAATTTGTTATTGTGATATTCCCATTGTCAACGATTGGCTCGTTTCCATCGAATTTGGGATGCCGTATGAACCACGTTTTGATCTCTCTGGACTCGTCAATCGTTCCATACCGAAATCGCATATGCCCCAAATCAAGAACTAGAACATTTGCCGAGGCATCTACGCAGTTTTCAGGCAGCACAAGGATGGGGGCCCTGATATCCAAATCTGCCACCCAGGATGCTTTCGCGGCAGCTTTAGTTTTCCAAGCCTCGATGAGTGCATTTGAAAAGGTAGACGGTGCTGTAGATTGTGCCTCTTCTGTTGCATTTTGACCCCTTGGACTCGAGATTGCCAACGGAGCTTCATCCCCGCCGTCAATGGCGTCGTAGAATAGGTCAACTGAACCAGTCAATGATTTCGCCAGCATTGGATTTCGCCTGGATGACGACTTGACCCGACGCTGCTGTCCACCAGTGATAGTAATGAACTTTTTCATCTCCTTCAAAAGAATAGGAGAAGCGACGGCTTGAAAGCTGACAAGTTTTACGTTGAGCTTTTGGTCACCCTCTTTGGTCTTGGCCATACTGAGCGAGAAGATATCCTCCTCGGATTCACCGGGTGTACTTTCCTTGCGCAAGCTGCAAAGGACGTTGGGGTAAAGACTTTGTGGGGTTACCGTGTCACGAATGTCTAGACTCGAGACTTTGAGCCCAAAGACAAACGATCCATCCGCATTTGCCTTGAATGCCGACGAGACCCGCCCCATGTTCAAAGCTGCAAGCGGCCGAAGTTCGTAGGACGTCAGGTTGATGCGGAAGGAACCGAGTACAAAGTGAATGTTGCAGAGTTTGGAATCATTAGAGAGTTCATCCTCTTTCATTTGTGTCACGCTAATGGTTTCCAGCTCTTTCATTTCCTCGGGGCTCAGCGTAATGGGTGGTTGATCATCCACAGGATTTGCTGTGGAAGGAGTCGTCTCGGTGGTGGTAGTTCCAAAAAAGAAGGATCGAGCTCTGGTTTTCTTTTTCTTTTGTGCGTTTATTGTTGCGTCATATTTTTCTTGTTCCTTTTCAAAGTGTGCATCGGCAATGTTTCGCCACGCCATGATTCCATCAATGGTCACGGACCGGTCATTTTCAATTCCATGAAGTTCCCGTAGCTCCTGTGGCAGCAAGGGTTCCAACCAATGGCATTTTTCGTGATGAGAGTCTCGTTTGTACAGAGTTATATACAGTTTCCGTCGTTTAAATGCCATGAAAAAGTCTCTCCAGCCTCTGCGACCCGAGAGTCGTCCGACACAGCGATAGGCATACTTCCACCACTCTTTCGCCGTTTCTTTGGTGACTCGTCGCAGTGGACGGTATTCCGGGAAGAGTGGTTTCATGTCCCCGTCCGCAGAGCTGACCTGATGAGCAATTTGGGCACAAAACTCCAACTGTGATTTGGACAGCATGACGGATAAGGCTGGTAGTTTGCTGGATAATAGGTACTTTGGATAATCAATACAGACATTGCTGTCGGCTTGTCGTAATGTTGCTTCAAAAGACAGCGGCGACAGAATGAAGGAATGTCCTTTGGGGGATTTAGAAGCATTGGAGCTGTACTCGCTGACCGATGTCAGACTACAAAATATATTGTCATCTTCGTCCAGATATATCCCCAGGCCTTTGATTTGGAGTGCCTTGAATAGGAATGAGTTGGAGATTCCCTTATCCCCGGAAGTTCTGTCGACAAAGGAGCGTTTGCCTCTGGCATCAGTGGTGAAGAAAGTGAGGGACTCCATGACAATACCCGCGGCACAGTCGCTACTTTCCAGTGATATGTGTACATCGTTGACTTCGACTTGAATATTTTCAATAATGCGTCGCACCAATCGAGAGGAAAAGGACGAATTGCCGGAAGTGTTTTTGCTGGTCTCCATATCGACGAGTTCTGCCATGGCCCTCTTTCGCAGTCGCGTTTCATTGGCCGAGAATATGGATTTTATTCTGGCTTCTAGAATTTTCTTTTGTCGTTTCAAGTCTGTGTCGAGCGACTTTGTGGAATCGGGAGCTTCATTATGATGATGATTGTCTCGTTCCTGGGCTTCCACAGTGACCGTGAGTCCATGCGCCCTCAGTACTACTGGTTGACTCATGAGGCGAGACCATGGCACATCAATTTGGAAACTTCCAAAGGATCCTCGATTCACTCGAAACGGGAGACTAAAGTTGGGTCGATCTTCCGCTTGACGGTCCAGTTCGGCATTCACCGCGTCCACATTCAGTTCCAACGAATTCAGTTCCACTTGCCCATTCCAGATACCCAAATTCAAGTTTTCCGCATCCAAATCTTTCACATATTTTCCAATTGTCTGCTCCAGAACGTCCAAAAGCGCTTGCTTGGCCATGACTCTACTCTACTACAATCAATAGATATGAGGTTGTGGTTGGCCTCTTGACGAAGGTTTGTGTATGATATGGTACCAGTTAGTTGATGTGCTGTCCTTTTTCTACCGTTGGATGCAATGACAACATTCTGGACGAAGATAGCGCTTTGGCGACCTGGACTCGATTCACTCGACTAAACTATGCATGACGTCAAATTCGGCTCTGAAGCAAAGTTCTTTCATTCACGGAAAAATGGAAATTTGCTTTGATGAGGTCTTTCACCCTCAAAGTTTAGATCTATTTTATCGCTGTACCGGTAGGACTATCATACAAATAAGATGCACCCAGACAGCTGGAAACACACGGGCTGAAACAAGCTAGCTTGCTACTTAGTAGTTGGTGAATGAGAATTACCGTAGAGCTGGAGCTTAGTTAGAGCAAGATACAAGGGCCACCACCCAAGGGAAGAAATGGGAAAAGCCAAAAGGACTGCGCAAATACCATACAAGAACAGGGAGCTACCAGAGAGAACGCAACCTGCATTTTTCACAAAAACAGTAGAAACTTATCGGTATCTGATTGACACAGCCCAGAAGCAACAGACACAACTACCTTTGCTCTGGCGGAACTATGCATAGCTAAGCCAAGGACGAGTACGGTACGACTGTGCTGTCTTGAGTTGTTTTGAGGAGGGACTACGAATTATGAATAGATACTGTACCGGTACAGTGAGCTAACCGGGCAAAGTACAGCTGCGCTTTGTGCATGTGAAGGCGTGGACAACAACTGCGACGACAAACCGATACCGTAGCATGATTTTGATTCCATGTCGTATGTGTCTTTCTAGCTACTTGCAGTTGGCTGAGGAAACATTCACCTGACTATGCCGGGTTCTCGGGTAGGCATGTAGCTCCGGAGTACAGTCGTAGGTACTCGGTATGGTAGGAAGAGCTGTTGTGTGGTAACTCTACACATTCGTAAGCATTCCAAAGGTTCATCTTTCTTCAATTTGAGGCATTAGCCACCTCTTTCTAACCCTCTACACGATTAGTGACTGGAGGGCGCTGAAGCTTTTTTGTTGTTGTCGTGCTTGCCGTCGATTTCAAGAGCACCCTCCTGTTGAAACCAAGAAACCAATACAGCACAGCAACACCGAGGAGTCGCCGCAACCAACCGCTTGGCTTGGTCTGTGTTGTGAGTGTGCTAACAACTACAGTACTAGCCAGACAAACACCACTACTTCTAGCTACAGTTCCTGTTGCTGGTTACTTACTGTACCATGGCGGATCCAAATCGCAACTCCACCACCGAAAACGGAGCCGAACGGCCCGCACTGGGGTACAATCGAACCCGATCTGCCGACGTGGACAACAGGGCGTATCGCAACCACAGCAGTCAAGCCGCCACCAGTCAGAGGGCTCTGTTAGCTCGAGATTGGTCAACGGCACATATCATTCAGGGTGATGGACAGATATCCAGAGACAGCCAGACCAACCTGGAAGCAAATTTGGGTAATAGTTGGGGGTCAAGTGGTGGAGGATTTGGTGGTGATCCGGTGGCGGGGTGGGCACAAGGCAGTTGGTCCAATGTGGCTGCAGACCCCGCCCATCGTTCGAAATCGATTACCACCAGTCATATTCCGCCCATGGCACGTCAATCCAGACGGGCAGCGACCGAAGGAGCGTCACCGAGAAAATCGGCCATACTGCATCCCTCGGCCATGCACGATGCGGCACGGCTCATGGACTGGGACAAGGTCCTCCAAATTTGTCAGCAGAATCCAGCATCGGCTGGATTTGTCGGTCATCAGGGATTCACGGCCTTGCACCATCTCTGCAGTCGTCGTTGTCCCCGTGCGGATGTAGCCGAAGCAGTCATCAAAGGCTGTCCCGAGGCGCTGTTGATGGTGGAAACCAACAAGGGATGGACGCCCCTCCATTTCGCCTGTAGATTCAAATGCAACAAAGACGTGGTTCACAAACTGTTGAACTTGGTTCCGCAATTTGGTTCAAAAGCTGTGTCCAAACTTGACAAACAGAGACGTACCCCATTGTGGCATGCGGTACGATACGATGCTCCGACGGGAGTTGTGCCTCAGCTGTTGGAAGTGGATCCATCCGTGATTTTGAAAGAGGGCAGTGAGTCACCCTTGCAGCTTTTCTGGGATGCCTATGCAGAAAAAATGGAAGGAAGGAGGGCGTTGCTCCCTTTTATTGGAGAGCAAGAAGGCGAAAGAGCCTCGCCGGCGGTATTGCGTGAAAGGCTCGCAAAATCAAAAGACTTGTTCAACAATTGGGAACGAGCTAATATCTTCCTCAAGGCAGCCTTTAGATACCACCTTGATGAGAAGAACGCATTGGCCCATGTGGGCGACAGAAAGTGGCGGATTCTTCATGTAACGGCTGCCGCGAAATGCCACGCTAGCCTATTTCAGATGGCATGTGTCCTTCACCCCGAACAGGCGAGGGAATTGGACGATAGAGATCTCTATGCTGCAACCGATGATTCGACAGAAACCAAAAATCAAACGGCTCTCCATTTGGCAGCCTCTTCCAACGCCTCGGGGCCCCACGGAAGAGGGATCATTGCAGAACTGATGAGAATGTATCCCGAGGCGGTGAATATGGCAGATCAGATCGATGGGGGCTACCCTCTCCACAGAATTGTTGAGAACAAGCACAAGCAGCATTGGACTCTTGACGGCGCTTGCGCCATCTTTGAGGCAAACCGTCAGGCTGTAGACGCCAGAGATAGCAACGGAAAAGTCCCTTTGCATCGCGCCGCCACTGCAATCGCAGCCCATCACCAGAGACCGAATAATAACAACGACGACGATGGCGACGGCGATGACGATGACCAACAGGATGCCCCGCCTGTGGAAGTAGGCAACAGCTCCATCATACACAACTTGCTTTTGCTCTCCCCAGCCGCGGCTAACGTTCGCGACAATGACGGCTGCACTCCCTTCCACATGGTTGCCATGAATTGTGGCGACTGGACGGACGAAGTCCAAGCCGTGTACGCCGCCAACACAAGGGCCATCACCATGAGAGCTGGCAGAGCCGTGCACAACTCTCTCCCCATTCATCTGGCGGCAGCCAATCCCAAAGCCACTCGATCCGCCATCAAAAAGATGGTGGAGCTGAACCCTCGAGGTGTGTCTCAGGCGGACGGGCAAGGAAAGCTTCCTCTTCACATGGCCTGCGAATTGGGCAAAGACTGGGAAGACGCTGGGCTTGATCTTATCCACAATGCATTTGAACGAGCTGTCACCATGCCAGAGGAGAACGCGCGCCATTGGACGGCCTTGCACATGGCCGCTGCGTCGGCTACACCGTGCGGCGGTTTGATCAAAAGGCTGGTGGAGTTGCATCCGGAAGCCTGTAGAATTCCAGACACGGAGGGACGGCTGCCTTTTCATTTGGCGTGTGAGGCAGGGAAGACTTGGGAAAAAGGATTGCGTCATCTCTTCGTAGGGTATCCTCCCGCTATTGCCACCGTCGACAACGAGGGGCGGCTTCCCTTGTATATCGTTGCCGATCAATATGCCCATGCTTCGATCGCCAGAGCAATGGGCGAAGAGGACGCTAACCACGATGCGAAAGAGTCTGTTGAATTAGATGTGATGTACAATTTGGTGCGGTCTGACCCTACCACCGTTCCAGAGGCGAGTTAAATGTAATGCCTGAATGGGCTTACGTTACATGTGCGTTGATGGGACGTTTAGATATTCTCATTATATTAGATAGTTTATAGATTATTCTATCACCTCAGCCTGCCAAATGTGTTTCGTAGCGGTAGCCAGCAAGATTCGAGAAGTCAGTTGCCAAGAACCATTCTCGCACCATATATCGCGGACGACATCAGAGAGGAGAGGCAGGCCACAGAAACCAGCGAAACGGTGGCGATGCAAGGGATGCAGGTACCAGTGCCATTATCATCTGACAGCCGTCGGCCAGGAGTATTTCTAGCCCGAACGAGCGAGTTTGGAGCAGCAGAACAAATTAATTTAGCAAGACTCATCCTATTCCTCCCACTTCCCATTCTGGAACACACGCATGCATTCTGCGTGTAACTTGTCGTCTGCACAGGCGATGACACCGTCCTCATTTTCGGCTTCATCCCTGGATTTGGAATAGTCCAGCGGCCGGCCGAACTTGTCTGTGACCTTGCCTCCCAACGAACGCAGCATTGCATCTGCTGCCGCGACATCCCAAAGTGATGTTCCCGACTTTGGAAAGAACCATAGACCCTCGTTGTGCTGCCTCAACACGAGCCGTAACGCTTTCTCCCCTGCGCCACTAATATGCATCGGTGTCGGGTCGATAACGCCAAGCATTCCGAGCTGCTTGCAAACATCTTCCACAACGCCTTTGGACCGAGAGCTTGAAATGATTGCTCGCGGGAGATCTGATGATGGATTCTCACTATTTGTAGGTTGGGTTGCAGCAGAAACTGGCAGCAAGGTGTCTCCCCCTGCAATAAATCCACCCCCAAGCAGAGGCCCACCGTACACAGCAGCACAAGGCGTGCCCATAACAGGTGGCAATCCTTCGTACCCGAACGGCTTACAGATGACGCCAAAGTGAGGCTGATAATCCAGGTTGACGGAAACTAAAACAGAAACTGCATCGTATTTTCCTTTGGCATACGAGCTCGTCCCATCGAGGGGGTCAATAATGACACAAACCCTTGACACATCCACGATGACTTCCTTCTTCTCGTCTTCAGATAGATCGTAAGATGGCTTGTTTTCTATTGTTGCATCATGAGATGACACGGCCAGAGGCAGTGATTGTGGCGCTTGGCTGCCACCACTTCTGTTCTTGAAGCGAAGAAAGACCTCTCGCCTGCATCCTTCCCTCATGCCCGCGTCCGAGGCGTGTTCTAACTTTTCTTGGGGTATTTTGGCTCCTCCTTCCGGGCTTTCTTCTCCCAGAATCCTCACATTGGTAGACACCCGTTGGACTGCGCTGGTGATAATTTGCTGGGCAGCATAATCGGCATCCGTTACAAAAGTGCCATCCACTTTCAAGCGTGCGTTCTTATTGGAGTCTTCTGGTAGGGCAAAGGCTCGGATGGTCAGGGATGCCCCTACTGCTGCTGACATGACCGACGAGGCCATGTCCAGCAGGTTGACTGAAGGACCCGATGCCATGGTTCTTTTGCTAACTATTCTCGTGGGTAGCCTTGTTCTTCCGATGAAACCGTTGTTGGAGACAAATGGATCCAATCTCAATGATACCGCTAATCTTTGATGACCTAAAAGGATCCTAACACCGCTGGCCATAAGGAGCTTCCAGCAGATTGTACCCAGATAAGATTTCTTGGGCTCAGTCGTCTAGTAGGTTGAAGATAACTTACTTCAACTCTTGGTGGTGTTCCTTGTGTTCGTGGCGACAAGAAGCAAGCCCAAAGTGTCTTCTTTCTGTTGGCAGCAGACAGTCTGGTCTTTCAACGAGGCGATGAGGCGTTGAAATACAAAGATGATGTGACCGTCGTTTGTCAGCTCTTGTTGAGTCGGGGATATCTGGCATGCGCAGAGGCACCACTCAGAGCATTATTACTGTTTCCTTTATGGTACCGGTGGAGTGCTACCGGTACCACTCGCGAAATTGGCCCAACATAAAACATTCCACGCTCTGCATGGTGGTACCATGCACATGTACTTGTACCGGTATGTCCCTCGCTATCTGTGGTTTACCAAACACCATCCCAACCCTGCTCTTCCCTCCTTCCGACGATCCACCCACTTGTCTGCTCTTAACACTCTTCTTTGACATTCAATACCTTTAAAAACATTGCCCAGCTGCAAGGGCTTGCTGTACCCGCTCACCAGGGACCCCATCCACCCATCTTGGGTCAACATCTACCGGTAGCGGTATCCCCCCGATACATCTTTAAATCGATATCTGGCGGAAAGTACCCTTTGCGCATACATTTAGAGTTGTCCCTGTCGCAGCACTTGCTGGTACCGGTGAGCCCAGGGATACTGTAGACACTAAACCAATCCGGTTTGGGCTGATTGGAAAGGCACCTACTGGTTGAATTCATGAGGAAGTACGCACCAAGCCTGTCTTTCCAAGCTCATCTTGTATAGGTACTTTTGCCAAAGTGCCATTTTAAAATAAAGGTCATGTATGTTAAACGCTACCATGGTACAGTCGTACTACTCATTCTCATGTACTGATGATGTCCTTTGGCCAACTCGGCTCTCGCTGGGGCTCCACGAGCGAGTTGCCGGCTCGATAGGTCGGCAGGTCTCCACGAGCCATCAAAGGGATAAGTTGACGGCCATGTTTGCTAACGTCAAGAGCTGTCGAATGGTAATGGGCGCTGCCGAAGACGGCTTTTTAGCCTGGGACCACCGGATGCTTGTGAGCGAAAAACGCTCCCGTGCCTTTTTGATTGATGGCTGCTCCTATTTAAAATAGCTTGTTGAGTAACTGTCCTACCAAAACCGTGCAGGAGGGTGTGCTTGGTTACCGTATATCACACACATGGCTACCGTAGCTCGTCATGGAACAAAATAAAATGAGTTGTAGTTGTTTTAGCTGCAAATGAAAAACCCAAACAAATCCAACTGTCTTTCATCCATCCATCCATATTATTATTTATCCCCTTGTTCGACTTCCAATACTGGAAGTGACACTTCGACTTGCAGCCGTCTCAAATTCACGCAATGCCATTGGCACGCATTCGGGCACCCGAACCGGAGGTGAGATCTTCCCTCTTCGAGCCCCTACATGAAGATCCAAGAATTCAATCAATTTTTCGACAAATGCACCTGTCGGCCGCAAGAGTGCTTCGATATTGTTGTGTCCAGCGCCTTCTACCCAGAAGGGTTTTGCTCTCCAAGGTTGCGGCAAGGCCATGAATAGGTCTTCCCCGTGCCAAAATGGAACGACCTCGTCTTGTGTTCCGTGGACCTGATTATTTTGCAATTGATTGATTCAATGATTCATTCGTTTCCAATGGAAAAAGGTTGAGTACTTGGACTAGCTAGCCGAATTGTAATGGAAGTCGAAGAAGGCCAGCCAATGACTTACAATGAACACAGCACACCGAATGTTGGGAGCATAGTCAATATTTGGGAACTGTAAAAACGAACAAGGTTCAACATTAGACGTCGTGGACCAATAGAGACTTCTACAAAACACACGCTCCATCGACATACCTTATCGCCCACCATGGTGAATCGAAAGTTGAATGCTACTCGGTAGGCACTGAGGAGTGGACTCTGTAGAATCACTCCACCGACACTGCGTCCCTGCTTTGCCGTTTTGCTTGCCAAATAGCACGATGGTCCGGATCCCAACGACCGTCCATAGAGGACAATCTGTTCGGGTTGCAAGTGTCTCACGGTCAACAAATATTGAAAGGCCGCCTCGATATCGGCATAGCAATTCTCTTCGCAGGGGGTTCCGTTGGATTTGCCATAGCCCGTGTAATCGTAGGCCATGATATTGACGCGAAGGACTCGAGCCAGATCATTGAACCAATCGTAGATCATGCCTAAGTCTTCGGCATTGCCATGAGAAAAGAGGATTGTGACTTGGGCATTGGGCCGTTCAATGAAAAAGGCAGGAATGCGACTGCCGGTCGAAGTGTTCAACCAAAAGTGGCGGGAAGGATGAAGGTACGTCGGAGGTGGAGGTTGGAATAGCAGTGAACTGATCAAGTCTCCCATGCTTCAATTCATGTACAGTGTACTAGTCTAGAAAGCTGTATGTGGTGTGTGGAGTTGGTTTTGATGATGGAATTCGGCCGCCGCCATTGTGAACAAGCACAGCGATCGAAAGGCGGTGACAGCGAAGAGACAGTTCCTCAACGGAGCACGGCGGTGCTGGCGGTGGCACCGTGCTGCAAAGTGTACAGTATAACCCAGCTGAGCTAGCAAATGTTTAGAGATGTTTGAGGACGGTGGGACGCAACAACACAACTCAAGCATCTATCTTTAGAGCTCCTTTTCCCTGAATTAGGAGGATAAGAAAAAGCTGCTGTCAGGTATTCAGCCAACTACATGTAGCAGATGCAAGAAGAAACACAAACGGTTGCTTGTTGCCGCCATCGACGAACAAAGCAATGTCCCAATGTGGTAAAGTGTAGTGGTTGCAAGGTGAACACAGCACTTTCTTTCACAAATGGACAACTGGTAAAACTACGACTAGGCATTTCTCTGGGATAAAGTCTTGAACCCAAGCCCTTACAGGAACAGTGCGACCTCTCAGCAAAGAAATTCTGTCCCAGGGGCAACCATTTTCAATTGCAAACTTTAACACCTCCAAATGGCCACGGGAAGCGGCATTCACACATGTCCACCTATCCCATGGGCAACCATGTTCATGGGCATATTTGAGACATTCCAAATGGTCATTCCTGGCAGCATTGATGCATGTTTGTCGGTCCCATGGGCAACCGTTTTCCTTAGCAAATTTGAGGCATTCAAAATGACCCTTGGATGCAGCACTGCTGCATGTTTGTTCATCCCATGCACACCCATTTTCATGAGCATACATGAGGCAATCCAAATGGCCATTTTCGGCAGCAAGTCTGCAGGTGTCTTTATCCCATGGACACTCATTTTCATGGGCATATTTTAGAACATTCAAATGGCCACCCTTGGCAGCCCTTTCACACGTCCTTCGATTCCATCGGCAGCCATTCTCATGGGCATATGTCAGAATTTTCAGATGACCTTTTTCAGCAGCAGCTGCACGGATTCCAAGGACAGCCATTCTCATGGGCATATTTCAGCACATCCAAATGCCCACCATGGGCAGCATCAGCACATGTATGAGCATCCCATGGACAGTTGTTTTCATGTGCATACTGTAGGGTTTGCAAATGACCATTGCTAGCTGCATTGCGGCATGTAGACTCATCCCAAGGGCAGTTGTTTTCATGTGCATATTTGATGACACCCAAATGACCGTTTGAGGCAGCCCAGCTGCATGTGTTGCTATCCCATGAGCAGCCCCATAGATGAAGACTTCTGAGAACTTTCAAATGACCATTTTCCGCCGCATGGCTGCATGTCCAGCAATTCCATGAACAGCCTTCTTGCAGAGCTCTCATTAGCAAGGTGTAGTGGCCATTTGCTGCAGCACCATTACATGTATCTGCATTCCAAGAAAACCCCTTATTCTGGGACCATCTTAAAACTTCAAGACTCCCCGCTTTGGCGGCTTCAGCACACACGTCAACCATCAGTCCACATGTGAAAGTTTCATAATAGGTCCACCAATACTCTGCCCGAGACAAAACCGAGAAAGTTGCGGAGTACAAAGTATCAGAAGCGGCTGCTAAGCGTCTTTCGTCTTCATCATTGTGATCAATAACCATTGGAGGCTTATCCACAGTTTTACAGTACGTTTCATAGAGCTCTTTCATTTTGTGGCTCACTGGGGCCACAAAAACAAATTGTCCCATGCCAACAAACGGGAAAATGTTGTTGGTCCAGATATCCTCATGCCTTAAACAGGAGTCTTCAGGGGCAAGACTGAGGTTGGTGAATGCCTGACGGACAACCTCGTTCATCTGTTTTTGCAGGTTCAAGGCAATCTCGAGCTCATGCTTTGCTTCTGCTTTGCTGTTACCCTGGATTGTCTGGAGATACCGCAAAAGAGTCGAAAGTGCCGCGGATGCATCTTCACTAGTGACTTCTACTGAACATTTAGTTCGCTTCTGCTGCTCAGGTAGGGCTGAGCTGAATTGGAGACCTCTCTTGCTGCTATCTTCCTCCATCCTTGACTACTTGACAATGGCAGAAGTACATGTACCATCCACCGCTTCATGGCAAGCGTATTGGCTGCCGTACCTTTTGGATCTTTTGAGAAGCCAGCAAGGCTGTACCCAAAGATCCCTCGAAGTGATCTGAGCGTTGGTAGAATGAGAAAAAGGTCCAGCAGTCTTCAGAGATCCTTTGCATGCTTCTGCCATCATAGTAAACATGGCAACAAGCACAGAGAGGAGAGACATGCATGCAGCTGGGAAGATTCCCTGGCTGATAATTGTTGCTCTCGTCGTCTTTATTTCAGAAAATTCTGTCGAAGCGTTTTCTGCCTCCCCACCTACTAGTGGTCTTGGCTCTACCGACCCATTATCCCAAACAACACTGCGGATACCCCACCGAGCAAATTCTCCTTATTCATCACCATTATCTATTCGAAAGCGGCACGGGAAACAACGGTTCAACCGGGAGCTCTTCTCTGCCACAAATAATGATGACAATCCCAACGCTGTTGCCGATCGCAACCAAGGAATCTTGGTACTCTTGACTGTGCCACTGGCATGGGGAACATTCGAGCCTGTCGTACGCTACGTCTATGCCATTGAACCACCTATTCCGGGGTTGGTGTTTTCGCCATGCTACTATTTTGTAGCAGCATCGGCTCTCTCTCTTCTCTCCATTGTCTCGGCGCCCACCGACACTGCCTCGGACGACACTGTTGTTTCACCCGACGACAATGATGACAATATTCCCTCATCCACTACTAGTCCCATTCTGGGTGGTATGGAACTTGGTTTTTACCTCTTTGCGGGCAATCTATTGCAAGTTTTGGCATTGAAAACGCTCAATTCGGACCGAGTGGCTTTCTTGATACAGCTGACAACGGTGAGTAAAGTGAATGTTCGTTGTGACATATACCGTACCGGTACTATTGCATGATTGATTGATTGATTGATTGATTGGTAAGCTAATCCGACAATTCCCATGCGCTGCAACAGATATTTGTACCACTTGTGCAAGGCATTGCTGCCAGAAATCTCTTGGCAATCCCAATCCGAACGTGGATTGCCTGCTTGATAGCTCTCCTTGGCGTGGCTGTCATTGGATTGGAGGGCGAGCCGCAGCCTTTGGACCCCTCCCTTGTCTTGGCATCGGATCAGGGACAGTTCCACCTGAGTCAGGGTGACTTCCTAGTGGTTCTCTGTGCTCTCTTTTACACATTCCACTGCATTCGTCTCGAAATCTATGCCAAGCAAACAAGGGCCGTGACATTGGCAGCCTACAAAGCCACCACCGAAACCACGCTGAGTGTGTTGCTGCTTCTGGGGCTGTTGGCATACGGGGGTACTTCCAGCAATGGTAGTAACGACAATCTACTGGCCAACTTTGCTCGGGAAAACAGTGAGGAAATCTCTTCCTTTTTGACCACCATCCCGGACCGATTGACCGATGGATCCATTCCTCCCTCTGTTCTGATTCCAGCCTTGGGAGCTATTCTGTGGACGGGCCTCGTCACGGTGGCCTATACCATTTATGCGCAGAGCTATGGACAAAGCCGTGTTAAACCATCGGACGCCAATCTGATTTACACTTTTCAGCCAGTGTGGACATCCCTCCTCGCATACCTACTGCTGGGAGAAACTCTGGGTCCGACTGGGTTTATTGGAGGTGCCTTGATTGGCTTTGCTGTGTTTTTGGTATTCCAACAAGATGGTGAACCATCAGGATCGCAGCCATGAGCCATGATACTTCTTTGTTGGCTAGCTGTATGGGTACTGTAACGGTCAGCAATTATGTCACAGATAGCCAAAACAGAAAGCCGAAATAACATCTTGGGTGTGGATTGGGGGAATCATACAAGTACGCAACCCATCTCATAGAATCAAGAATAAATAGAATACAGTATTTCTATCAATAATCTACACCTTGTACAACAGAAAGGCCTGCAAAAAGAAATTGCCCACTACGAGGCCAGCTTGGACACTGGAAAGGCGAACAAACTGCCACAAAACAACCCCAACGATAGAGACAAGGTCAAAATCTCGGACGACTTTTCATTGGCTCCTGGAACGGTAGCCGGAAGCAGCGACGGTGCATGCATAAACGCCAAGGTGATGAGTGCACCATTGGAGAGTGCAAACAATGCCTGCACTGTGACCGAGTAAAAGTCACTCGGAATCCCATGATGGCTGCTGCTGCTGCTGCCCCCAACACACAGGAGCAGCATTGGGAAAAACAGAAATCGTGCAATGGATGCCATGACCAGTTTGAAGGACACATTGTCCATTCTATCCAGGGCTAATATTCTGCCAGCAAGTTCTCTTCCCGTCAAATCTCCAATATTGAACAAGAGGAACGTAAACGGGACGTATAGATCATTGCTGAGGCGATTGCTGTTTGGTTGGCATTGATGGATACTTTGCAATCTGGATGTCCAAGAGGGGAATAGTGACAGTGTCACAAAAAAGGTAAAAAAGATGCAAAAGGCAGGGCCCTTGATTGCTTGCAACACGGTCTGGGGTGGTTGTAGTTCTGCTGTTGCTGTTCTTAGCACGTCGTCATGTTGGCCGGCAGCCATGCGATCCGAGCTGCTGGTCTCGTAGACATCCTCCTCATTATTATCAGCGCACACACTATCGCATCCTTCTTGCGCGATATCAAAAGGTTGTTGATGTTGATGAGACTGGCTGGATGTTATTTCTACCGGTTCATCCCTAAACTCTTCGATGGTGGATTCGTCTGTAGTGTTGCCGACCGTTTCATATTGTTCTTGCAGTCGTCGTGCACGTGCACTGGCATCCAGGAGTGTGTATCCCATGACACATGCCAACAAAACACAGGCCCCCACAAGAAAGTAGATGAATACGGCAGCATCCATCGTTTGATACGGAGGACATGTGGTGGTGGAATAGTGACCCAGAGTCGTATTGTTGTGATTCTTTGTGGTGGTTGCTTTTGATGCTGCAGTCGCCGTGGTACTGTTATTTTCATGATTATGGTCGCAATGTTGATCCCAATAAACTTGCGGATCTTCCGCCATGGCGGAGATGAAATTGGCGGCCGATACCAATACACCCCCGACCGCTTGTCCCGAAACAAATGGGTTGATGCCCACTTGACCGGGAAAGAATCCCGACGTGGCCACGGTTCCGGCTTGTGCAAACGCCGCACAGGCTCCACACAGAGACATTCCCATTAATGTTACGACCAAAAAGGCCGATGGAGTAATGTTCTGAATGGCCACCAGGAGATCGGTAACCACAAACACACACAGCGACAATGTCAAGGGAATTGTCACCATCCAAAAAGAAGCATTGTAATGGGCATCGTCAGGAGGAGCGTCGTGGGATGATGGCTGGTGGTGTGGTGATGGTTCTGGCGGTACTTGATGATGATTGTCGCGTAAGACTCCCACTCCCACAGTTTCAATTTCATTGTGGGGTATTCTTCTGCGAAACAAGAAGAGTTTTTGAAATTGGTGCTTCCAAAGAGGCCATGACAAGAGCAGTGTCAAAGCACCAACTGAAGAAAGGTTAAAGATCAGCCCCACCCAGGATTCAAATTGTGCTTCGGCTCCTGGGATGGAACAAATTCGAGATTGAAAGTACGGTACCGCACTGATAAAGGCATTCCATGGGACCAAAATGCCAATTCCCAGCAACAGAAAAATATATCGGGCACAACGATCCGATACGGCGCGGATCGGCAGAAAGCAGCAGCACGGCGACATTCTGTCCTGTCCCTACAGACTCGACTGAATAGCTACGTAGCTAGTACATGTATCGTTGAGAGTAGAGTACAGTATTGCTTTGGGTTGCCCTTCTTCTCTCGGGCTCTGCTGGATGGGTTGTAGGTGCCATGGTCACAACATCGATGATGGAGACACGGAAGCAATAACGAGTCGATTTGATTCGATTCGATTCGATTCGATTCGAACTGCAATCGACTCGATCGAAATTTGAAAATCGATTTATTCTTGCCCTTTTCAACAAAAATCTTGCCCACTTCGATCATCACAGCACCATGAGCTCCATCAGGAGAGGTAAGAAGAGACCCAACAAGGGTGAGGACGACACCAACAGCACTGCTGCTAAGATCAGCCGATTCTTTCTGCCTTCCAAGAGACAGCGAGCTGAAAGCCAACAGGAAGCAGCAGAGCCAAAGTCAAAGGAACCTCCCGTCATTGTTGATTTGCTGGCCGATGACAGCGACAATGATGAGGACAACCAATCTTCGAGTTTCTTCAAGGACGCAGTAGCTCCGAAAGACACAGAATCCGCCACTGCTGCTGGTTCAGAAACGGATTTATTGAAAGAGCAGCAACAATCCACAGACAATGACTATGACGGTGCATTATCTGAAGAACAAGTCTCCAATACCGGTAGCATACTAGTATCCACGGACTGTGACACCGCCACCAAAGATATTTGTGCCGATGAAACCAAGGCTGATAGCATTTCACATGATGAATCAAGTCCACCAGTCAACCCGTTCGAAATGTTTGCTTTCAGTGCAGCAGCCTCGAGTGCCTCTGATACTCCAATCTGTTGGGTCAAGCCAAAGTCTGCTACAAGTGGAGCTACTAGCAACAAGGTCCACAACAAAAAGGACAATCGCAAGGTCAGTTCTTCAGCAGCAAAATCTGATAAAAAGAAAAACAAGACGAAACAATCTTCCGGTTGGGTTCCAATGAAGGATCATACCGAAGAAGAAAAGAAGAAAATTGTGATCAAGTGGCAAACCATGGCCGATCCAGCAGCCAGTTTGGAAGACCAGCGATTTCAAGTTTTGGTGGCAGCTCGTCTTCATGCACGATGTCAAGATGGTCCCGTTCGAAAAGCCATGAAAGAGTTGCAGACATGGTTTGGTAAAAACAACTTTACGGTCCAGCGCATGGCATCCGTCAAAGATCCGAAAGAACTACAGGATTGCATTAAAAACCTGCAATACTACATTACCAAAGCCGGCAATCTGGTCAAGGCAGCACAAGAAATCAAAATGCGATTTGGTGCACGAGTACCAGAAGATGAGCATTCCTTGAAGCAAATCACAGGAATTGGACCGGTTCTAGCAGATGTACTGGCATACGTCAACACAAGAGCTAGACATCGGGAAAGGCAGCAATCAAAAGTGCAAAAGGACGATGATGGATAGACAACTACAACAGTGTAGATTACTCAAGTGTCGTTTAATTCAATTCCTTTTATTCTTTGTTATATGATTAGTCTAGCCTTAGTTTCTCAACAAGGACTTCAGAGGTGCTAATTTTTGTTGGAGCCATCCGTAAAGGGCCTTCTCGAATGACAATATCAATACAGTAGAATTTGGTGTATTCAATTTCATGGGACTGTGTGGGAAAAGCATAGGGAAATGTTGCTATGCAGCTCCAGCAGCGCTCGGTTGCACGAGCTCGAACCGCCACAAACTTCGTCCGTACACAATCAATTGCTCATCACTAGCACCGGATGCACGGTAGATGCTCTGTGGTAGAATAAGCCAAGAAAGCAGGTATCAAACAGTTAGCATAAAAGATGGGCTTGGTAACTGCTATTGGAAAAGACAGGTTCGATGCACTTACCAACGCCTCGGAGTAACAGTCCATCATTGGTTCTAGGTTTCCTCGCTGAAGCTCAATGTTGCCAATCTCATTCAACGTTCGAGCACAAGTTGGATGGGATCTTCCAAAGTACGCCTGTTCAATTTTCAAGGCTTCCCGAAAGTTTTCAACAGCCTGGTCCAGGTTTCCTAGGTTGTAAAAGATTTGTCCAATGTTGTAGTAGGTGATACTCAGGTCGCGATGAGTTCCGCCCAATGCAGCCTTTTCCACTCGAGCAGTCTCCAAATAGTACTGGAGTGCTCGCTCGTGGCAGCCTTGGTGCTGATGGATCAAGGCAATGTTGTAGCTGTACACATAGAGCAGACGATGGTTAGCAAGGGGGGGAAACAAGCAAGAAAATAATATCCAATCTGGTTTCACAAGGAGAGGTACGTACAGAGTGAATGCAATATCACGAGAATCGATATTGCTTAAAACCTTTCGGATGCGATAGCTTTCAGAGAGTAGTTCCAGGGCCATTCGGTGCTGATCCATCTTGAGCAAGACCAAAGAAATGTGCGTCAACGTGGCCGCAACGTCTTCGTCGCAATCTCCCTTGGCATCTCGACGAAGACGAAGGCACTCTTGATTGACTTCCAAGGCACCATGAAAGTCACCCTTCTGATGACGGACGTAACCAATGCTGCTCAGTGTATTGGCAATCTCTACATCGTCGGTGCAGTACTTTCGCTGCAAATCCAGCACCTTTTCGTAGTTTTTCAACGCAAGATCGTATTCACTTTGTTGCTTATGAATCTCCGCAATGTTTGTAAAGGTGACCCAAATGTTGCAGTTTGAGGGATCCAAAACTGCCAGCTCCACCTGCAAGCCTTGGTGGTAGGCTTTCAAGGCAGACTTGAGGTCTCCAGTTTCGTAGTATAGATTGCCAAGTTTGTTCTGTGGGTGAAAATCGCGAGTTTGTGTCAGTGAAATGGAAAGGTGCCGGTGACAGCTCCCTCTGACAAATACGGTACTACTTACCAGCGTAATGGCAACTTCCGAGTGAACAGATCCCAATGCCACTCTGCCAACCTTGAGGGCGTGATGGAAGGATTTCAAGGCTCTGTCATAGTCCTTCACTTCGTGGTAAACTGATCAAGGAAAGCAAAATCAGTACTGTTAGCACAACAGAAAACACAAGATTTGGGATACGCTCATTGGTGTTAATTCAACATACCTTGTCCCATACAAGTTGTGACGATGCAAACATCACGATGATAATCTCCAAAGTGCTTCTTGGCCAGTGAAAGGAATTGTTTGTAGTGTGCCAGGGCCTTATCCCTGTCACCTTGCTGATGATGGACTTGACCAATATTGAAGAGGGTAGCAGCTACATCTCTAGATTCCCCTTGCACGTGCTTTCGGATCCGAAGCGCCGATTGGTAGGCGTTCATGGCCTGATCATAATATCCCTGCTGGAAATAGATGCGACCGATATTGTTCCACGTAGTGCCCACATGAATGTGTGTTGGTCCCAACAATGCCTCCCGCACCGCCATGGCTTGCTGGAGTGTTTCCAAGGCCACGGCCGAGTCTCCATCTTGCATAATGTAATGCAGCACCCCAATGGAATTCAAACAAGCAGCTGCTTCTAGACTTTCCTGTCCAAATGCGGTATTGGCCAACGAGAGAGCAGTCCGGTAGGTTGCTAGGGAATCGTCGTGTTCTCTCGAATGTATTCCACCTGTCCAATGGAGAAAAGGGTAGCCAACCTCATGTCCATCTTGAAACTCGACCGACTTCAAGGATCGTTTGTAGAGCGCTAGAGCCTGATCAAAGTTTCCTTGATTGTGTTCTCCTCGACCGAGATTGAATAAGATGGTACCGTCAATACTTCGGGAGCGATCATGCAAACGCAAGGGAGCATTAAAATAGTCCATTCCTTCGTCATATTCGGCACGGTGCTTGAACGGGGCCTTGGAGGAGTTATTATTATCATCGTTGTTGTTGTTGGAGGTAGAAGTGGAGTTTGGTTCGGAGGAAGATGGAGATGTGAACAGTGGCAAGGATTCAATTTCGGTTCGGGTTTGACAAACAGCCATAACGGTGCGTACGGCTGTCTCAGCAGTAATTTCCATTGGATCATGACGGCCAGAGCTTTGCGTACGAGTACTGGTGTTATTGTTGTTGCTGTTGTTGTTAGCAGCAGCTGCAGCAGTGGGAGAAGCCTGTTTGGCACGTCGTTGTTCCGTTTTCTCCACCATGCGGAGAGCCTTGCTCAAAGATTTCTTGGCCTTGCCATACTCTTGATTCTCAATGTACACGGCGCCCTTGTTGTTAAGCATGGACACCACGATAGGTCGGGATGGAATGATAGGCATGGTGATCACAACAGCAACAAGGAAAGAAGTTAATGAGTTGTCTTTCTTGTCAAGGTCAGGACAGGAAATGTGGGTGGAGTCGAGAGCAAAGAACAATTTGTTGAGGAGCAAAACTCAGCGTGATTTTGTGAGATAGTTTGACACACACGAGAAACCACCGCAACGTGCGCTTTGGTTTGAATTTCGAACGTTAAACTTGTTCGATAGAGGTACATGTACAATACATTTACCGGCACGTCACGTTAGGGTCTCGATCATTCCATTCATGTGCGTCAACCAAGCGGTAACGGTACAGATAAAGGGTTAGGGCTAACTCTAGTGGGATACCCCTCACCGAAGCATGAATGAACCATCCGCAAAAGGGCGAAATGGGAAAGTTGACGGTGAGAAATGGGATACCAGGTACGGTATTATTGATAGACGGTAGCCATGATCTTCGAAGGCTACCTTCCCAGAAGCATAGTACGACCGTAGCAGACAATGAGCGATGGATACGAAGAAGAGGCGGAGAGCAGAGAGCCTGAAATCTTGTAGCTCGCATGTTGACCTAAAACCTCTGGGAGCGACGCCCAGACGGCGACCAACAAATCACGTGCCAACACAAACTGAAAAAATGAAACATCGCCCTCCAACTTCATTGACGCCATAAGGTACCATCATGTCACCTCCAGTTATCGTGATCGCTGGGACTAGCTCTGGGGTCGGCAAAACCACAGTCTCATGTGGTCTGATGGCTGCCTTCTCTGCTGATGGCTTGGCAGTACAACCATTCAAAGTCGGCCCCGACTTTTTGGATGGCAAGCATCATGAACAGGCCACAGGTCGTCGATCTGTCAACTTGGATGGATGGATGATGGGAGGTAAAGAAGCTGTACTAGAAAGTTTTCATAGGCATGCCCGCGGTGCCGATCTGTGTATTGTGGAAGGTGTGATGGGATTGTATGACAGCAAAGATGGTGAGAGTGACGATGGATCGACGGCACAAATTGCAAAATGGTTGCAAGCCCCGGTTGTGTTGGTCGTAGATGCGCATAGTATGGCTAGATCTGTCGCTGCCATGGTACTGGGATACCTGATGCTGGATCAAGACTTGAGATTATCCGCGGTGGTGGTCAACAAAGTGAGCGGGAAGCAACACATCCAGTGGATCAAACAAGCACTGGAAACGCATCGAGATCGACTGGTGGATGTTCAAACACAACAACCGATCTTGTTTGCGGGTGCCATGCCACAAGATAGGATGTTGGCGATACCCGAACGGCACTTGGGCCTCGTGACGCCGAGCGAGAATGCTAGATTCAAGGATGAGCGGTGGCGGGATATGTACAGCAAGCTCGCCGCCATCGTCCAGGATAACTTGGATCTCGACAGTCTACTGAACTTGGCAAAGTCTACAACAACAACACCCAAGATTCACTCTTGCGGAGACTTTTCGCAACCAGAGGCATGTGATGAAGTTTGTCGCATTGGAGTAGCTCGAGATGATGCATTTTCCTTCTACTACGGAGACAACCTCAAGCTACTTCAAGATTCCGGTGCAGAGCTCGTGTTCTTTTCGCCGGTTCACGAGACGCACTTACCGACTGGTCTAGATGCACTGTACATTGGAGGTGGCTATCCAGAACTACATGGGGCAACCCTTCAGAGCAATGAAAGCATGCGGCACGACATTCAATCCTTCGCCAAAGCGGGAGGTCTAATTTATGCTGAATGTGGCGGTCTCATGTTTCTTGCAGAAGCACTTTGGACCATGACGCGAAAAGACGATGAAACCGACGATTACGACCGACAACGGTACCAAATGTGTAGCGTGCTGCCAGGTATTGTTGTCAGCATGACCCCTCATATGAAAATGGGCTACGGCGAGATCGAAATGGCGGAGAATCCAATCTTTCAACAGGGCAGAATCTGTCGAGGTCAACAATTTCACTTTTCGGAGGTTGTCACGGATGATGATGATGCCGACGATGAGATTCTCCGGTCCCCATTCCTCGTTACAGCACAGCATATTGGTGCGCAAGTTGAAAAGGCCGGGTATGTAGTGGGCAACGTGCTGACCAGCTATTTTCATCTGCATTGGTCGTCAAATCCTGCGCTGGCTCATGACTTTGTAGAAAGCGCTGTTCGGACATCTCCCATTCGCAAGATGTTTGCCATCTCGTTTGTGTCAGCGGCGACTGAGATTATCTTTCGTCTTGGAGCTGAGAGCTCATTGGCTGGCGTGACTTCTGTGTGTGACTATCCCAAGAACGCACAGGACTACCCCCGGCGAATTATCAGTCGATCACCCTTCGATGCTTCCACAATGACAAGTGAGGAAGTTGATGCGGCCATGAAGGAACACCAGAGTCGGAAAGGCGACGGACCTCCCGGGTATTGGATCGTCGACACGAATAGTTTGAAGGAGATGGCAGCACCAAGAGTTGCATTTGTGCAGGAAACATGCGATATTTGTGACGTCGCTCAAAGCGATGTCCTCTTTACGTTGGAGCAGTGTGGCTTATCTGATGTCTGCAAAACGGTGCAGGTGTCACCCACCACGCTAGAAGGAATGTTTCAGTCCATTCTGGATGTTGGGGCTGCCTTGGGGGTGCAAGAAAGAAGTGTCTCACTCTGCGCCGATCTTCGGCAAAGACTTGACGTCGTCGCCGCGAAAATCAATGAACTTGGCTTGAAGCAGCGGCCTCGAGTTCTGTCGCTGGAAGGCCTGAGTCCCATTTGCGTCGGTGGGAATTGGCTGCCAGATGTGAAAACTGCGGCTGGTTGCGATGACGCACTCTGTGATGTTGGCGGTTCGCCTGCTCGAGTGCTTCAATGGAGCGACGTTGAAAAAGCTGATCCTGATATATTGTTACTGTCGCCGTGCTCTGCGACAACGTCACGTACATTGAATGAACTGTACTTGTTGAATACACCAGAGTTTTGGAAGCTACGCTGTGTTCGAAACGGCGATGTTTACGTGATTGACCACAGCAAGTTTTCCCGACCGGGCCCACGACTGGTTAACGGTGTAGAGCTGCTTGCTACCTTACTTTGCGGGGTAACACCACCCGACCATGTGGATGCTACTCAAGATTGGAAGAGTGACGCCCTAAGATACGAATGCTGCGTTGGAAAGGTCAAACATTGTACCACAGAGTTGTCAACTCGCTTCAAGCCTTGTTTTGGAGACCATGCATCACCAGGTCAAGATTTTGAGCCCAACTCGAAGGGCGCAGGCAAGAAAGTGGAAGGTTTGCGGAGGATAAGAACGACTCGCAGCTCTGCTATCGGACACCCTCTACCATGCGATCGATCAGCCCACAATATGGCGGCACTGAAAGACGGGTCTGTCATTATCTTTGCCGGGGAAGATGATGATGGTAAACGGTTATCAGATACCTGGAAACTGAGCGCTCCTCAGGTTGGGTGGAACGAAAGGCTAGACCCTTACGACACGCCAGCACCCCCTCAACGTGGCAGATCGCCAGTTTGGGAGCTTCTTCAGTGCGGCAAGGTGGCAGACGAAAACGTACCAACGAAAAGGTCAAACAGTGGCTCAGTCGTGTGCGGAGATTACTTCTTGGTCTTTGGTGGTTGGGGTGTTGATAGTCAATGCCTTGGTAGCTGTGAGCTTCTGCACCTGGACACGCTTTGTTGGACCCACTGCTCGGTTCGTGGAACGAAAAAACCTTCCCCACGTGGCAATCCTACGCTGGTATACAGTGAGAAAACCAACAGTGCGATCATGTTTGGCGGATGGAACAAGGTAGAACGGTTGTCCGATTTATGGGTGTTAGACATGACAGTCTGGGAGTGGGAGCTTCAAGTGCAACATCAGGAACTTCCTTGGCCCAAAGGACGTACTGACCACAGCTCTGTTTTGTGGACCAATGACAGTGGCCAAGAAACCATGTTGATATTTGGAGGTAGCCTTGACACTGAAGGCTGCTGCAATGAGCTGTGGATTCTAGACATTGGCTCGCGGAGGTGGCAGGCTGTCAACACACACGGGCCTTCCCCTGAACCTCGATCATCCCACACTGCAGCAATTGCTGGTCAAGGCTCCTCTGCCACAATGATTCTCGTGGGTGGTTCTGGAAACGGTAGTGGGCGCAGCGTCCTTTTGAAAGACGCTTGGTTGCTGAGGCTGGAAACCATGACATGGACAAAGGTATCTTGGCATGGAAGTGGAGTCGCAAGGTGTCAGCAAGCCATGTCAGTAGTGAACGGTGGCACTGCTCTTGTATGGGGTGGGTACGACGGAGAGAAGACATCGAAAGACGATGCTTCAGTTTGGGTTGGGTCACTTGATAATGCCGAAATGGCCAAAGCGGTTGCATCCACGGTTTCAAAACCGAAACAACTTCAAGAACGATGGCAAGCTGAAGTCCCCATCCGCGAGTCTGACTTGCCGGAGGACATGCTCGCCAAGGCGCGTAGAAGCAATCTTCCTGGTGCTCTGTTCAAGACTTTGCACAGATATGCTGTCGCCCGACAACGAGACACATACATTGACCCTGCATCGGGCTATTCTGTGTTCACGCAAACGTATTTGAAGAGAAAACCCTGTTGCGGAAACGGCTGTCGACACTGTCCTCACGGTCACATCAACGTTCCTAAGTGTTCAGGAAACACAGGATGTGATCCCAAACAACTAGAATGGTAGTAGTGCAATGACACCCAGCGCTCTTGGTCCAACGCAAGCTAGCCTGGTTGCCGATCTCGAGGGGTAGATCACTGTCACCTCATGTTTTGCTTCTCTACTGACAACGAGTCATGGGAGAGTAGGATTCTATTCTCGCAGCATGAATGGCAAAGAAACACTGTTCAAGTGCCAGGTGAACATAGTTCATTTTCATTTTCGCTGAAACATCCTCTATGAGTTTTCCCCAACAGAGGTTTTCAAAGACATGGGACCTACAGTTTTGTGTTGCGTGCAGCACGCTCTTGGGAAAACGACAACGCACTAGCTATTCGTTTTACTGAGCGTTTGTTTACAAAACTGTGAATCGAAGCTTGCATCAACAGCGCAATCTTTTATCCAAACTCTGACTTGCATTTTTAACTAAGACGACGACTCCCTAGCTTTTTGAACAACAGTCGCAGGCTCAATGCTTCCTTGATCAACGCTTCCTTATCTCCATCCAACCTTGAAGCCCTTTCTAGCTAGTCTTGCCAATAATTTCTCCTTCAAACCATCTATCTATGCCCCGAAAAGTCTTCATCACTGGACAGCTTGCTACAAATCGAACGGTGTACCGATACTAGTACCGGTACGGGACGGTTTTTTCAAGCAAGGCAAACAAAGTTTACTGAAAGATGGACGGCAGGCAACGAGTTGGAAATGGGTGTAAACACAAAAAGAATTCTTATTTTATCCTTAGCGCTAACTACTAGGGACTTAGTTTGGGACCAATTCGTGTCTGGATTCAAGTCCAAGGATCCATTCAAGTTGAAGGCCCCGACGAGAAAGCAAAGCAAAAAAGCAAAGACGAACAGAACTGCAAGAACCAGGTGCAATCTACCTAAATTTCGCATCTGCAAGTCCCTCGTCTACTGCAACAAGAGGGGAGAGGCGCCATCATCCATCCATCAAGAGGAGGGTGGATACACTCGGCAACAACAAAGTCGATTGCTTCATGCGAGCTAGGATACTCTTAATGCTTGGAAGCTTTGCGGGAACAGAGCTGGAAACCAAGCCAAATCATTGATTGCATCAAAGTCTTAGTACTGCATCAATCAATCTAATTGTTCTTCTATAGCCCAAGAATGTTGGTGTATCCATTGTCGACTTCTGGTCTTTGTGTCGAGTAAACAGCATAGTTAGTTGTGTACGCTTTCTACTTATTCCTGGCGGATCCATCCGAGAAGTAAAGTTGGATAGAGAGAAAGAGACGGCATGTCCAAGGAAGAGGCGAGAGGGTACCAACAAGAAGAGAGCACACACCCGCACACACACACACAACAGACCACCACACCAGCACAACGACCCGTTCCGGGGGTAGAAGACGAAAGTGCTCAAATCGTGAGCGACACCACGTCCAGCGGGATACCGTCACCTGGCACCCCCACCGATGAGCAGAAACCATCAGCCAAATCAGCAGCTTCGGAAGGGACAACCAGTCAAGACGACCCCACAAACAAACCACGACAAGTTATAGCTGTCAGCGCCTCAAGAGGCCCAGCAGCTTTCTTCAATCTTGCTCGGAAGTTCTTGGTGACAGACGAAACATGCGACCTGTCAGCATTAGAAGGAGCAATTGTATCAGCCGTAGACGCAGCACATCTTCTGGAGCGTTCCAAACTAGCTACCATAATACGGTAAGTGCTGCCCTTGAAAGAACCCAGTCGTGTTTATTGCCCTTGAGCCTGTCTAATTCAACCCTTGCTTGCCTACCTCACATGCCAGGGTTCAAACTTCATACGTAACCGTAGAACCGAAGCGGCGGAAGCAACAGCAGCAAGCAAGCGGACATGGGGGAGATGAACCGCAACGTGCGGTGCCTCCTCTTCCAGAGAGTGCAGCTCTGCCGCCAACACAAGGAGCAACAAGACAGAGGGGATCAGGGGCAGCAGGCGGGCGCGAACTAAGACGAGCTCGAATAGTGATCACCGTAAAGAGAACACAGAGCTATGAACGATGGCTTGAAGAGAACCCACTGCAAGCTATCATTGCAGGAGATGGGGATGATGAAGCCTCGGCTGAGCCTGTTACAACAGGTTGAAGCCTTCCAGCAACTGAAGTCTCTTGTATCATTTCTGCTATTCCAATTCCATGTACAGACATCCGCTCCTCCTTGAGGGGCACCGCTATACGATGCGTTCAAGTTGGGCCCTTGTCTCCATCCCCGAGCCCTCTCCTTATCATGACTGCCTCCTTCTTCCTACGACAACCGTCGGAAGCCATGTACAGACAGCATCAAGCTTGAGCAAGCATTGACTATATTATTTCAGCTACTACTAGATCACAGACATAGAGTTTAAAACAGCGATAAGCACGATAATCACAAGTTTTGATGCGCAATGAATCCTGTTCTATCTCATCTTACTCGCGGTGTGTGTATTATCCAAGTGCCAAGTGGAGTTGGTGCTGACTGGACTGGCAACGAGGATCACCGGGCACGGGGCAAACACGCTCCGAACAACTGCACTCGTAGATTGACTCGACTCAATCGATCAACATTGGATCTTGAAGTTGCTCAGGTAGGTGGAGATGCCGCGGCAACTTTGTGCAGTTTCGCGGTGCTATCCGTCTTTGGGACGATTTTCTTGAAGGCCTTTAAGGTGTCGATGACACAGTACACAGTACCTCACGACGCTGGATACCGGTACCACCATGCCACATCATTGGTTCGAGGGGCGTCACATCATCATCTTAAAGCATGGTAAACACATCGTGGAGTGTGGCAGCAAGCTTCGGGCAACCCAGTCCAGCAACTGCTTCTTCGCATGGTAGAGACACGGGGATCTTGTTGACGTCCCGTGGAGCGTTCGCCCTTTCAACGTGCGTCTGTTGGATTCTATCACTAAAGTCTAAATAGCACCTGTATAGCTCTCTTGCAGATTCAAAAGAGCGCCCGGTCTGGGCGAGGAACTCGATAGTAGAGTAGATGACAGCTGCAAACTCGTCGTCCACGCAACTTGATCGCATCGTGTCTACCAGACTCTTGAGCTCCTCAGCACTACCGGGCTGTATTCTGTTCTTGCAAGGTTTCTTCTTTTTCTTCTTCTTCTTCTTTTGGCTCTTGCCGCCCATCGCGTTGAACTTCGACTTGTGTCGGGTGTCTTCTTCTCTACCTGAAATGCTGAATGAGTTTGCAGACTTGATGCTGATGACACTAGACAAACTCCCTGTGCTGGAAGTGCTGTGCATGCTCAAGTTGGAAACGTTGGAAGCCACAGAGAAGACACTGCCGGTATCCTGGTGGTCCGGCATCTGGGCTTCGTCGTTCTCCCCCGAACGCACAGCGTCCTTTCGGAGCTCCAACACTTCTCCATACCGTAGGTTAGCGGTAAGATACGATGCCTTGCGTTCGTCCAAATCTTCCTTTGCCGTCTGGACGAAAGCGACAGCTGCTTCCACACACCTCTCAAACAAGTCCGATCGCCCGTGCAGGGTAGCAACTCGACACCCTTCACTCCAAGACCAACCTTGGATCCAAAGCTCCAACGCACCATCCAGATCCCCTCCGTAGTCGAGCAGTATCCTGGCAGCATCGCCAAAGTCGAATCGGCACCCATACTGGTTTTCTGATGCCAAAGCAATTCCACTGGCAATCTCCGAAGCCGCTGTCTTTCGTTCTTGCTCGGCCGCTTCGTCTGATTGCCCGTTTTGCTCAAAGGCAAGCGTGAAGAAACATCGCCAGTTCTTTGCTGCTCGGGCCGCGCGTTTGGCTCGTTCAATGTCGACTGGGACCGTGGCAAGGAAGACAGTCAATGCTGATGCCGCCTTGCCTTCTGCCAACAGATTGTCGCCAAGTGAAGACATGATCAACCGTTTCTTTGCCTCGTCGTTATCGAAGAGGGTTAGCCCAACACTGTGCAGGTTGTGGGCGCTGATAAGACTCATACAATTCTCGAATTCGTTCCCCACTGGCAGGGCTTCGTCGCTTTTGTTGATTTGGGTTGGTTCAATTCCATCCAAACACTCTGAACGCAATCCAGACTCGAAGACATTCTGCAAGGCTTTTTCGTATCGTTTCAATCGCATGTCCACTTCATACCGGGCATAGTATTCTGGTAACGACCGCAGACGCTTTAAAAGCGGCAAGTAGACCTAAAAGTAGAGCGTCAAGCGTGAGTATGGTATCTCGTCTCGCACAGCTGATGGCCGCAGAGGTGCAGCACCCACCAATCAAAGAGATGCCTTTTAAATTCATCGAACAAATGCTACATACCTTTGGATCCATCTGAGAGTTTCTCGCACACGCTCGGGCAACGTCAAAGTCATACAGCCCAAGCCCGACATTAAAGATGAGCTCATGGTCTGCAAGAAAAGCCAAGTATTGAATGGAGCTCTGGGCGACATCCGAAAACAAAGGCGGCTTCTTTGACGGGATGGCTTGTTGCTTTGACTTTGCAATGGCGTTCTCCTTGATGAGTGTAAGTGCCTCCTCCAGCTTTGGTGGCGTCTCCCTGGCAAATGTGGTCAAGACTGGGAGCAGGAAGTGCCCATCCTCAATCTTTTTTCCTCCCTCAAGTTCGCCGTCTTGCTCGGCTTTCAACATGAGAGCTCGTAGTTTCGAGCACACTTGATTCACCTTATTAGCAAATTCAAATGATGTCTTTGCCTCGGCATCGTTCTGGGGCAGGACATCGAGCCAAGGAGGAATGATGTATTGCGCCTGTGTGCTGTCCCAGTTTTGCAGGCAGGATATGAAAAGATTCAAGTGATCAATGACCTTGACTTGAGTCAAAAACAGCGAAAGGTCCTCGTCTAGAAACTTTCTCGGATTCAAGTCAACAATGAGGTTAAGGTTCACTTTTTGTCGTCTCATCATGGAAAAGGCTTCCCCATAACAGCTCTTCGAAATTTTCTCCATGACATATCGAAGAATCAGAGCACGTGGGTAAATCCCCTCGAGGTTACCTCGAGGCATTTGAAGGACTGCCATGGGTGATCCTGGGAGGATAGCAACCAACCGTGCGCCTCGCTCTACGCTGCGCGGCTCGTAGCCAAGCACAATGTTTTGATCAGATCCCATGAGTGAATCAAACTTTTGCAAGTCTTTTAGTGGCAAAAACCGCAGTTGCGACCTCGGACCGTCGGCAGCGACAAACGCCAGATACTGGTGTGTTGCCGACACGAAGAATGATGACACAGCATCTGCCAGTAGCAGGTCATGATAGAATAGCCGTGACCTGGATGAGAGACCAAACACGAGCGGCATTGTTTCCTCTTCTCCGAGGCCTCCCGTGAGAAGAGCAGTGTCCTTGAGTCCAGCAATCCACGAGCACGGCTCCATGAATTCTTGCCCTACGATTGGGTTGAGTTGCCCGGATTCAACCTCAAACTCGAAGAGTTTCCCATCTTCCAGTTCCAGCAATGCCCCTGTAGGAGAGTCTACCCATGGCGCCATACTCAATACCCTTTGATCGAGTGCAATCACATTGTCGGAGAGAGACAGTGACGCCGTCGTATTTTCGCCTTCAGTTGTCCAATTAATGGTAAGACTCCTCAGGCTTTCCGCTGTTTCATTGGCGGGTGCGCAAGCCACAGCGAGCAATGTGATGGACGTGCTGGTCTGCTGAACCATGGCAAATGACCGCAACGTGGTCCAGTCCACCCCCTGCAAATCCCGGAGGCTGGCTTTTGCGACGACCGCTGGAGCCGTGTATCGTGTTCGCCCGTTGATTGTTGTCAGAGGATTCCCGAGAAGAACGACCGAGCCATCCGATAGGCAGACCACGGACGACACTGGGTGGGTTGCATCTTTGGAAAACAGGAGTTGGCAGATTGGACTGTCCATGACCACGTGGAACGCCGACATGGGAGGTGGAACGATGGCCCGGTCCAGGGCCGTCATGTGGAGAGCAGCCCCATCCACAACATGCGCCATACAAGTGTTTGGCGCCATGATTTGAACATTGCTGGGATGCCAAAGGAACTCGTATTCGTGATATTTCAAGCTATCCTGGAACAACACCAATAGCAGATTGGGTTTTTCTTGGTGAAACATCACCTTGGCAACTTTGTTGTCATGGCGAATCTCCTGTTTGAGATACCAATGATAATTGCTGCGATGCCACACTTGCACCTTGTCCACTCCCCCCTCTTCTCTCAGTGACACTGCCAGCATATCCGATTCGACATTCCACGCTAATCCTCGCACGTGTGTGGTTGCTGCATTCTTTTCTCGCAAGAGAAACTCTCGATGTCGATTGCCATTGGGTTCGAAGAATATAATTTGAATGCCCTTTTTTCCTTTTCTCTGTGCCGCTGCCAAGAGTTGAGAGCATCCGGCTCCTGCCCAACCAATACCCGCCGATGCCATCATGTTGGGCACCAGTTTGCCACTGCCATCCTCCATTTGTCCAATGCCATGAAATTGTAGATTGTCTCGTTTGTAGATTCTGACTTTTCGCATACTGTCGGACATATCCACTGTGGAGAGAGCGACATAGGCTCCGTCCGGTCTCCAGCACATGGATACCTTGGAATCAGCCGATTTTTCTTGTTCGGAGGGAATATGAGCTGGAATGTTGACTTCGGCCAGGACATCCCACTGAGCATTCATCAATAAGAGTGCCGAATTTCTTTTCGTAGTTTCTTCTTCTTCTGGTTCCGAAAAAGTCAAGAGACACAGCAATTCACCATCGGGAGAAAAGGCTCCCGTTTGCAACCCATGTTCAAATTCCCCCACCAGCTCGGCTTGTCCACTGGTGGGATCGACCGTGACAATGGCGCCATTGTGGGAAAGACAGACCAGCAAGAGTTCATTTCCGGAATCGACATAGGAAAGATCGAACCACTCTCCACCGGGATTTTCACACAATTGATCCAGAGGCGCAATCCATTCGGGTTTATTGTTATTGTTGCTGCTGTCCTTATTATTATTATTGTGTACTTTGAGCAAAAAGCCATCGTTGGTCAAGACAAAACTGCTGGAACCATCGGAAAACCCATCCGACACGGTCTGGAAAATATCCACGGCATGGCGACCGTTGGGACCAGGAGGAGCCAACTCTGGCAACTCAATCTCCCGTCGAGACTCTCCAACTAAAGCAAGGTTTCTCATTATTTATTGCATGAATTGATACCGTACGGTAGCCTAATATGGTACCACTGGAGAGATGAAGGAGAAGAATGATTGCGCTTGCTTTCTTGCTTGTTTTTTGGACCTGTTTGTGGTGGGGATTGATCACGTTTGGATCCGTGAATGATATCTTTTCTATCGTTTGCTGAAGGCCAAAGCAAAGCAAAACGGCAAAGCGCAAAACGCAAAACACGACCAACCTTATACAACCCAACACGCACTGCCTCCCTACGTGTTCTTACTATACCATTATCCGCATCATGTCTACTAGTAGTGAGCCTTGCCAAGAGAAGCAGAAATGGTCCCCTCCAGATCTGCAGTTTTTGGTGGACCAGAAGGAGCTTTGGATTGGCCAGGTTCTTCCTTGTCTGGGCATGGGACAGTTTGCCTTTGTTGGCAGTGTCAACAAGCAGTGGAAGCAGCTTTATCAAGAATTCTGTGACACTGTGAAGGAGCCTCCACTCGTGCCAGCAGAGTGGCCCAAAGAAAATCGCCCAACAAACTACAGAGATACATATTACTCAGCAGCATTCTACAATGTATCCACTGCTGAATACTGGCACAAATACAATCAAAACTCAGGGAAGTTCCCTCGGCACCATAAGGTTTGCACCGCAATTGCCAAAGTGGGGTCGCTGCCAGTGATGCAATGGGCACGAAAAAATGGATTTCCATGGGCAAGAAAAAATGGATTTCCATGGGACAAAGACACCTGTTATGCTGCGGCCGAGGGTGGCCATTTGGACGTCCTGAAATGGGCTCGTGGAGATGGCTGCCCATGGGACAAGGAGGCTTGTGAAAATGCTGCTCGAAATGGGCATTTGGAACTTCTGCAATGGGCTCTTGACCAGGGCTGCCCATGGGATGCTTCGGTATGTGCTGCGGCCGCCGGCGGTGCATATCTTGAAATGGCTGCACGAGAAGGGATGTCCATGGGATCCATCGGTTTGTGCTGCCGCCGCCCGTGGCGGACATCTGCATATCTTGAAATGGCTGCATGAGAATGGATGCCCATGGAATCCTTCAACATGTGCCGATGCTGCGGCGGGAGGTCATTTGGATGTATTGAAGTATGCCCGTGAGGATGGCTGTCCATGGAATTGTTCAACATGTTCTTATGCCGCATGGGGAGGCCACCTGAATATCCTGATATATGCCCATTCTCATCGGTGTCCACGGGATGAAACTACCGATACCTGTTGTGGTGCTGCCTTGGGTGGCCATTTGGAAGTCTTGAAATGGGCCAGAGAAAAATTTTGTCCATGGAATACCTGGACATGCGCTTTGGCTCCCAAGGGCGGTCATTTGGAAGTTCTGAAATGGGCCCATGATAATGGGTGTGAATGGGACTCAAAGACATGTTCCTATGCTGCCGAGGGTGGGCATTTGGAGGTCCTGAAATATGCCCGTGAGAACAACTGCCCATGGGATCATAGGACCATCGTAGGTGCATCTGCCTATATGCGCCAGGATGTTCTTAACTGGGCACGAGAAAACGGCTGCCCTGAAGGATGAACTGGCAATCTGCCTGGGTATGTAGCCAACACTGGATAGTGAAGTTTGCTGTCCTTACAGAAAAAATACCTGCCCATATACCTGGCAGCACAATTTCCGTACAGCCGTATAGTGTACCAGACATCCCATCGCATTTTGCGCAAGTCAGCTCTGATATAGCTGGACCAGGTCTCTTTCCCCCTGCCGTCCTCTTCTAGGTTCGAAACAAACTACTTCCCAACAGTCTTCTCTTAGACGTACATTCCAAAAGGACTTGACCTTGCGGCCTGTCCTCTTCCTTACAGGTACTTCTACCCTCCCACTTTCCAATCCTGAAAGGATGACAGTACCACAGTGCAGCTTAACAGACTCGTTATTAATATTTTTATTCACCAATGTAGAAAGTGCTGCGGGACGTGCCAAAACCAGGACGAATCACCCGTGCCACGAAGTCAACATTACGAGAAGCGAGACACGATGGATCCAAGGTACGGCACACTGGTAATGTCACCAACAGCCGCAAGGGCTGGCGTTTTCTTGAACATTGCCGAGACGGCAGCATCGACTTCCTTGTCCGAAATAGCATCGTATGCCGCGATAACACCGGCGGCACCGGCAAAAGTGCCGGTCTCGACCACCGATGCCGTCATGGCTTCTGCCAAAGACTTGCTACCTCCATCAAGAGCAAAGAGAGCCTCTGCCTTGGCTAGAACCTTGGCACGTGCTACGAGTTCAGGTCCAGCACTGGTAACCGCCGTACTCAGGGTATCCACCAGCTCCCCCGTAGATGTACCGCCAGCATAGACACCAACGAGACCTTTGGAGCTAAAGCCCGTGACGCCTGAAGCAGCCCCCGACAACTGGAAGCAATGCTTGACGACACTCAAAAGAGCCGAAGAGGCAGACGTACCATCAAAGGCAAGTGCAACGTGTGCGTATCCACTTGGCACGGCCAGTCGGCTTTCTCCACCCAAATAAGTAAGGGAAGCTGCAGCATCCGGAGTTCCAGCAGGCGATTCGGAAAATCCTTCTTCAATTGCCTTGACGAATGATGCATGATCGGCAACACCCGTGACAGCCAAAACGGCTCCGTTCACACCGTAGGCACGGCTGCGAAATGATTGAATTTCTGCCAAGCCAACCGAAGATGCCGAGTGAGGGGAGAGAAGAGAGAAGTTTCTGACCGCTGGATGCTGGTGTCGAAAATTGCATAATACTTGTAATAGACTTAGTATAGTAGTAGGATGAA